TTTTGGCAAAATGTAGCACTATCTATCAGAGTTAGCTCCTTGGCGCAGGCCAATTGCGCCACTATCGCACATCACCATACAGCCACTATCGGCGATAGTGGCTGTTGGAGTCTATCGCACATCACTGCGATACACTCACAGGAGAATTAATGAATTAACGCTTTTTTTGTCACTAACATCGACAGACACACAGGAGAATTATTTATTTATACCGCTGTCTCCGGGAGACGGGGTAGGAGGGGGTACATTGTGTAACTACATATAAATACATTTTTAGTCATTTTAGGCACACAGACAATGTAATAAAAATCCGACATTATACAGGATTGAATAAGTCGAGAGAAGAAAACGAAACAGAAAACTGCAGGAATCACCAAAACTGCGGAGATTAGAACTAAATCATCACTCGGAAGAAGCATTTTATTATAGGACGACACGGTAGGGTGTTTATTTATTTTATTTATTTACAAACTACCCCGCAGCGCCGAAGCATTGCAGCAGGGGAGTGATCAGTACATCAGCACAGATAAATAGACCTGAGCTCAGTATGCTTCATTAACACAATGAAAATCATCGGCACGTCAGAAGCGTCATCACAAGTTGAAAGACGTCGGCACAACACACTTCAAATGTCAAATATTCACATTTAATCTATAATAAAAAAAAAAAAAAGATTCACTATCAATTGATTCTATATCTCCCATTATCTGGGGAACTTAGGGAAAATGAATACTTCTGCGCATTAACCCTACAATTTAATGTTTTTTAAATCTAAAATTAAGCCCGGGCCATGATCCTTACAGAGACGCTGTTTACGTGCCATGTAACGAGCTTCTAGTAGTGGCATGTAAACAAAATAACACCCACGTTGCCTTTATTGCCAAAATACATGGGAAATGGAATCCCAGCGTGCTTTCGTTGGCTTCAATCTCCCGTTCTGGTGAAAAGGTAACGCGTACCTGGTGACGAACAAAGATGTAGTCCCAGTCCTCGGAGCATCTGCATGCCAGGACCTCCAGCTGATCCTCGCCTCAATGGAGTGCACTCGGTGAACAGTGGCACAACCAGAAAAGACTGTTCCCCACCCAGCAGCACCCAGGCTGTTCTAGACTCCTTCTCCGATGTCTTTGAAGGAATCGGTCAGCTACCTGGCACTGTCTCCACCACACTCAAAGATGATGCGGTACCCACCGTCGCAGCTCCTAGGAAGATCCCTCTTGCTGTTCAAGAAAAAGTGAAGCATGAACTTGGCCAAATGGAAATGAAGGGGATTATCATAAAGGTTACAGAACCAACAGATTAAGTCCTCCCCCTGGTGGTTGTCAGAAAAAAAAAATGGCACGTTAAGGTTGTGCCTCGACCCCCAACAACTGAACGACGCAATCAAATGCGAACACTACCGCATACCAACGCAGGATGAGCTCCTTGCCAACATCAGCAGCTGCACAGTCTTCACAGTTCTGGATGCAAAGTCAGCGTTTTGGCAGCTAACACTTGATGAACACAGCTCCGAACAGTGCACGTTCATCACACCGTGGGGTCGGTACAAATTCGTGCAACTCCCTTTTGGGCTCAAAAGTGCACATGAACTTTTTGAATGAGCCATAAACAGCATCTTCTCTGTAATTGAGAATGTTAGTCCCTATTTCAACCCCCCCCCCCCCCCCCCATCCTCATTGCGTCCAGAAACATAAAAGAGCACAAGAGAAAGCAGACCTGTGGAAGTGCACACCAACCACAAGCCACTGATTGGACTTTCAAAAAAGGACTTTGACGTCATAACCCCCCGACTACAACGCCTGCTTCTGCAGCTCCAAAGGCATGACGTGTACCTCGTGTATGTGCCAGGCAGACATCTTACAGTTGCAGACGCCCTGTCACGTGCACCAGACACCTCGGTCTGCGCAGAGACGTCAGATTTAGAAGAGTGTAGGGTAGAAACACTGACCACCGCATCAACACAGAAGCTACAGGAGCTTCGGGTTGCAACTGAAAAGGACCCAGCACTTCAAAAACTCACAGAGTACATTCCCAGTGGATGGCCGAAACAACCCATAGTTGATCCACTGGCCAAACCATATCTGCACTGTCAGGATGAATTGCACATATCGAATGGCCTCATCTTTCAAGACGACTCGTCATTCCCAGTCCTTGTCAGCGCGACGGTCTGAAACGACTTCACACAGCAGATCAAGGCATCCTTGCTACTAAAAACAAAACACGTGCAACCCTGTATTGGCCAACAATCAACGGCGACATCGAAAGAATGGTCTCCAACTGCCAACTCTGCCAGCAACACCAGCAGTCGAACCAACGAGAGCCCCCTGGAAGACAGACTGCTTCCAACACGACCATGGCAAATCGTTGCCATTGACTTCTTCCATCTCCACAGTGTCACCTGCCTATTTGTAGTGGACTACTTCAGCAAGTACATTGTAATAGAGCAGATGAGGGACACTTCTGCTACCAAAGTGATCACAGCCCTTAAAAAGGAGTTTGCTTGATGCAGCATTCCAAAAGAAGTGGTCTGTGACAATGGCCTGCCATTCAACTCTGAAGCCTTCAAATGGTTTCTTAAGAGTTGGGACGTGATGTATAACCCAAGTTCTCCTTATAACCCACAGTCTAATCGACTTGCAGAAAGGTCAGTTCAAACAGTGAAAAACAGCTTGACCAAGGCACTGAAGGAGGGCAACGACCTGTCTCATGTTCTTATGGAGCTTAAGGCTCTGTTATACTCCGACGTAACGCGTGAGCGCGTGCGAGCGCGTCACAGCGACGTCACGTCGGCGAAAACCCGACGCTCTATACTCCGGCGTCGTGGCGTAACCGACGCGACCGGCGGCGTTCGACGCAGCCTGACGGCCTCGACGCCAACATGGAGCATGCCGTATTCCGCGCCGGCCGCGCCAGCGACGCCGGACCAGGATGCATCACGCGCTGGCTCCCGGCAGCCCTCGCGCGGGAAGCGCGGCGAATACGAGCAATAGCAGACGACAGGAGCACCACTCCGTGTGGCGTCATGTTTGAAGAATCGGACGTCTCGGTCGTCGAGAAGCTGATCGAGGGAATTCGTCCTTACCCGAGTGTCTACGACTCAAGGAAGCTTGAGTTCCGTTGACCGGGCGCTTGTGAAAGATGTACCGCATGTACATTGACCGCCTACGCTTGCGGCGCAGGCGGTGCAACAACAGTGCAAGCCCGAGTTCTCGTCGTGCAAGGTACGTCCACGCCATCGCTCGAACTCGGCGCTCAAGAAGCGCAAGAATTCTCGTCTGCTATTCGAAACGAAAAGGAACCGGAAATGGCGCACTCTCGCAGGAAACGCGCCCTCGTAGCTACATTCTGCGCATGCGCCGCGCTGGCGGCCCACCGACGCGCGCCGCGGAAGTCGCCAGGGCCGCCGGAGTCTAGAGAGGGCGAATGTTTGACGCGCGCGGCGTGACTGACGTGACGTAGCCGACTTCGGCCAGCGTTCGCTTGCGCGCGCGTTACGTCGGAGTATAACAGAGCCTTTAGAGACACACCGATGGATCAGCTACTATCCCCAGCGGAACTACTGACGAGCCGCAGGATCAGAACCCTCCAGCAAGCTGCTCCGCAGCAACAGCAGCCTCACTACAACATCAAGGAGGCTCAAGCACGCCTTCAGTTCCACCAAAAGCGTCAACACCGACATGGTGACGCACACAGCGAACCACTACGTCCTCCGACTCAAGGCTAAAGAGTCTATTCCCGTCAAAACCACAAACGGAAACCCGGAATCGTGATCCAAGTTGGACCACAGCCACGATCATACCTAATCAGAGCAAAAGACTGGGCTAATTACAGAAGAAATCGGTTCCACATCCGACCATTCGCTTGGAAAAGCAATGCGACCCCTGAGGACTACTACCAACTCACACCCAAGGACCAACCTCACCAAAGTCCTGCCCAGCACTCCCACATACCCAGAACCACTCTATCAGGCCGTTGAGTTGTGCTACCAGCAAGGTATCGCTGAATGTGTAGACTCTGAACTCTTAAAATTTGCACAAACTTTCTTCTTGTCAAAAAAAATAAAAGGACATGTTATGTATTTAGAGATCACTGGATGGTGGCACCCCCTTTGTATTCCCTCATGAACCAGCTTTGACACACACATGCGCGACTCAGCTAACCCTACGCCACACAACAGTCCATCTGCTCGGCGTCGTTCCCATTCTCGTAATAAAGCGTCAATAAAAACATATCAAACGGTTGCGATGGTTCCTGCCGTGAAGTAAGAACGCAGGAGTCCCTCCCGTCAGAGTGTGACAAGTGCCACGGTACATTCCCAAGTATTCCGTGACGGCTTCTAGGTTACGTCGCTGTACGACAGCCTACTGAATGGCGGACTTCAAGATGCGGTTAAAACGCTCTACCTGTCCGTTCATTTGAGGATGATACAGGGACGCCCTGGCATAATGGATACCATGGGTCTTCATGAATTCTGTAAATTCTTTAGAGATAAACTGGGGACCATTGTCGATGACTATTTCTTCCGGTAGCCCCTTTTGTGCGAAGACCAACTTCAGGAAGTCTATCTATTAAGCGAGAGACACATGCGCGAAAATCCATCCGATCCGACGTCGGACCCGGCAATACGACTGCCTGATCCAAAAGTTTGGTCGCTTCAGACGTCGGATCGGCGATGCGTCCAACGTGCCAGATAGTTTCGCACGGCGGACGGATTGTCGGATGTGTCCAGCCAATGACAGCACAGCTAGCGCGAACGTCATGTGGACGTACTGGGTCTGTCGGGACGAACAAGAAAACGGGACGGGCGACGGGAAGCCGGATGCGTGGATCCCGCTGACCCATTCGAGAAAGATGGCTTCGGCAAAGAATGCACGCGCTAACGACAACGATCTTCTAACTTCACTCGTGTGAGCTAAACCGTCAATCTGGGACCAGAGATCTCTGAACGCGGACCTCCACTGGAATGCTTGGATCTCCTGGGCGGAGCCGAACGGATCGTCGTGTCGCATGCAAGGTCGGAAGCATGTGTCTCAAACTGTCGCGTGTGGCGATTCGGAGCGGCGTTCGGACTGTCGGATTGGACGATTCTGCCGTCCATGTATCTCGCGCTTTATAGACGCAGACGTGACATTGTGGACACTCATGACCTCCGGCCACTTGCTGTGATAATCCACAAGAATTATTTAAAAAAAAATGTTTGTTGCGCGAAGCGCGCTCAAACGAATCGACGATGTCCATGCCTAATTCTGTTTAAGGACGAGATGGAAAGTCAACGGGCTGTAATGGTGCTCGGTATGTCTTTGCAGGTTTGTCTGTAGACTGACATATTGTGTAATGTTGTACATACTGCTTGATGTAGAGAGATACTTGAGGCCACCAGTAAAGCTCTTTGGTGAGGCCTGTGGTCCTCGTGATCCCTTGATGAGTTTCAGGAGCTATCTCGATGACCTGGTCACGTAGACTTGTCCGCACAACAATCTTTTCTGCTTGAAACAGCAACTCATCCACCCATCCACCTCTCCCACAAAGTATCTCCGCTCGGTGTCTGTCAAGGAACGGCTTGCGAAGACCACAGTCTTGAGCTTCAGCCCGTGCTGTTGTTGCAGAACTGCTCCGAGGCCGTAGCTCGAAGCGGCTGTCAACACGAAGACTGGCAACGTCCTTTCAAACATCGTCAGGATGGGTGCCTCTTGAAGAGCAGTCTTGACCTTGTGAAAGGTTCTTTCAACGCCAGGCATCTAGGAAAAAGAGCTGCCCTTGTGCAACACACGACGCATCGGTTCGATCACTGTCGCGCAGTGTGGAATGAACTTGCTGTAATATTCCACTAAACCGAGGAATGCCTCGAGTTCCGTCGTATCGGACGGTGTAGGAAAATTCAAAACTGTTTCTATCTTGGACGTAAGGGGCACTACGCCTTCTGCGGATAGGCTATGGCCAAAGAAAGACAATGTTGAGACTCGGAAAACCACCTTTCGGTTCAACCTCATTCTAGCAGACTTGATCCTTTGGAGGACGGCACGCAGGTGTGCGTGATGTTCTTGAGGTGACGACCCGTAGACGATCACGTCGTCCAGGAAGAACTGTATACCGGGGCAGTCCTTAAGGATTTTAGACATGGCTTGCTGGAATGCAGCCGGCGCGGAGGCCAGGCCGAAACAAACCTGCTTGAAGTGAAGAAACCCTCACGCGTGATGAACGCTGTGAGGTCTCGACTCTTGGGGTCGAGTTGCACTTGATGCAGACGCCTGCAGTTCTGGTGAATACGTGACCGCCTGAGGTGCCCCAGTTTTCTTTGCAACTCGACGTCTCAGCAGGTCCTTGTTGGCTTTACCGAGGCTCTCAAGTATCCAAACATTCTCATCAGTCCAGATGCAACTCTTGGTAAGATTGTCAAGGAGATCCTGCATCCTGGCTAGCTTCTTTTTGAGGCGTCGCTCAGACTGCTGAAGTGTTTTGATTTTCTTCTTGCTGGCTGTCTGAAGGTTGCGGTAGCGTGTAAGCTCTTTCCGCAAGAAGGCCTCTTCGGAAGTGTCGTCAGCAGGCTGAGCCTATAAGAATGCAGATTTTCATCACAGATTCATTGTCAACGTCTCAAATTTGTGTCACAGTTGGGTACTACTTGTTCCCCTTGCATATAGCCTTTCGTGACTATTGTAGATATGGATTGGAGACAAAGGCAAGCAGATTAGAGGGCAACTCCACTCAATTTTTTTTATAATTTTTGGGTCCTAACTGTTTTTAGCTATAAGACAGCGACCCTGAACGACGAAGTATCATTTGTTTTTCGGCATTGTGTGTAGTTTTGTAGGCAACTGGCCTGAAGGTTTCACTGGCAACATTGCTGCTGTCGTCAGTGTCGTGCCACCGCAGGGTCTGGACTAGTCTGGACTACTTATTACTGTGCCGAGTGCCGGCGTTTTTCCCTTTTGCCGAGGAAATGAGTTGCAATGATGCTCATAGCCAGTGCTCGTACTAACAGCGAAGCGCAGCACGCATTCGCCTTTCTGCATTGTGCCTTTGGCAAGCAGCGTCTGTCATCAATCTAGCCTCTTCCACTTTGCAGCGATCAGTAACCTCTATGCGTCGCCAGCTGAAATAGCAGCGTTAAAGGGGCGATGCAACAATTTTTGTACTTGGCACAAATACCACTTAGAACAGATCCCTGATGTTAATGACCTATCAAGCACGCATTCGTGTTTCAACACACGCAATGAAAGTAACAGAAAAAAAGAAAAAGAAAAAAAGCGAGTAGCGTTTACCCTTTCAATTTGCAGCCAGAACAAGAGGCCACGTGATGGGGAGCCGATTACTGCCGCCAATGCTGATCGTATCCACGCGCTGGGGTTGGCAAGGCACAGGACACACGCCGAGTTCCAGTCATTGTTACTTTTCGGCTATTCCCATCATTGCAGCGATTGGACACGGGCCACTACCCGAATGCTTGTCCAGCTATTGATTATCATGAGCCCGAACCGAGTGCTCCTGCAAGGCTTGGGTCCAATCTATGAGCCGCATTCAAATAACGTCACTGCGATTGCCCAGCTACGTCATCAAGTTTTGCGAAAGAGAGATTGAACGAAAACGCTCGCTTTTGTCCTTGGAAAATGTTACGCAACAAAGGAGTTTCCTCGCGTTAAGGCGGGGGGAACATGGAGTTGACATCACTTTTCCCGCTGTTGCCTGACAAAAGGCGACCCTCTGGGTCTGCTAAAAAGGTTACCTCGATGTGTGGAATTGGCTACAATTGTAGTTTGTCGCACTAAACTTATGTCTGTCATTTGTTTTCATTAGACCTCTGAGCGGAGTTGCCCTTTAAGGTATGTCTGCCTTTGCCCATGTACTATTGAATAGTCGGTATTTGTGTCATCAGGTGCTACACATAATTATTGGCTACCTTAATTCTGTGTCCAGAGTGTGTGGTCACCCTTATCAATCAGAACTTAACAGGCTCCCTTGACGAGAAGCTTAAAAGTCGCATAGTTGGGATGTCCATGCAGCCAGTCATGCGAGATTGAAATCCCTCATCTAGGGATGGAAGCCTTAGATGTTTGTAGCGTTTTCTGTAGATGCGTCTCAATTCAGAATAAAAGTCTCGTAGATGCTTAGTAGTATTTACCAGCAACATATACGGAACACGCTTGTTGTCTTTGTTGAGGCGAATATTCTTTTACAGTATTTATTTTCTTTTGCAATGCAACTTGCAAGTTTTTCATCCAAGTTGCTGTAATCACCCAATTTTTGTCAGACAGAAATGACCGCAGCAGCTAACTACATGGATTTTGCCAGACCCACCTACACTTTTTGCTTTTAAAATAATTATATGTGAAAAAAGTTGTTCACAGCATTTGAACTTATTCCACACATTCTAATATAGAATACAATGCAATTATCTATGTATAGCAGCCATTCTAAACATTGTGATATTGTTCGTCAGTTTCAAAGACACATGCTTTACAAAGTACAGAAAAAAGACCAAACACAGAAATTACAAATTAAGAATGTTTACTAATTCGTTAAAAGGTTTATGTTAGTAAAATCATCATTTATTTCCAGCAGTTGCAGGTAGTAAAAGAATCACAATAATAACAAAAAAAGTCAGTGTAGCATGCATACCACGTAAAGCTGAGAAAAACATGCGATCCAGGATGAAGCTTCTGAAACTGAACTAGTTCCATGAATTTAAAATTTTGCCCACCTCTGTCTTGGAGTATTCATTATCCGGAGTGTCTCTTAGTGGGCGTTGTGCTCCCAGCTCCTGCTTGGATGCAGAAAGTTAGACTTTAAGAGTTCTGTACTTTGATGTCTTAGCCGGTCAAGGCAGTAAGAATGCAATGCCTATTTACCGAGCTTGTTGATGGCTCAGTGGTGTCACTGGGCACTGCACTGGGTATTTTGCTATACTTTATTTCGGCATTCATTTCCATTAAAAACATGTTGCATTATATGGTTGAGGAAGAATACGTAACTCCTCAAAGTAGGGTCCTTTTTCAAAGCCCATACTTAGGAGTGCCCTATATGAGAAGCGACTCCAAATTCCAGTTTTATGAAACTAACATATCTTTTATACATTTTTATTCAGATAAGGCCATTGATAACTAGAGCTGCTTTTGGTGCTCTACTACTTGATAGATCATTATAAGAACAAAAGTACTTATTTAGAGATATATGTACTCACAGCCAGGCCCGTCTCATCTTCACGAATTTCCACTTCCAGTTCGATGTAACTGGAGTCTGTTGGTTCAACCACAACCTGAGGTAAATACATTCCAACACTGCAGTTGAAACATTACTCTCTAAGCACATGTGCCACAATTAATGTGTAGAGCCACAACACAACCATTTTCAGACTGGGTGTATGGAACGTGGTTTGTCTAATAAACATTAGCTGTGTTTTGGAGATTTGTGTTGTACTGTCCCTTTTTTTTTCTCTCCAGGGTTAAAGATGTCAGTTTTGAACCAGCTCGCCTGCATTCTTGCTTTAACTCTCTCTCCATTCAAAATTCCTGCCCACCCACCTCTGTTGCTGTGGGTTCGCCCTCAGGAGCATCTCTCAATGTGGTAGACGCTGCCATGTCCTGCTGAGGCACAGGGCGTTCAACCTTTAGAATTGCGCTTTAGAACAATCAATGTACAATGTCTACTTACAGAACTTGTCGATGGCTTAGAAACATCAGTGGCTGCTGCACTGGGCTTGGAGAAAAGCTGGAAAAACAGTGAAGAATTAACTCGGCTATTTCAGTTCTGCTGGAAATGAAAACAGTGTGTACATACATTAGGGCAGCTTCATAATACTCATAGATAGGTTTTTAAGTCAATATCTGCCTAAGTTCCAACATGCTCTTTTGACTAATGCAGGTTCTGCATGTCCTGACCATACCTCGGCCAAATTCATTCATGAACTTGCTCATTCACCTTCATTCACATTCGCGGCGTGAATCTGAATGGCTCTGAATGACTTCTTGAAATTGAAAAAAATCATGATGTGATGGTGAATGACTTTGTGAATTTGAATGAATTCGTGATGCGATGGTGAATGACTTCGTGATGCGATCGTGAATTTGAATGAGGTCGTGATGTGATGGTGAATGACTTTGTGAATTTGAATGAATTCGTGATTTGATGATGAAGGACTTCGTGAATTTGAATGAATTCGTGATGTGATGTTGAATGAAGTCGTGATGTGATAGTGAATTTCAATGAACTCATGATCTGTTATGATTGTGAATGACTGTGAATTGAATAGAATTCATTGTGATGTGAATGACTCAATGAATTCGTGACGTGATGGTGAATGGCTCGTGAACACGATGAATGTGTGATGTGAGTGGCTCGTGAACTTGATAAGTTCGCGACGGGAATACCGTGAACTTAATTCTCGACGTGATAGTGAATACAGTTATGAATTCAGAATAGGCGAAAAACATGTTACGCAGGTGCTTGCTTGCTTGCTGGTTGTTTTCATCCTTCCCCGCAAACAACAGGGACCCATTTGACTTGAGCGGTTTGGGCATCAGTCTCGCTGCATAGCCGTGCGCGCCTCAGCGCCGTGGCTCTTTGTCGAGCGCTTTCACAGTAACAGCTGTTTACAAGGGAAGTGCAGTGGCAGTGGCAATGAAGGGGAGGGGAAAGCTAGTCGTTTTCTTTGGCACTTGACATTTAATTTTGCCGTTGTTCTGAACGGTTCCTCGCGAATCAATTGAGCTCCTTGCCGACCTTGTCCTTCCGCAAGGACAAGGTCGGCAAAATAGACCTCTTCGTAATTAAAGTTAATCTGGTAAAATAAACATTATTTTATTCCTTCACAAATCAACGTCGCATTTCCCATTAACGAGACATCAGCACCCGGCCATTGCTGACAGACTTGTTTTGGTTAAAAGCGTGGGAATATCTTTTGTGTTGTTGACAGAACGAGAATTTATTTGTTTTGAAGAGAACAATGTGACCAGCTGGACTAGCTAGGGACAATGAGGCAAAATCCTTTGAGCGGCGGCAAACTGTTGTCTTCTGAACGGATCTCTTTCCAGCGAGACGGCTGCTCCTTCAGGGCACGGCGACGGTGATCTCAGCAAGGACGCTTAGGAGTTTTCAGGCCCAGTTGTGGGAACGTTAAAGGTGTCTTCCGAAGGAGTTTGACATGACGCTGCTTATACATAGCTTTGTTGTTGTTTTTTTGCCACTTTTACGTAGTGTACAGAATAAAAATTATTTTGTTTTCAAACAACCATGCGGTTATTTTTAATCAAAAGTAACGAGTAATGTAATCTCATAGGAGATTCCCTAAAATAATAACAATGTTACTTTACTAGTTAGTCATTTGGGATTCCAACGAGTATGTTAGTCAAGAAACTAACGCGTTACCGAAGCCAACGTCACGAGCAGGCGCACCTAATCTGGCGCTGAGACCATATCACGTGACCTGCCGGTTCCGCGCGGTGGCGCACAGAGTACATTCACGTGACACTATCGCAGCGCGGCATTGGCTGGGTTGGCGCTCCATCAATGTGCTTTGCGTTTCGCGCACTCGAAATACCCCACTTCCCTGACGAAGTCAGGTCCTGGTTTCAAGTGGCTGACACAAAAAGGCACCACAGTCCTATTCCGCAAGAACTGCAAACTCGTAAAGGGCTACCGGCAGTGAAGTCAAATTTAGTCAGAATGAACCCAAATGACTTCGTGAATTATGCGGAATTCATGATGTGATGGAGAATTTGGATGAATTCGTGATGTGATGGTGAATTCCGATGAATTCATGATGTGATGGTGAATTCGGATGACTTCGTGAAGTGATGTGAATTCGGATGAATTCGTGAAGTGATGGTGAATTCAGATAAATTCATGATGTGATGGTGAATTCCGATGATTTCGTGGTGATGGTGAATGACTTTGTGAATTGGTGATGTGATGGTGAATGACTCCGTATATTCGGAGGCGGCGGTGATGTGATGGGGATGAATTCTTGGTGCGGTTGAATGCCGCGATGTGAAAGGGATGAATTCTCGGCGGTGTTTGGAAGCCGTGATGCGAAGGAAATGAAGTTTTTGCGCAGTTGAACGTGGGGATGTGAAGGGCCGTGACTTTGGGAAATCAGAGTGCCTTGCGACATGAATACAAATGAATTTGGAGACGTGATTTTGTTTGCGATGTGATGGTGAATGAAGGGGCTCTAAAATGCCGATCTATGGTCCTGACTGATCATTGCTAGTTTATGTTAGCATATGGGGAGTGCAAGCCATGACATGACAAAAGAAGGTTAATTAAGCTGGTTTCTAATATCTACAGCTAATCGATAGATAATGATAATCTGGCATTTTATTTGAAATATGAAACTCACAACTGAGGCAGTCTCATGTCCAAGAATTTCCACTTCTTCCGGTTCACTGTAGCTGGCCTCTGTTGGCTCATCTGCAACCTGAGTGCAATTGATTTTGTTGCAACACAGTCACACAGAGTGGCGTAGCCAGAAAATATTTTTGGGTGGTGTTTCAAGGTGCTGGTGTAATCACAGACACAATAACTATATATATATATATATATATATATATATATATATATATAATAAAGTAAAATTTTGGGGGGTGTCCTGACACCTGAACACCCCCCTCCCCTGGCTACGCGCCTGGTCACACATATAACTTACTGGTCACCTGTCATCATTACAATAAGATACTATAGGTATGTGCTTTTGACGGTTTCTTTTCTTTTTTTTAATTCATGCAGGTATCATGAACCGATCGTGAGGATGACAAATGGTGCTCAGAATAAATTACATACAGGCACAGAGCAAACTGCTTTCTCTTTTGAAGCATTTAATTCGAGTGCTCAAATGGGCACCACTATTCGCGTCTCCAGCTCAACGCTCGCCCTCCCGCGGTGGAAACGGGAAGCGCTCTAGTGAGGGTCCCCCGATTCTCCTGCTCAGCGGGCACGGCGGAACTGCTCGCGATCATGGCTCGCGAAATGTCATTTCCGAATGCAAACAACACTCTTCACTGTCCCAACGAAGTGCTGCAGCCGGTATGGGATTGTACCTTACTGGAGAGCTTTAGTATTGCGCATAGAAGCAAACGCAAGCGGTGTGCGTTTGCGTTAGAGTTGTGTGCCCCACGTTGTGCGTGCGCCTGATCGCCATGCGCCATCCAAGACCGCAATTTCGGGCTCCGCGCAAGCGCAGTGTGGAACGCCCAAAGCTAACACAATATTAAAACTCACTACTGTTTCACCGGCTTCCAACGCCAATGAAACGTGCTGCAGTGAGCAGACGTGCAAGCAGGTAGGCGTTCCTTCGAACTGGAAAGGCTGAGATTGGCAAAACGACGGCGAGTAAATACAAAAGTAAATAAATGCTATAAAAAACTAGTAATTAAAAAAAAAGCCTTTTTTTTAACTTTTGGGCATTTGGTCTGGAAGTATATTGGCGGCGACTTTGGACGTTTCGCCGATTGTCAAAAGTCGCGACTTTGATAGCACAATATACTTTACCCACAATTAATGTAATTTTACATGGATTTCTCATATTAGCTAGAATGTTTTCATTGATTTTAGACTATTTTAATTTTATTGGTAATTAAAATGCAGAGATTGGAACCAGTGATGATAATTAGCACAATTTTCATTGTCCTATTTCTTTGCGCTTTTAAAATTAGATCATAAGCAGCAAATTATATTAGAGCTTAAAGAATTACTTATTCAAATATGTGAATTTTAATATTATTATTATTAATACAAATCGCGGCAATTTATGCCTCTAATTGACGCCAAGATCACGAGAATATTCTATTTAACCATAATAGTCTTTCCAGAAAGGTATAATTCAGTTTTCTTTTTAATATGAAAAACTCTGACATAGTTATCAAGATACACAAACAGTTAAACGCTTGATGTAATATGAAGTCCTACGCGTCATGCGGTTCTATAAAAACACACACACACACACACACTTCAGCTGTCTGACTCGGATTAGTTTTTAGTTTATTAGTTTATGCGTTTCGTGGACATATTGTAAAAACTGAAATTATTCTCTTATTCTTGTGCTGGGATAATTGTCATTATTTCCCATGACAATTATTTGAGCGAGAACGCACAGATATCAGCACTGATTTTTTCAACTACGAATATCAGCCTGGATCGAGCAGTATGTCACAAAATAAAGTTTCCGCGAACAACTTTTCTAAGTAAATAATTACGATGTGAGACACATCTTGAGTCATGAGAGAATCCGAAATTAAGACATCTGTCGAGAAATTAAATCCGAAATAGAGGTAAGTTTCGGTTTCGCTCCAGAATTAAAACGCGCATCCTTCCGTAATTAATACGTTAAACACCGTTCTTGTTTTCAGGTTAAAGAGGTGACCCGCGCTCATAAAACATTAGCTTCCTGGTATTACCAGAAACAATTTATGTCGCTCAGTGAAACCAGCACACTAGACAGGCTCAACAGCGGCACGCATCTCTGACCCTCACTAAGCCCGCCATCTTGGAAAATGAGTGGTGCCACCTATAGTTAGTTGGAGTCGCGAATAGCTGATACCTTACCACTTCCACTTCCTCTGCAACATCCACGCACACGCCCAGCCCTGTAAAACACATCACGCACTTAGGAACAGTGGGGCGCCATGCCCTGGCTACAAACTACAAAAAAGCTAGCTGTACGTGGAGCTGTCTCGAAACGACCTTGACACACTACAAAAACAACAATAGTTCATTTTTCATGCCGCGCACAAAATGTAAGGCTACATACGGTGGCAGTCATTTCCATCGTCGACGGTGACTGATGCAGTGTTCTGTAATAATAAACAACTGTAGATGCAATTATAATTCATATGAAGTGCGAAATCATACAGATATCTTTTACCTGGACAGGCAAAGCCATGGATGGGACGGCATTGCCTTTCGGGCGACAACGACCTGAAATGCTTCTGTAGCGGTCCGCAGGATGGAAGTGTACGGAGCACACCACGCTCCACTTCGATGGGGTCCAGCCACCGCTGCGACCAACGGCCGAAATCCACCGTTGCCGCAGTTCGGCGACCGTTGGAAATCTAAGAGAATTGTTGGTAGATTCTTGTTACCGTAAAACTATGTGTGTGTAATGCGCCAAGGGCTTACCGATGAAAGGTAACCCCCGCCGAAGAAAAGCCAGTTCGATTGCGGCAGCCGATCACGCTACAAGCACCCATCCCGTAGCCGGCGGAAATTAACGTCCCAGCGACGCCAGGCTTTCGTTTTCTGTACCAGCTACTCAGCAGTGTGTCGTCTGGTTGTCTGGTCGTGATCTGACTCAACCGCTCGCGTACTTCGTCTAGCCTTCGATCAGATAAAAATACCGGACGAACGCGCGCGCACAACCCAAGCAAAAATTTAAAAATCCTTCCAAAATCAACCATTGTGGACAGTGTGGCCAGACCTTGAAGTTGATACAAGCATGTCTTGGTTTGGAGAATTTGTTTTATGCAAAGGATTATTTTAATTTTATGAGCAGTTGTAATTAAAATAAACTAATTATATTCACTGAAGAAGTTAATAACTTAATTTTTTTGTACTTTATTAACTGAAATAACCATTCAGTGCTGAACTTAATTCATCTCTTAGCCATCGCCATCCAATCCGAAGCCAACTGGCCATTCGCATTAGGGTGGCTAGAGAGTTGGGTGTGTCGAGCGCGCCGGCTCTCCCATGCATTAGAGCACTATATAGCTCCTACGGAGCAGAGTAGCGCAATCCTTTGAACCTCGTGTTTTGCCGACAAGATGGCCGACAGAGCGGCTCGGCGCGAGTCACGTGGTACTCAGGGTTCCAAGAGGCGGCCCGCCCTATGGGAGAATACATGGAGATCGATACAACATGGCTGATTAAAAAATGAACGGCGAGTTCACACTTTTCAAAACTAGTCTGTCGTGAAGTTAGTAAAGCACTAAACACTTTATCAAAGTTTTAATAATATCGGATGCGTGTGCAAATTTTGAGAAGGCAATTTCCAAGGCAATGGCGTTTGAAGCAGACGATTTTTGCTCGCAGCGGAGATGGGCTTTTCGGGTTGGCCGGAGCGGGTCACGTGAATGGTGTGACGTCGCCGTGTCGTCTGCTGCATGATGCCGCTCAGGCAATTTTTTAAAAAAAGTTACGTCCTTGTATGGCACAAAACTTATCGCATATTATTGTAAAATGTTTCATTATTATGTCAAAAATGATTTCCATTCCGCACATCCCCACACAACTGAAGAAACAACGATTTTCTCACGTTCTCCATGCATTTCTGACCGCAGTTGGAACCTCCGGGCGTTCGCCGCTAGTCGCCGAGAGACGGCGTTCTAGATTGCGCTACTCTGCTCCGAAGGAGCTATATAGTGCTCTACCATGCATCGCCGCGGCCGGTTTGGAAAATCACCGTCAGGGGCGCTCTAGTCAGCCTGTATGCTAGGCGCGCGCAACTGGCGCAGGGATTTCGGTGCGGCAAGGCGGGTAGCGACGAGTTCACGCCCGCTTTCTTCTGTTCTTTAGCGCTTGTGTGAGTTTATTTCAACCGTTCCTGCATGCCCGTCCGTCAGGTGACACGTGAAGACCATGGGCACTGCCCCGTCAACCTCCGGCGTAAAGAAAAAAAGGGATACACGCATCTTTACGAAAACTCTGTGGTGTGCGCACTTCACTTCGACGAGCGGTACATCGAGCGATACTTCTCTTAAATATATCGCTCGATCCCTTTAAAATATTGCTGTATGAGTGATGTTTTGGGGCTGGTAGCGTCCTGCTGAGCACGTCTGCGGCCAGTGTTAAGAAGTACTTTAAGTACATTGTACTTAAATTAGATTTGGGGAACATGCTTGTACTTTACTTGAAGTACATTCTCTGAGTATGTACTTGTACAGTACTTTAACTTAAAGGATTTTTTGTGCTACTTTCCGAGGAAAGTACAATTCCCGACTTCAAAGCACATTCCCCAAATTGGTTTTGTTCAATTTGTATCACGAAATGACGCATGTGGTGCGAAAAAATTTAATTTTCATGTCGAAGTAAAAGACAACAGAGGAGGGCGTCACAATGTTCTAAGACATTCTCTTTTGTCTTTTCCTTGTGTTTGAAAGTTCCTTAATTTTTTTTCGCACCCAAATCTCAGGTGTCACGTTATGATTGATTATCACCAGCTCGCTAGCACACGCTTTTTTTTTTTTTTTTTTGAGGAGAGGACATTTTTCTATGATAGCTATGGGGCTGACGTAATGCTCCGTCCTATTACATTTAACCCCTTTGGGTGCAACAATCCAGTGCAAGGGGTGCCAAATTCAGAAGAGGGTCTTCTGAATTTGGCTTTATTTCTGTAAAAGAAAACTACTCTGTGGCTACTTGACTTTATCAAATATTCGCCGCTGTTTTTGAGGTCATGCACCCTTGATTACCCCAGGGCAAGGCATACCAATTAAAAAAAAAAAATCACTGTATAGGGGAATGAAAGGGCATCATGAAAGATTGTGTTAAAATACTCGTACTTTACCTTGAAAAGTACATTGTACTTATAGTACTTTACTTCAAGTACGTTGTTCCCAGTATATTTAACACAAATTTACTTAAAGTACATCACGTCTTATTTACTTTGTACTTTAATTACTTGAAGTATCTTTTAGGTGTATTTTACCCAACGCTGTCTGCAGCCTTATTTTCTGAAAAACGAATTTCGGTTCAGCATGCAGTTTTCAACACGACTTTATGAAGCTCGCCTTTCGCGTCGTCAACAGGAAGGAGCGGGCGTCAGTGACAGATACAAGCCTAGGAATGTATGCATGCATAAACAACAATAATCCTGTGTGAAAGAGGTCGTGTAAAAGACGTAAATAAAATTTGGACTATTTTTCGTCTTCAGCGGTGGTTTCCATTCGCAATCCCCGTTTTTAGAGTATGGGCGAGAGAATTCACCAAAAAGCACCGGTATTGGTGAAATGAATAAACGCCGATAAACATCCGCCGATTTTTCATATAAATAAACACCCTATGATGTATAATATGTTACTTCGCTCACTCTCTTTTAAAATCGATTTTGTATTTCATTGCTAGTTTTCCACGTTGCTTAAACATGTAAAGTGCCAAAAATGCATTGTTTGCTTTGTGTCATGACAAATTTTCGCGTTGTTTCTCGCCAGCCATGTCTGCTCTTGAATCACAGGGGAATTTCTCTATAAGTATCCAGCGTCCTCACACATATTTTAATGTTAAAGTGCCTGCGCCGTTCAGCGTCGATTTATTTGATAAACGTGACACAGCGGCTTGCAACGCCAAATCTCGTCACGGCTGCTGATACCTCGGCGGATGTTTCACGTATTTCGAAAACATCGTACACAAGAGAAAATTAAAAAAAAAAAAAAAATTGCCCCATTTTTTTTATTTTTATATTACATTACTCCGAGAGCGTTGCGGTGAGAAGAGAACGACTTCAAGTGCGCATTTAGCTTCGTCGACGCTCCAAAATCGGGTCGACTATCGAATCCAGGTTTATCAGAGTTTCATTATGCCACACCAATTAATTTTGTAAAAAAACACAACCGACAAGTGGCCGCGAAAAGGTCCGCACCCAGCGCATTTCGGCCCCAGCGCAGCCAAAACGCCGCTGACGCCGCGGTCGGATAGCATACAGGCCTACCGAGGCGCCTCCTGGCGACAGATTTCCCTTTCGGTGCCGCGCGCCGGCCGCCGCTCGACACACCCAACTCTCTAGCCACCATAATTCGCATAGCGCGCATAGCTGTCGAATTTCAATCGGACTTTTCACTAGGGATGTCGCGAACCGGTCGCGGTTCGAGTTCGACCAGGTTCGACTCTTTCGAACTTTTAGTGGAAAGTTCGACGAACCTTGTATTGAGGTTCGACTCGTGTGCGCATGCGCGACAGGCTGGCCAGTTGGCTTCGGATTGGATGGTAATGGCTAAGAGATGAACTAAGTGCAGCGCTGATTGGCTATTTCAGTCAATACAGTACTAAAAATTAAGTTATTAACTTCTTCAGTGATTAGAATTAGTTTCTTTTAATTGCAGCTGTTCACAAAAAAAAAATAACCCCTTGCATAAAAAGAAAATTCTCCAAACCTAGACATGCTTGTATTAAGGTCTGGCCACACTGTCCATAAAGTCGAACCGGTCGAATCTGGTGAAAAGTTCGAAGGTTCGTCGAACCGGTTCGACTCAGTCGAACCCCGGAAGTTCGACCAAAAAATCTGGTTCGATAAAAGTTCGCGACACCCCTACTTTTCACAAGAAGGTCGAAAAAGTCGAGCCTGGTCGAACTCGACCTCGGCCGGTTCGCGACATCCCTAAATTAAGGTGGCGTCCCGATCCCACTTTTCCGTCCGCGGTTTCGCCATCCTGCAAGCGTGCTTGTGGGACGGTGATATGTCCCGCTTCGGCTCCCCCCGAACAAGGAGGTTAGAAGTACTAGGAAGGGGCACGTTGCAATATTGGTGAAGCCTAGTCATAAAAAAGTTTAAACGATGTTGTGGCCAACGTGACCGTAGATCTCTCTGGCAATTGGTGCGCGTGACATGTCACGTGTGAGATGGATGGTTGATTGTAGAAGAATTCCTTGCAGGCTTGCGCGCACTCCATCCAGTAGGTTTTATCAGATCGATGGCTAGACTGTGGTGTATTCTAGTACACCATAGCTAGACGAAGGCTAGCTACGGTCACGTGATGTTGTCACGTTGGCCTGATAAGTGAGGAGAGTAAGGAGGAAAATGAGAAAGAGGCGAGGCGTCAAGGGAGCATGGCCTGTGGAGGCTATGCGGCTGGCGTCATGCCCTCTCCTACCCTTCTATCCTCCTTGCCCCCGAACCCTCAATGGATAAAGACGCGACTCGGCTAGACGAAAAAACCACACCAGTGAGACCAGTGAGAGGGTGCTTTCTCTGATCAATGTTCAAGATTTGCTTGGCAGAGAAGATGTATTCCAACCGAATGTATTAGATGTGCACGAAAAGAAATATGTACGGTCTATATGAAATACTAAAAAAATAAAGCCCTTTATAACTTCTTGTAACGCCGAATTAGAGTGCAGTTCTTAAGGAGGAGGAGGGAAGGGTACTGCGGGGGGGGTATACCCCTCCTCACCTCCTCTGCTGCTCCGCCCTCCGAGTAATGTCGGCGTTGCCGTAACCGTGAGGTCACGTGACCACGTGACCCTCGTGACCTCACGGAGGGACACATGACTTACCTCAGGGGAGTTACCTGACCCCCTTGACCCCTCCCCCTAGTGGTGTCACATGACCCCCCGAGGGGTCACGTGACCCCGCGTGGACATTTCGGCATGGTGCCGAAACGTCACCATGCCGAAATGTTTCCGCAGTTGCGCCGACAGCGACGTCGCTCAAGCCAGAAACAGGTGCCTAAGAGCTGCGTTCTAAAAGGTGTGATTGGTTACCAAAGTTTCCAAGCCTCACGACTGATACCCCCCCCCCCCCCCCCGCAATACGCATCCCGCTTTGGGGCTTGAGGAATATGGTATACATGATGATTGAAAACCCCCACCACAACGGTTGACCACTGAACTACGAACAATACACCGAACCGTCATTCCGGTGTATTGTTTGTAGTTCAGTGATCAACCGTTGTGGTGGTGGTGACGTTCAACGTCCGGGTAAGGTGTATATAAGACGTAGAGGCAATAAAGTTTTTAGCTGAGTTTCAGACGTTGTCTGTCTCTTTTTCTTTCTACTTTACGATTTTCTGTTTTTCAAACCCCAGTCCCAGGTTTTCAATCATCATGTATGACTCACACCAGCTCGCATGCACTTTAACCGTTTTTTCATTGAGGAATATGGTCACTTTCCCCTTAACATAGGGTGACCCAAGTCACCAGGCTCGACCTAAAATGGACCGTAAAAATCAACGCCTGCACATAGCAGTCTAAACTTTTCGTCAAAGATGTATTTCGCAGGTCGGTTTTTTCTTGTGAAATTACAAAGCATCGCTCCCTTTCTGTAAAAAATAGGGCCAAGAAACTTGCCAGGGTCTACGGAGGGCGACGACGCAGACGACCAAGTCGAGTGGCGGTGTGTGTTTGGCGTTCGTATTGATAGATGGCGTGGGGAACAGCAACCAAAGGTGTAGCCGACCAGCCAAAGAAAGCAGACGACACACAGACAAAATATGTTGGCAACAAAAGAGCCGTCGTTATGTAGATGCATTCATTTAAGTTTTGCTTTTATTGTCCGCATATATTTTTTACCCAATGGTACATTTCAAAAAGATCATGTTCATTTTAATAAACCACGGTGATTGCAAGCCGTCGCGATAAGGAGGTAGCGCCATCTATCAATACGAACGCCAAACACACCCATCTACTCGACTTGGTCGTCTGGGTCGCCGCCCACCGTAGACCCTGGCAAGTTTCTTGGCCCATTTTTTACAGAAATAGTTACGCTTTGTAATTTTACGAGAAAACCCCGACCTGTGAAATATACCTTTGACGGAAAGTTTAGATGACTATGTGCAGGCATCGATTTTTACGGTCCATTTTAGATTGAGCCATGGTGACTATGGTCACCCTATAAAACTTTGCTCTGTCGCAAACTGTTTAAACATTTATGGAAGATGAAAAAGCGTTTCTTGTGATTTCAGATAAAGCTTCAGATAACTGGCAACCATGATTTTAAGCCTTAAGATGGGCAAGTGTCGTTACTGGGGTGTCGCAAACTTTTGTCGAACCGGATTTTTGGGTCGAACTATCGGGGTTCGAATTGGTGCGACGAAACCTATAACTTTTAACCAGATTCGACCGGTTCGACCACTGATCTCTATGACAATTGCTGGATCGTGCATATCCGCTTGTTCGCTGCAGCGCAAGTGTGGCCACTGGACGGCCATCTTGCATATGCCGTTTTTTTTAGTTTTGCTAGCATTGCAGAGGCAGGCGGCAGTGTGCTAAAGACGCGTTCTCTACTCGTTCGTCGTCATTCGCCGAAGAAGTTTCTTAGGACCCTGTGTGAGCCGTAATCTTGTCGTTGAGAACACGTGGAAATTTTTACGAAAGAGCAGTGCCGCAGGAAAAAGGCACAACTTATCGAAAGCAAGTTTCACCGGTGTCGCGACGTGTTCAAAGCTTCCTTGGCACGCCGAAGTGCTGTGTTACCGTACCTTTACACGCTTGGATACCGATCAAGGATCGACGCCGTGTGGATGTGTTTTGCGAGTGTAATGCGCGTGTCTTAGAAGGGATCACGCACGCTCTCTGTGGGAGTTTGCCAGCTGAGCTGATCGAGTAACGTTGATACACTCAGCTGTATCAATCTACAAAGGTCTTAAAGGAACATTGACAAGGTATTTAAGCTTGCGAAGGTTCTTATTTGTACATGACATATAAGAGCTAGCCCAACTACCCAGAACATAATATGCGGCTCGAAATTTGTTTTCTTTCCGCCCAAAAAGCGCCGATCGAGAAATGGCCAGTTTGAGTCGCACTCACTCTTCTCCGTGGTTACGTGCCGTTTTCTAAGGTTTACACACAATCACCAAAGATAATCAAAGTCGTGGGTCATCGAAGGCACACACTCAATACTAGAAATGGACAAAAAATATGACACCCATATTTTGTGGCTTCTATAAAACTGCAAATATGCTGATTGATAAAAAAAAAAAAAAGTTGCACAGCCACGTGATGATCTTTCTCCTGTATGATTCTTCTCTCCAGTCCAGTTTCGGTTTCAAACAGTTGCGTTTTTTGATTTCATTAAAAATATACGTGACACTATAGCAAAATATTGATTAGTAGTCTTCCGACACCATAATAAATTGCCTGGCAAATTTTTTTTTTTTTTGGCGCATCTCAGTGTTTTTTTAATTGGCGAAAATATTTGACCACATAAAATAGCCAAAAGGCATGGGTACTTGCCACCTACAACATGAAATTGAGCAGGTGTCATCAATTGTATGTACCCCATGGTGCCATGTTATCTGAACAGGGTTTATTTGAGGAAGATCTGAAAGAACTCAACTTATCCAACAATCTACTGTTTCGACGAAAGTCGCTTCACAACAGTCGGACAAAATCCGGACTTGTTTTAAAACACGTTTTAAGTACTTTTTTTTTTCTTTTTGCACAGCATTGAAGCCAAGGAAGGGACGTGCCTGTTTTACCCCCTACCCTGCACCCAATCAGCTTTCTTTTTGCGATGACTGCGAAGGCTGTCTGAAGATTATATCAGCGGAGATAATCCTCAAAAATTTCGAACGGCCGGCGTCGCAGTCCGATCTAAGTTTGCCTTATTCGTTTGTTTCTTACAGATGCCGAGCAGGCTACGAGCCCTGGTTCTCACAGTGGAAGATAACACAAAACCGGTAAGCATTCTAACAAGAGAAATAAAGTAAAAAGTTTCAAGAAAGTGCATCAAAATCAACTGCTGGTCTTCCACTGGCATGCTGGGTGACGGCTGGCAGGGGCAGCATCTGGGTTAGCTCGATGGGTTCACAAATATTGCTCATTCTTATACGTCGACATTATTTTGTAGCAATTAAAGGTAGACGTCCAAATTTAAACAACAGTGATGAAGAAGGAAATTCCGATCGGTATTTATGTAAGTATGGCAGTTTTCCACAGCTGTGAAAGTCTATGTGAAATTAAATGCTGTGCTAGATTTGATTCCTATCTCACCTCGGGCTCCTAAAAGCAGTTTGTATGTCTTCCCAGATCATAAGTTCTTATCACATTCTTTTGAGACATAGCAAAAAGAATCTACATTGCCCCCCCCCCCCCCCCCCCCCCCCCCTTATGTAATGACATGAACATATTCTTTCAGCTTAGTATAACTATTTTTAATACTGCTACATTTGCTATATACACAAAGGATCAGCATACGCTGAAATCAAGGCAAGAACATGAATTTCACAGAAACATGCCTGCCCTGAATGAACAGTGCCATCTCTTCTGACCCATCACTCGCCTCGGCAAATGCTGAAAACTGCTCCAAGCTACAGACAGCCCTTCAAAAGCACAACAAATGACAGATATGATACCTATTCACTTCTCATTCAATGTCCACAAAAGTTCTCACACAAAATAAACCTAAAGGAATAAGGCCTTCACAGTCAACAAATTTCTCGGAGTGCATTTGTTGGACAAAAAGTGCTTGACCTCACTCTAGTCAATTCCGCACAGCGGCATTGAAATACAGGTACATTAACTAACATTTGTGCTATGTAGAGGGAGCAGCCATAAGGACTACCACATTTGGCACACCTTGAAAAAATTCAAATTCTAAACCTACATACATAAAATGGGGCATGCAAGCATCATTTCAAAAAAATGTTTTGTCTATTTTTTTTAAAGCTCAACTCGGAAGTAAGGAATAATTAAAAATGGAGCAAAACTCTAAAAAAAAAATAGCCATAAACCTTTTTGCAAAACAACATTCACATGCCCAATTTAAGGTAATATGTACGATTGGAGCTCAAATTTTGCAAGGCCTGTTAAATGTGCTGGTCCTTATGGCCGCTTTCTGTACATCAAGAATTCTGTTGTAATACAGGAAAGGTGTACATGTAATTTAAATAACTAATTTCGTGGGCTCAATATTTAATCAATTTGGCAGTGCGAATTTCAGGAATATTTCAATTGTGACCATATTTGCAGGACCTATTTTTTTTTATGTTTTCAAATTTGTGAAATTTGCAAAAACCAGGATTCCATGAAAATTAGGTTGTAAACATAATTTGTAGAGGACCTCAGTTTGAACAATGAACACAATGCGCTTGAAAAAGACATCAAAAGCGTGCATTTGACAAAAAGGTAGAGCTTGTACGTCGAGCCACTTCGAAAAAAAAATGTCTCTGAGAAAGCAAATAAAGGGGCGAGAATCACCATTTACAAAACAAACAGAATCACTCTTTAAGCCATCCAACAGGTTGGCTTCTGTTTAAGGTTTGAACTATGACTCCAGCATAGGTTTGAGTTAAAGCCATAAAAAAATATAGTATATTGACCACCACAGCTAACTGAAGAGTCGTTCACCTTACAAGCTAGGAGCCGTGCAGAAGCATCCCGGAGCACCATTTTCTGACCTTTCCTAAGATGAATGGTGCACCGACGCCACCAAAGAAGTGTTAGAAGTAAATTACAAATAAACAGGATGTAATTTTAAAGATTTGTCCCATCCATCAGGTACAATTATATGGCAAGCAACGTAAGAACATCGTTAAAAATTTTCAGAAATTGCACGTGCAACTAGGAAGCGCAGTTCTCAGATAATATTCGCTTATTGCACCCATCATCATCGGCTTCTCTTCTTTTTAATAAACTGACAACCAGTAAGGCAATAGCCTCGTTTTGTCCAAGTTATTTCCCCGACCTTGATGCCACATGCTTGGGAAGCTACTAAAAAAGCAAACGTACAGCGAAAGAGAGAACCAGACACTGCATATTCTACAGTATGACAGCAAGCTGAATGCTAACAAAAACACCTCCCACTTTTTAGGCTTTGTGGTAATACCCGAAAGCCCCTCGTACGTACGATTACTTGCTCCAGCGATAGAATAGAATCAAATGGTCCCAAACTTCTTCTACCCCAACTAGACGCGTTCAGAGTCGAACCAAAGCGCGCCAAATCTGGCGGGCGGCTCGATAACACCGGCCTAAGACACGTAAGCGGGGGAGGAAGAGCCACATCTAGCGCAGCTCCATCGGCGGAAAGTGCCACACACAGTCTGCTCCACCGAACCAGATGGAACTCTTTCGCCGGAGCACTGGGGGAGGCCAGTGTGGCCCCGTGTGCACGGACCGGGAAGTGCGTCGGTTGGCCGGACGACCGCTATCGGGGGAAGGGCACAAGGACCCAGTCGTCACTGCCCTGGCTGTCGCTGCCGGGCCCCCTCTGATGGCTCTGCTGTCGACTCTTCAGCCGCTGAAGCTGGCCCTTGAGGCTCTCCCGCAGCATGCGCAGGGCGTCCTGCGCGACGTTTACGCTGCGTTACTTCAGAGCGCAGACGGACCGCGTGAGGCACCGAACCCTACAGCGTGTCGGCCCTCCAAGGAACTGCACGAGTCAGTTTCTTAAAAGACTGCGACGTAATTTGGTGCGGAGGTGTAGTAATTAGATGCTATATTATCGATAAAAATATGGAAGGATGAGATCACGCGAGGAAAAGTGATTAACTCTTTCCATATTAAGCACATAGGCCACCTGTGATTAATGGTTTCCGCGCACCACTGGAATTCAAACTCAGTGCGCGGCGACACGTTGCACCATGTTGTGGTTGGCCTAAGGACTAGTTTCCATATCAATTTCGTTCTGTGCTTTCTCCCAAGGTGGTGAGCTATCAGAAATAAAACTCTGTTTGGCGGGGGCTTTTGTCAAACGTGAAATCCTGCTGGTATTAAGGACTGCTACAAAGACGGCGTCAATCGCACAATATAGCTGCGTTTGCTGCTCGTGTTTTGGATCCCAGCAGCAGTCAGGAGTGTAGGTAGACGATGCTGGATCACTGCATTGGAGCTCAAACAGCAACGCTTCACCTCCGAGGCCCAGAATACAGACAGGTGCTCATCAAAGAGAGTCATTCTAGCTTGCCAGGCTATCTTGAGCTGGGCACAGATTTTATATGTGCTACAAGAACTAAAGACACCGAAGAAGAAAATTAATTTTAAAGTTGTTTGAAGAAACAAAGGTAATTAGGCCTCTTTATAGACTTTTCGAAGGTGTTCAACCCTATTAACCGGGCTACACTAATAAGAAAGATTGAGTACTACGGAATTAATGGTGTACCATTAGTTAGTTCTCCAAGAGTCGTATCTTAAACTTCGTCAGCAATATGTCGTAAACAATTCTTTTGTTAAGCCCATTAGAGCAGGAGTACTGCAAGGTAGCATTTTAGGCCCTTTGGTATTTAATTTATATATAGGGTAAATGATATTGTTAACATCAGCAAAACTCCCTCCTTCATCATTTATGCCGACGACACCAGTTTATTTTTTCCAGACACCAAAATGGAATACCTCGTTAATAAAACAAATGTTTCACTAAAGAAGCTGTACGACTGGAGCGAAGCCAACTCGTTAGCAGTAAGCACGAGCAAAAGTAAAGCTGTCCTTTTTAAACCTAAGAACAGGTGTGTTTTAATTCCTGTCGATGTTATTTTGGGTCCCACAATTATAGGAATTGTCCCAAACATTAAAACACTTGGCATCTGTTATAATGAACAGATATCCTGGGATTACCACGCTGATAGCTTTGTTATAAAGTTATCAAGGGTGCTTGGAAAACTATGCCATTTCAAACATTTATTGCCTCGTCACACAAAGATGGTTATACATAAGGTGCTTTTTCAATCCCATCTGAGTTACTGTAACTTAGTATTGCTGTAACTTAGTATGGGGTACCACAACTATGTCAAACATCAACAGGTGAAATCTTGACAAAAAGGACATTGACATAATACTCAATGTTCCTTTTGATACACATAGTTGCCCCCACAATTTGAAGAGTTACGTCTAATACCTCTCTCTGACCTATATGAGTACAGTACTCTACTGACATGCTATAGACCTAAGACGGTGTAAAAATTTTTTTCATACACCATTTCCACGTGAGATGTAACGGGGTCATATTTCGTGGGGAGCTTTTGTCAAGTCGCATAGATGCATAATTTCCTGGTTTCAAATGAAAAAATATCCGAATGGGTATTCATTGACCGCGATAACTGACCTCGCTGCTTTTAACGAAGCATGATCATAGTCACCTTGCCTTTTTGTTAGCTCTAGTTACAGGCGGAGCACCATAAAGCACATTCTCAAAAGAAGAGAGTTCTGTTCTTACGATGGAATTTGTGGCCAGAAATGAGTGGCGTCGCGATGAAACCCAAATAAATAAAAAGAGAAAGCCGTTAAAAACTCCCTGTAATGCCGAATTAGAGTGCAGCTCTGGAGGAGGAGGAGGGAAGGGTACTGAGGGGGGGGGGGGAGGGGGGGGTCATGTGACCTCGGGGGCATCACGTGACCTCAGGGGGAGGGGGGGGGAGGGCCACGTAAACCCCCCACCTCCCTGAGGTCACCGAAGGTAACCGAGGTCCTCCCGAAGGAACCCGAGGTCTTCCCGAGATCCTCGGGGGGGGGGGGGGCGATTCCGGCCGCTCAAGGCAGAAACGGGCGCCTAAGAGCTGCGCTCTAAAAACATGAAAACATATAAAACTGAAAATAAAATAAAAGAATGAGGCATTTTACGTCAGCGTCCCAAAAGCACTAAGTCAGCAGCCTCGAGGTCTGTTTCGGCGCGAGTTTGCCGCGTCGGACCCTCAATCTCGGCGGTTATGCCTGCCTCAACGCCCTTTGTTAGTGACTCTACTTCTATCGTTCCCCCCGTTTCGGCACGTATGTGTAGTTCTACCGATGTTTCCGTCGCGTCTCCCTCCCCGGAAGAGCGGGAAGGAGCGGGCACCTTCTCCTTCTCGAGCTGCTCCATCTCGTCGTAGAAGGTGATCAGGGTCTCCGGCTCTGGCAGCATCAGCTCCTTGTCCAGCTCCTTGCTGCGGGGAAGCGCAGGGAATCATCGACTGCCCCACCCCATCCGGCTAGAGTTCGAGTAAAATATAAGTGCGGCTCCGCGTCTTCGGTATAAGCCCCGAAAATTAACCCCCGAGCCAGTTTCATCAAAATCTGAAAAAAAAAAAACAATAAGCCCCGACCAACTGCCTAAAAAAAACCTGCTTCGTCTAGTTTTATTTTAAGCCAGAACATAGCCTGCACCAAACTGTCCACGAGGTTCCTGCTTTGTTTGGGAAGCAGACCCACTGTGCCCTTCCCTCGTCGACCCTGGGATGTTTTCCAATGATGTTCCCAGAAGGGAGTGGAATCCAACCACTATTCTTGTTTTCTTTGACATAGGCTGCGATAAATGCTGAATATTTGTCAGACGTGCAAAAACACTGAATCTCTAGAGAAAAATACCCCCCCCCCCCAAAAGAACAGCCCCGAATTAATAGAAGGAAAAAAAACTCGGAAAACACGGAACCTTAGATATAAGTAAATAAAGATGCTTGTTACAAGAGGTGTAACGTGTAAAAAAACCATTTCCTCGATATACAGTTTGGGATTACGTGGTAGGACTTTACACCCTCCAGAAGCGCTTACCAAAAAGAAGTGCCAGATCCATAGAAACCAGAATGACGAGTTGCAGAACAGAGCAAACAAAAGTATATTTGCGGGATTAATAAAAAGATGTGCACTTTGAAAGGGGGTAGAAACCCCAGCTGATTATAACGAAGTCTCCTTTTTCAAATTATCATCTTACAGTAAAACCTCGTTGATTCAACCCCCGCTAATTCGGAAATTCGGATAATTTGAACTGCCAATCCGGTCCCGTCAAACATGTGTATTGGTTAATGGCACCAAACGATCATTAATTCGGAGGGAACGCGGCGCACTATGGTTAATTCGGACAAATTCGGCAGGTGGCGCGAGCTACCGCCCGTTCCAAAGGCTATGATTGGAGGCAATTCACGATTGGAGGCAAACGACCTCCTAGACCTCAGATGTTAATTATTCTGGAACATCCATTTCTGTGATTGATATTTGGCCACTGATTTCAATTTGTGGGTCATAAAAGTTTATTCACCGCAAAATATGATTGATATGCTCTGTTTGTAAAGCCAAAATTGAATTTTATTTTTCAAACTAGAAGTTAAAGAAACAATGAGATTTTTGCCTTATAAATTTTTGGTAGTTCATTTTCCTGGTTGCACTTTTCCTTACAATAAACGAAATGCCATACATAATAATCCACAGAGGAGATTTACAGAAGAAAACAAATGCTATTTCATGTTAAAGATTGATGCTGGCTGGTGTTTTTGATTGGAATTAAGCGGTTCCAATCACTACTGCCTCGTATATATCAGTACTAGTATACTGCAAAAACCATTTCTAGATGTCTCCAAACAGTTTTCAACATAAAGGTGGAAAGAATCACTTCTTCACATTGGGGAAGAAATTGGGTTTAATCCGACTCTACAAAACTTGCTCGGGATATAAATAGCGGGAAAAGTGTGTTCAAGCTTTTACCCTAAAACAAAGTACACAAGTAGTTTACAATAGCTAACACCATGAAGTGATTTTCATTCCCTCACATAATTTATACAAGATTGAAGTTTATTTTAAAAAGAATTGATTGGAAGCTTCCGAAGATTTAAAGGAAATAAAAAAAAATATTGCAATCCACGAGGCAAACTTGTTGACTGACCTTGTATTCCTTGACCGAGAGAGCAGGTTGCATGGTAGTGGCATTTCACAAACGAACGACCTTTCATTGCTGTACGGCAGCCTTGTCACGCTTCAATAAACATAATGCAACTGAAGGATGCTGCAACACAGTTCAAACGGCATTGCCGATTCCTTGCCATATCCCGCAAATAAACCGAGACGCCCAAACGCACGCAGACTACACACAACCATTCTCCACCACTAATCTAAATTTGGCAAAGCTACAAAAATCAGATAGTCACGTGGCGTTACAATTTTCCCACTAAATTTAACGGAGAACGCTTCAGGCGACGTCGCAGTCTCGAGTGACATCACGTCATAAGACATCGCAGGACGTAACGAATTTCCTGCTAAATTCAACGACGAGATGCTTAACAAGAGATTAAGCCGTCGGGCGACGTCGTAATTTTCCCGCGAAATTTCGCGAGACATTTTTCCGCTAAATTTAAGAAGGAAACGCCTCGTGCGGTGTCACAGTGTCGAATGACGCCGCAACGTTATTCGCGGCCGTGAAAGGGGCGGCTGACCTGCGCTGCTTGAGCAGGCAGATCTCCGTCTGGAGCTTGAAGTGCCACTGGGCCAGGCGCCGGTGGTCGTTGAAGATCTGCATCGACTCGCGGCAGCTCGGTGCCGGGCTCAGGGGCTGCGGGGGGCACAGGGGGGAAGGCATTGTTGGCATGAGTGGGCAATGTCCCAGGTCTCTTGACTCCCTCTCGGAACCAGAGGGCCGTCGTGAAAGGCGCGCGTCCGGAGAGCTAAGCCAGGGGTCCTCAAACCTTTCGACCCTCGCCTGGCTCAACAGATGGCCAAGGTATTCGCACCGACGCAATAAAGCAGTTTGGGAGCCGACGGACCTCGTAAATGGTAATGCACGATGCTATGGAGTGTTGGGCTCGTCGTTGCGCGTCGACGGGCTGCTTAGATCCACCAAAGTAACGCCTAAACTGGGAAAACATTTTCCTCGGGGCAAGGACAGTTAAAAAAAAAAAGGGAGCTCGGCAAACCAACAAAGGTACTCTGGGGAACGCTTTTAGAAACCCTGTCTGAAAACCCGTGGCCCGAGCAACAAAATGAAAAATGGTACGGAGGAAAACACTCCATTGTGCCAACCGTGTCTGTCGCAGCGAGGTCCTTGCAAGTCAACCGAAGGCTCTGGTCATAACTTTAGCAGAAGCAAGCTGCGGTAAGCTCCTTACCCGAAAGAAATATTAAAATAGCCAAGCTTTTTATAAACATAATTTTTCTATACAGAGGGTTATACTGTAATTTTTTCAATTTGTTAAAGAATGGGCCTGTTATAACATACCTATAGTACTTCATATAACTGATAGCTAATGAAAGTATAATTGATACTGAATACGGCACGACATGGGAAACTTCCTCTAGTATGGTTAAACAGCTTTGAAAAGAATATCATTTCTAAAAAAGCGTCCGTTTAATGGACTAAACGAGTCCACAAGACCACCACGACAAACTTGTGTATTTATGTTTAGGAACTAAAACATGCAACCTCGTGAGGTATAAATGATGACTTACTTATTTCCCAGGTACAAAGTAATCATTTTAAAATAAATTGTAGGATCCAAGCACATTAGTGACATGTCCGAAGGTTGAGGTGCACGAGAACTGAAGCGCTCTGAACAGGCACCAGCTCCACTTCCATTTTTCTTTTCTAATTTTTTTTTTTTTTTGTTCCTCCTTTTGGAGCATTGACCCTTCAGTACCACGCGGAAAAGTGGTGATCTCATGCACGGATGTGCCACTACGGACACAGACATCCATTTCAATTTTGCATGTTCCGAATTTTTTAGCTAAAGCAAGTGACGTCTACAACAAAGATTTCAGTGGTGCTGGCACAGTTTGTGATTAAGAAATTTGACTGTAGTCCTAGATCAGTGGTTCTCAAATGGGGGTTTGCGGACCCTGTGAGGTCTGCAAAGGCCCTCTTGGGGCCCCTTGATGCTGGCTGTCCCAGCAGGCTAAATAGAGCAAACCATGCGTGCTCAGTGAGTAGGGTTGATTATTCTCCGTTCCAGAGCTTTCAAGTTGGTTTACACGCACTTAGTTTCCTACATTTAATTTTCTGTCATCGTAATCGTCCAATACCCTCCCGTACCTCCTGGCAAATGGGATCCCCTATCACATCTGTCGTTTGAAAAAAGGTCCTCAAAACACCAGTGGCTGAGAACCTGTAAATTGTATTGTATATTTTAAGAAAGACATCGATAGCAACCTTGCATTCTCCGTCAAAAGCTCGGCTCAGTAAGAAGTCGGACACAAACCTGCAGTGCTGGCTCAATCAACAGGTGAGCATTCAGTCCCAAGTCCACCTCTTGGGGGCATTCTGAAAAGGCGATGTGAATTAGCTACCTCGTTCCGTTGCATTAAGTGCAGGAGCAAATCAACCGCATAGCAGTACTTAAAGGGGTACTCCGGCGATTTTTTCATGGTCGCCGATTTGCCTCAAAATTGGCTCAACACATCAATAGACACGGCTGTACCAGTTCCCGAAGCATTGTGTGAAAAGAAAAATATTCCGCGAAGTTATTGAATTTTAGAATTTCGTTTTCATCGTGTTTCTCAGATCGGGAGACCCTACTGGCAACATTGAAGAGTGAGGACAGAAATGGTACAGAATGAGCAATAAGCCACGTTACCAACTGATTGCAAGACGTGGGATGGTGGGAAAAGAATGCTCGGTAGCTGATTCACCGAAAAGCACGCAAAAAACAGTCGACATACTCCGTTTAAAACTACCTGCACAACCTGAAAGTCTGTACCATTTGTGATGTCACATCACTGGAGAGCGCACGGAAATTTGAATGCTGGTTTCGGCATCATCTTCATTTACGGTTTTCTCAATGGCTATTTTGAATTTAAAGAAAAAAAATAGCATACCGTGAAGACTAAAGTCCGGCTTGCGACTGAAGTCCGCAAGCCCCGCTTAGGTTGCGAGACTCTCTGGCAACCTAAATGCGGCAGACAAGGATGGCACGCGTATGTGATGTGACCGGTCTCGAGGGCGTGCAATGCATACTGGTCCAGAGCCATTAAGTAGGCCTAGAGTATGGACACTCCGTTCCTCCCGTGGTGGTTGCCTAGCGCAGAGCGGGTGCACTTGGCTATAACATAATTAGGTTCCAAGATGCAGTTTCCACAGCTTTTGACACAGTAGGCTTGTTCGATTTATTTGCACTTCCTGCACCGATGCAGAAAAGTGTAGGGCAGTGTACTTCCGGTTGTATCTCAATACAAACACCGGAAGTACACTGCCCTACACTTTTCTGCACTGGTGCAGCAGGTGCAGGTAAATCAAATGAGCCTAAAGGACGAGCAATATCGTGTTGCTCTGTTGCGGACCATTTTCACATTTCTGGAGGATGAAACAGTGTTTCCTCAATTTCAGATGAAGCTCCAGATAACTGGCAACCAGATTTTAAAGGGATCACAAAATGTTTTTCCCGAATTCCAAGCTATCTGTCGACTTGGAATCCTTGTCCTTTATTATACAACCCACAATCAATCTTCTGATCGTTCCAATTTGTTTACTGGTAGATAATCTCGCTTTCCCAGGGAGCTTCCCTCTAGGTTCTACAAATATGTCACAATAATTAAGATCCGGCAGATATATTTCTTTTCATGACGCCTTAAAGGGCAACTATGGTCAATTCCAAGAAATTTGAGTTAATGACTGATTAGATATCCTCAGGTAGCAATAAACGATTCTATGTAATTACTTTCCAATAAAACATAATATTTCTTTCGCAACCTTAATTTAAAGCTCACCACAAATTGAAACCGAAACCTTGCTTGCGGCGGGCAACGTTGCCCGTGCGTCATCACTGCCATGCTCCAACCACATGGTACAAATTGTGATGTCAAGTACCAGGCAGTTAGGCGCAGCTCGGCGCAGGATCGAAAATGTCGTCCGCTATGATAAGCAGTCCGCTACACCCGACGACGCCTGCACTACAGTGGCCGGAGGCTGTTTTAGCGCAGAAAAAGACACGGTTTCCCGAGGGCTCGTGTTGAAAATATCTGTAGAAAGTGAAATTCAGTAAACCTCATGTAGATATGTCGCCGGGTTTCTAGAGGTACACTGTGCTAAACGTTGCAAACTTACTCTCGCGAATGCAACAGACGCTTCCGTCGATGTTACGCACTTGCACGGGAGCATGTGGCCAACGATGAGTGTGCTGCTAACGTCGCCTGTAGGCTTCGCTCGAAAAAAGCACAATAGAAGAAAACAAATCTTATGGAGCGGCCAGAGCTGCCCCGGGCATGACGTAGGTAATGCAGGATAGGCCGTGCCGCCACGGTAGTATTGACTGCATCGTTGACTACGGCGCACCTCGCCCACTAGGATTAACAGATTTTGGTAATTTCGTGCACCACAAACTTTGTTTGCCAGTTTCATCAACTTTTAGGCAGTATTAGATAGGAATATTTGGCGTATGGTCTTTCCAGGTGATACTAAAAAGAACTGGAGTTTTCTTAATAGTACTGAAAGTGAACAGGAGCTGCCCTTTAAGCGACGCGATGGCTGACGCTACTACGAGGCATAGCTAATGTGGTGGCCCCGGTGTCGTCCGGTTCCCCGACCGACCTGGCGTTGACGGCCAGGAGGTCTTCCGGGGGCCCTCAGGCCCCTTGGGGGGCGTGGCCCTCTGTTGCCAGCCCTTGGGTCGTTGGGCCGCCACCTCGTCCCCGCCGCCCCCGTGGGCCTGGGGGGGGTCCGCGGGGGGGGACGCCACAACCACCTGCTGCGCCGACCCCATTGACCCCGTCCGCCGGTGCTGCCCTGAAACACACCGCAGGTGGAGGTTACGTCGCCCGTACGGCTGTGTCGGCATCCTTCGTTGTGTCAACTTAGACATTGAATATCTAATCTGTAATGTCGAAGCTTTAAAGCGTTGGCACGTTGAAAGCCGTGGAGGTACACTTTTTCTTTATTTTTGTCGTGCCTTACACTGCCGTCGTTATTGATAACGGTATTGCTCGAATCGCAGTGATATAGATGACACGCTGGTGCACCTGTAAGTCCTGTGCTACGTGTTTTTGTTTTTATAATGCTGTCCCCTGTCATTCTGTACCGCTGACTTTTATTAAGATGGCGTTGCGCAGATTTTGCTTTTTGCTTGCAGTGCTCTACTATTAGTTTTGTTTTTCTCTTTTCGTTGTTGTTCCCTTTTGTTTTGTTGTTGCGTGACCTTTCTATATAAAAAATTATTCAGAAGTGTGGGCAAATTTTGAGGGATTGATTGATCCTCATAAGTTGTTCTGGCCCTGCATATATTGTGTTTTCTGGTGACATGTATTGTATCAAGAAGCATATGAAGTCAAATTGAACATTCGCAATAAAGGAATAGTATTCTGTTCAAACAGCCGTTCTGAAGGTACGAGATGAATGAAAATCATACAGAAAAGGTGCAGAAATTAAATTACTAAATTCACTAAAATAAGTTTCAGTATGGAGAACTCAACTGCTACACATTCACAATAATGTGCACGGCCCTTTTGACATGATGTCTTGCCCAAAGGGCTCCATGTACGCAAACTTATGTAACGGAAATAGATCTCACTATAGGGTGCTTCCACGTGACATACTTCCGGGCTCTGAACTTCGAATCCCTATAAGTGAGCCCTCCATAGATTACGTTGACGTGCCATTGCACAAAGCGTTTCTCGTTAATGCAAGCGTCTTCGGCTATGTACACTCAATCAACCACTCAAATGCATTTATCTGCGACGATTTCCAAAATAATACAACTTTCAATCCTTTTTCTTCCGTCATAAAATGTTTTCCGTTGCTGTTGTAAACTGTATAGCTGATTCGAGAGGCAGTGAAATACAGGTTGATCGGCGACAGGGGGTGAAGACGGGTGCAGAACGCGGCAAATCTCGAAGGCTGACATAGATGGTCTTGAGAGAAAGAATGAAAAAGAGAGCGACAGAAAAGCAGAAAAAGAAAACAGACGAAAGGTTATGCATGTCAGTTTTGCCACGGCGAGTTGAAGTTGCTCGGGCGCTTTTCAACTTTATTTATTTTTTACAATGCGCAATTCCGGTGTTTTCCTGCAAAGTAAGTTCGAAAAGAACTAGGTACAGATCCTACAGACAACGGTTTTCTACTTCTTTGCACTTATTAGTGAGTTGCGAGCGATATGGGTCCATCGGGACCGCCCCACTGGGACGACCAGTGTCCGTGTCTACACCCTGACGCTATGCTTGTCGTTCCAAAGTGGGCCGAATGCATGGGACCTTTTCCTCTAGGTAAGGGGTCCTCAAACTGGGTTCCACGAGCACCCAAATTGCAGTTTGCACCCCCCCCCCCCCCCCCCCCCCCCTTGTTTAACCTTCCATGGACTGAGCCATGGATTGAGTTGGTGTTGCGGACAAAGCAACCTCACTCTTTGCACTAATAGTATGCATATATACTTTACGTTGTGCCCCAGGTTAACCCCTCTGCCTTCTTATTAGGTCTGTCCTCCATTTAGCCTTATCCTCTCGGTGCAATAAACTTCAGTTCACTATCTAAATGCCTTTATTGCCCAGCATGATCAGTTGGCAACAAGAAAAGGGGGGGAGGGGCAGGGTTCCTTGGGAATTTTCGAGGCTTGCTGGGGTTCCCTGGGATGAAAAAGTGAGAACCCCTGCTCTAGATGATTATATTAGGTCTGTTTGATTCGCCAGAACTGGCTAAACAAGTTCAACAGTGCAAGAACTGGTGCATTCGATTCAACCAAAAGCTGCATGGCGGCACATATGCATGTTCGATTCATTCCAGTTCTGAATGAGTTAAGACCCAGCTCCTTGGCACCTAGCACTGGCTCCGGAGTCAGTTCAGCGTCCGTGCAGAAGCAGACAAGAGCAGACGACACTCCTTGACCGTCTCTGCTGACGGTGCCATTTCTGATTTTTCGGAGCTCTTGCTCAAATGTTTGCGATGTTTAACAAGATGGAGGTTACATTTCCATTCAGGGATAAAAGTAACATACCTGTGGCGGATGCGGAAGCGAGATCCTAGCAGAGGGTAGGAATTGGCTCGAATATAATATTCTGAAAGCGTCTTACGCTTCAGCTCGAGCAGGTTTGCCTCCCTCTGGTAAGTGTTAAAAGATTGACTCACATAAATGGTTTCTTTTTTATGCTATATGGGTATTCAGTGTTGATATTCTTCTTAGAAAATACAGGAAAAGTATTACACTTTTGATAGCCCCTGCCTTCAGTTCCTCTTGGATGCAGACTGACAACTCCGATATACCGCGTGTTCCAAATAGCGGCCAGGCTCTTTAAATCGATCGCAAGAATCGGTTTCTTAACCTATCGCGTTACGATTTTGTACAGCGTTGGCCACTGATGGTGCTTTTTTTCTATATAATTTGCAAAGAGCGAACTTACCCAAGGAAGAAGTAAAGAAAGAAAAAGGCTTAACTCCTATGGAAATGCAGCGAAGCCAGCGGTCTTCAAACCATAGAGCGCCTTATGGTTTGAAGACCGGTAAAGAGCCTGGTCGCTATTTGAGACACGGGGTATCGCAGAGGTCAGCAATTTAGTACAACGGGAATCGCAAGCCCCAGCAGCTCAGCAAAATGCTGCATGCTGTGTCCGCTGCTGTCTGCGGTTCTCACGAAGTTCGAGCTTTCTGCGATGCATAGTTTATTTACCCGGGCCAAAAAAACATGGTTCCCATTTCTCGGAAACTCCCTGTATATTCTATAGTGGCACACGCAGCAGAAGGACACAAACGCTAATGAATGATAGAAGGCGGCCGGTAACCGTTCAAAATGTAGACAGAAATGCATTTCGTACTGAAAACGTTTTTAGTACACTCGAATAAAGAAACATTCACAGAAAATATTTCGTTGATATACTTTAAAACTAAAAAAACGCGGATGGTCTCATCAAACTGTGAAGAACTAAATGTAGCATACGACGTAGCGTGAAGAAACAAGAACCAACAGATGCAAATGACACCCTGTGCTTCCGCTGCAGAAGCCGATCACAGCACCAGTCCTAGCGTGGTGGCTGCACTGGTTCTGCGCCACCACTGCACAACTCTTGCACTCCTCTGAACTCGGACAGAACTAGTTCAGAACTTTCTGGCTGAATCAAACAGACCCATTAACTTTATAGTCGGCGCACGGGGAGGCGGCAGCCGAACCTGGAGCCAGTGCTATACGTGCATGTCGGTTAAGGCTTGGGGAGGCGTGAGGCCACATCGCTGCTGAAACACACCAATATACTTTGCACCTGTCCTACCACCGTCCCCTAATCAATGGCGTGTGCTCACCGATGAGTTTAGTCTCCAAAAATCAAATGTAAGTCGCGTTTCGATCTGCACTTGTTTCAATTTCCTGTATGACTTCTGAGTGAATACACTTGCAATGTGTCTGACACTGGTATTGTTCGGACTCTTGCATGTTATACAGTAGTACAACTTTAACTCGTGTTCAATATTTGTCCCGTTCAATTGATTCTGTGACTAACAAAATGATGTCTTCTAATTCATACTTGTGTTCTATTCCATTCATACAATTACATCAAAATAAATGTTACATTTGACAGCCGCGTATCATTTCAGTCGACTCGGCACATACCATAGACATCATGCCTAAAACTTGCGGCCATGTCATTACAGCCTACCCGTTTTTTTCTGTGGTTAGTAGTCCGAGCTTATTTTGTTTACACGTAATTCCCAACGAGAAATTCTATAGTATTACTTTTTTAGTGCTCCTCTAGCCCAACGACAAAGATGTTGGGCTAGAGGAAAAGTTCCAAGGTGCAACATGAGCCGATGCGTTTGGAGTTGCACTCTTTGTGATACTCTGCAAAGGGACAAACAGAGGACTTGCCCTTGGGGTTCCTGGAGAGCAGGGCAAAGTCGGCCGACGTCCTCTTGGGCCGGGTGTTGGGGGGGCAGCCGTTCTCCAGAGCCCCCTCGGAAGGCTGCGAGAGGTCCTCCACGCTGCACGACAGCGACGCCGGCGCACTCACCTGCGGCACTGCCTCGGGCCTCTGCAAGGCACGGGGCTCGAGTCAACGTCCCGCCGGCAGCCGTCACAGCCAGGATCGAGACGTCAGTGTTAAGAGACGCAGAGTGTGTTGTGTGTGCCTTAGCCTCCTTGGCTATCCAGTGCTCTTAGACAAGCAGGTGTGCGATGGTCGTATGGACTGCTTAAAAATTTTAGATTCATGCATGTCGCTCAAATAGGCTTTGAGGGGCTTTTAGACTCGTTTGAGAGGCTCAGACAGACATACGTGTATTCAGCATCTCTCAACTTTGTGTGGACAAAATAAGGGAACTTGCAATATTTTTTCATTAAAAACTCAATGTCGCGTGAAACTGCATGACGTGCTCGCGCGACCACAATGCCGCACGAAGCCACATAAGGTGCTTGTGCGACCTTCGCGTTGTGCAAAGTCGTGTAACGTGATAACATTATGTGATCGTGTTGCACGATCACGTAATGACCACTATACGTGATCACTAATACTGGTCGTGTAACTGTAGCTTAAGCGATGATGCGCCCTACGACAATTACGCGGTCGTGCACACGACCTCTCTCGACATTTTGGGCGACAGACGTCTTCCGTCGATGCGGGTATGCAGCAGCCGTAGTGACATTCTTCCGAGCTGCTCCGCCCGCCTACTACGAGCGAGGTCCAGGGTTTGGTTCCTTGCAAGCAACAAAACGCTCTAACCGTAAAAAGAAGCCCAAAAATGCAGTTCACAAAAGCAATTACAATCAATTGTACAGCGATATACTGCCCGTACGCAGAGATGGTCGTTTAGGCGAAGAATTGAACTCCTGTAAGGCGTGCCAAGTGTGTCCACTCCAATGGTCCCACCAAGAACGTCGCTCGGACGCTAGTGCTCCGAACGAAGCGAGGGACGTAGGAACAACGCCCGGCACGACGCTCACCTGAGGCGTGCCTTCTGGGATGCGAGCGGCCAAGGAGGTGGCCTGCCTCTGGGAGCCCCAGGAGCTCGAGGTGGGGGACATGGCGTACTGGAGCCCCGCCGACGAACTGCCGGTGTCCCCACCCTCTGCTGCAAGAGTGCCCGCAAGACCCCTCAACATTTCGCCCCTTGAACAACCAACACCCGCAACACCGGCTAGCTGTGGTTGAGGGAGGGGGAAGCGGCGACGGAAGTGGCATTTGACCTTTTGTAGCAGGTTTTGTAGCCGGCAAAATACTGGCTCACGGTGCTAGCAGATGCGCTAGCAACATCTGCTAGCGCGTCACTTGAGAATGAAAATTGATTGCATTGCTAAATGAGTTCTTTGATAATGACTGAGGATTCCTCTTTGATACTAGACCATATTCCTTTTGGTAAGAATAGATAAAGCACAAAAGGATCACAGAGCCTTCTTTTTAGAAATAAGGCTCTGGTTATAGTAGGTTCCATTTACAACGGGTGCTGAACAATGGTTGAAAAATGAATCATAGCGCAACACTTCAGTTGAAATAAAGCCTCTTTCCCCTCCTGCTTCTACACCTGCAAGTTTATTTAGTCTCTAAATATAATTTCTTCAAAAAGCCAGCACAATACAGAGTACCCACCAACGGGTCTATCAGTAAAAACGCATCCCTTTAACTTTAAGGAATATTCCAAACTCAAGACTCTAATATGATAAACTGCAAAAACAACCACTCATGCATATTATGAAAGCCTACACTTGCGCGTTAAAAGTGATACTGCTCTATAGTGGCATTGCAACCAGAGTGAAGCTCAAGTTTGGTGGTCTTTTAATCGACTGCTGAATAAAATATACCTCAACATTTTAAAAAAAAATTTTACATTTTTTTGGCACAGTTTTTTAAACTTGGAGATCGACCTACAATCAAGATCAAAGAAGGTAAACCTGCAATAGTACTGAGTATAATTCCCGAGCCTTCCGCGCTCGCCCATGTCGGCCGCTGCCCCTAGCACTCCGGTGCCAAGCGGTGAAGCTCGACGCACATGTGTTGGTGAGAGGCGGCACGGAGGCATGAGGCAGATATGATAACCAAGGGTTCCTACTGGGAGTAAAAGACCCTCGTTCCGTCTGATCACAGTGGTCATGATCCTTCTCTTTTGAAATGTTTTCTCGCAATTGTTAGCTCCTGACATCGTCGACATCGCGTGGAAATTTAGACAATGTCGGCGATGAACCCGCCAACGCATCAACCAATCAGAGCAGTTCACGACCAATTTCAATGCTTCGCTTCACCTCAAGTTAAAGAGCAGCCGACGCTACGAGCCGACAAGACCAACCAAACGGCATCAAAGCGTGACATTGTGGCATTCGTCCATGTTCCTAAATGTGTTCTTTTATCAGCTATAAACCAATCAAGTGCAGCAAATGTTCCATGACTTGCACTTTCACTATGCGTGTTTGTGGTTGTATGTGTTTGAGACCTCAACTGTGCTGACGTAAGACGAAACAAACTATACAGCGAGTAGAGATGCTGTAAAATACATATTTGTGCCATTTTTTTTTGTCGTTCCTAGGCCCGTCATGAGCTTCGAGACGTCCGTAATGCGTCCCCTTAGTAGGCACTGCCATTTGTGGCTGCACGAGTATGTGTACGGCCGCTGAAACGGGCAGGGGTAGAATATAGAACTACCGAGCGGAAGTTCACTGGCTTGATTCCTGGACAAAATGATTTTTGCGCAGACAGGTGCTCGTGTTAGCACATTTTCTGTTACAATTTTTCGCGATGCTTTAGACTTTAAAACCAACCCTAAAATGCATTCTGCGTCAAAATAATTTCTCGGTCCGTTTAAATCACTGAGCGTGGCGCTCGCCGAGAATACGGACGGTGGGCCAATTGCATCACACTTTGTGTACGAACAACTACTATGCAAAGCTCGAAACGAGAGGTCGGGCCTCACCTTCGGGGGGCACCGGGTAGGAGATGGGCTGATCGGCACCCTCGAAGTACTGCGAGAGGTCGGCCATGATTCTCTCCACCTGTGCCATGGGAGGGCGCAGCGAGGGCTCTTTGGACCAGCAGCTGCGAGTGGGAGAGCACCTTGGACGACCCGGATGCGCAGGTACCCTGTCTCGGTAACCTCCAGCACACACACTCACTGTCTTCCATAGAGCTACGGCTGCGCCTACGAGCTACGAGCTCGCAAGACGCCAAAGCGAAAGTGGGCAGCTCGAGACGGATATGGGAAAACCAGCTGCCTGCTGGTCTTATCCCGCCAGCGACTACATAGCCCCAATCGGAATAAACAACCTGGGACAATTACCCTTTCTTTCGACTCTCGGGTGAATTAAATATACTACGAAATACAGAAAGCTAAAACTGTAACTGAAGCTAGCCTTAGCGACGACGATACATTAAAAGGATTAGCCCTTTTCAGAAATGAAAGGTCATACGGATACGGTTAAAAATTAAAATTTGTTCTACACACGCTAATAGACCGGCGAAGGAGTTGAGACGTGCCACCGGAGCAAAAGTACAATTTGGCCAGTAGACAACACACTTCCATGTACACTATGTGGTAGTGCAGACACGAAAGCACGCCGGTATGATAACCCTTCACAGTAAAGCTGGTAGGAGTAGAGATTAAACTTTTCATCCTCGAATCCACAGTGCGAGCTCTCGCTCCGTGAAATCGAGCTGCGGCACCTTTAGCACAAGCTACTACTGATTCAGCGCCTGGATCACACATTTATTCCCACTGTTACTGCGAATGTCTTCTGGCAGTCTACGTCTACTGTGGCAAGTGGCTGCTTGAGAGAACACAATAAGATCGATCTCATCATACTTTGTTTCTGCCTACGGTGAACTACAGCCAAAGTTACGGGTTGCCAGGTCCAGTCACACACCGGTCACAAAGTGTGCAGTACGTTGCTCAAATGGGCACATCGGCGGAGGAATATGCCACATCTAACTGGCTGGTGAGTGGGCTAGGCATTGGTTGTAGTTCATGGCTGGGCAAGACAAAGTACAACTCTTGATGAAGCAACCAAGGGAAACCAAAGACTGGGATCGGAGCCAGAGGAACGGGACCTGAATGTTACCTGGTCATGAGCTTCTCCAGGCAGAGGGGACATCCTTTCACCATGGGGGGCCTCTTGCCTGAATGCACAGAACATCAGCTTAGCATCTGGGACCTCCAGGGCGGAAGCTAAGTCAACCTAATTAAAGTCTGACGCAGTCTTTGACCATCGAGCCAACTGATCCAGAAACTCCAGCAAAATTGCTTTTCTGCCACTGTATGCACCCACTCCCACCTTACAAAAAAAAGAAAAAAGAAAAAAAGAAAAACGGTTGTGCACTTAGTTTGCACACTGCACAAACAGTTCATAGAAGATCTTGATGTCAGAGGAAGAAGCAATGCGTTCTGCATCTGAAATGTTTGATTGAATAAACTAACAAAGGCTTGATCTTAAGAAAATACAATTACTCTCCAAATTCAACACATAAACAGGAAAATTAGTAAATGCTCTGAGAGAAGCCAATCTTTCGTTAAGTAAAAAAAAGAGCACAGACATATCCCTGGCACCCTCACTGAAACAAAGCTCAACACCAAGATTCTGCACGTATGAGTGAGTGCAGTTTCTGTGAAACATTCAACCTGCTCAATCTGGCCCACGCAAAATAACTAATTTCTGCAGAACTATCGCAACCCACTTAGCATATGAACAGGGCGATATCTTTTAATGAAAACAAATTATTACAAAAAAGGGAGTAACAGTTACGTGGATGCCGCCTTCACCGTACGTATACGGGGCTCAGCAGACGTTAGGCGGAAAGATAAGGAACCCTCCTGATCAGAACGATTGGACTCAAACCTGTTAACTAGCTTTTTAACTATTGCTCTTATGGGTCACACTGCAACTGCAGTATTATGGCAATTACCTTTAGAGGCCAGAGCAACATAACAAATTACAAGAAAAGGCAATGGTTTCTTAGATATTAATCCACACATTTTTGTATTTTCTAGCCAGATTTCAAAATTGAGTGCAAGCCGCAACTACTACGACGCTTAAAGAAAGTGCAGAAGTCGTTCCAGCCACATTGTCACTACGTATCTCGGCAGTGTGCCATCGGCTTGCCGCAAATTGCTTGCCTCATTTATCACTTCATTGTACTTTGCCGCAGCTTACGGCGTGCCCGACTCTTACATAAGAATCACATTGTTTTTCGTGGCTTTTTTTATTATTACAGTCGAACCTCGATATAACGAACTTCAATGTAACGAAATCCTCGATTTAACGAAGTATTTTATTTTTCATAATTTTTTGCCCATAGACCCCATGTATTTTTAGTCTCTATATAACGAAGTCCATTTTGCTGCTATTTCAATATAACGAAGCGCCATTGCCATAGAAGGCAATAAATAAATAGACTAAAAAACAACTTCGCAAAAAAAATTATGGTTAAAAAAAAAATTATGCGCAAACGCGAGCGCTTTGATAGGTTACTTCACGGGGACAGGCCTTCCAACGTTCCTAGGCTGACCGAGGATGCGGCGCCGGTAGCGCCGGCGAGGCATGCGGCAAAGCGGATTCTGCGGGGCTGGCCAGAAAATGCCGAGCAAAAAGTTTACACGGCATAACAGCATCACCACTGACATTCACTGATCATCATAAACCACTGTACCGCGGGTAGCGCGGGAGCCAACTTCAGCGGGGGAGCGACGTGATGGCGCGATATGGCGCGACCGGACGGGCAGTGCCATCAAGGAGAAGACCGAGAAGACCGATTATCGTCTTGGGACCGTGATGTAAAGCAAAGGCGCAAGCACACTGTGGGCGCAAGGGGGCAAGTAAACTGTGCGGGTAAAAGCGCTGTGTAGGTTGGAAACATTGGCACCGCCTAAACTAAACAGCTTTATTTTCCAACCGGGCGGTTCACTCACGTGCTTGCTGGCATAAGGAAACGTGAAGTTCTTTTATTGGATGAGAAAGCAAACGTTTTGGACGCCATCCTGAAGAAAGTGCTGAGATCACGAGCACTCGGGAAGTGCTCGACGCAATGGACGTACTGAGGAGGTACACGGCGTCGCATAGGCAGCAAGATGCCGTGCAAGCGCTCTGGGCGCTCGAACGTCGTATGACGCCGCTGCTACTGTCGGACAAGGCGCAAGCAAAACTCGCGGACTACTTTGCCCCTAAATAAATGTCATTTTCGGTGAGTTTTCATACCCGGAAAATGTTTCGGAATTTTTTTTTTTTTTTTGCATGCTAAAGCCAAATTTTGATTTAGCGAAATTTCAATGTAACGAAGTAAATTGCGAATTTTACCGACTTCGTTACATCGAGGTTTAACTGTATTCGCATCATTTTGTCTTTTTGCTCGTTTCATGCCACATGGCCGCATCCTAGAGCCCTGGTCCTCGATGGCTTCCAAGACGAGGCGGTCGTGTCGATCACCAAGGCCAACAAACGAGCCGGGGAAGAGGGAGTCTGTCTCACCCTGGTGCACTGCCCACATGATGCAGAAGGCCGGGGGGCCACAGTCCTCAAAGGGCTTCCGCCGCGTCAGCACCTCCCACAGGATGATGCCCCAGCTGAACACGTCGCACTTCTCCGTGTAGTTGGAACCTGGCGGGCACAAACAGATCACTCGCTTGACCCAAGTCCCCGAGTCTGTATCCGCATGGGCACGTCTCTTGGCACTCTACGCAGCTTGCACAAAACTTTTCTCGGTCTGTATGTATAGCACACATCAGTTTTTTTAATTTCCTCCTAGGACGGTTTCCAAAAGGCAGTGAAAGACTGCTTGACACGGTGGAGTCCAGAGGAAGAGCCCATGTTCCTGCGATAAACCCTTTGCTGAGCAGTCATATAAATTGGAAGGGGAATAATGATGCATTGGCAGCATCATACAGGCATCTTAGCAAAAACTTGTGCCCTATGAAATGCCTCCTCAACACATGCACCCGCATTTTAATGCGAAAGCACTGTCCCATAGAGTGAGCCGACGTCATCAGTTTGAAGCACAAAAACGGCACCTAGTTTCCCTGATTCCAAAGGTCCCATTGGCTGGCGTGCGGCGACAAGGCTGCCATTGGCCGCTGCACGTGGCAGCGCGCCTATAAAACTAACTGCCGCAACTTCATGCCACTATGGGCCCCGCGCCGGTTAAAATGGACACGTTGGCGCGCGCTCTGAGTTTTCTGCTCATCTCGCCGCCGGTCAACATGCCGTCGCCTCCATCATCCACATCGTCGGCGGTGCTTCTGCTCGTCTCGCCGCCGACGAACATGGTGCCACCCCTAGTGTCCACATCGTTGAAGGGGTTTCTGCCCGTCTGGACACCCCATTGTTTCAGGCCTACAGCCAACATGCGAACGAAGGAACTCTAGAAAATTAGCCCGCTGCAATTTCATCACAAAAAGCTTGAGGTACACTTAAGTACTTCTTACGAGATGTGAATGCGAAAGCATGCAAACCGCTCATCCGCTCCCTTTGTCGTCTGCTGCGTACTGAAGAAACTCAGCGGCCAATGGGAGCCTTGTCGACGCGCGCCAGCCAATGGAACCGAAGGCGAATCGCTCCTATTGGGATCGCGGCGGAAACTAGGAGCCGTTTTTGCGCTTCAGTCAGCTCGCTCCATGAGACCAGTTAATGCTTTCGCATTAAAACTCTAAAACTTACCCCGCAGCACAACTCAAACACATTGCTTGCGCCACAAAACTCCGCGGATCACTCCGCGGCGTTCCATTGGACATTCATGCTTTCGCATTCAGAACTCATAAGAAGTGCTTAGGTGCTTCCTTCCGACAAATGCACCAAGATGACTGTGGTGGCAAAAGCTACCCCTTTCTTGACGAGATTACCTGGGCTTTTAGGAGTGAGACATCTTGAGGTGTTTTTGCATAAACAGAAAAATTGTGCCTAAAGCCAGCTTGGGTTGCCTTTCAGGGGAAGACATCTCTCGGTATACCACGGTTCTAAAGATGCTGCAGTTTATTTTCTGAATTGAGTATAATGAAAACAAAAGAAAAAAGGAGACTTTACCAAAGAGACTACTAATCCACCTAAACTGATACGGCACTCCTAGCATTTTAGAAGAGAGGCTGGAGTCACGCCTGCAGTTCTGCTTTTGTTCACTCCGATTACCGCCACCCACACTCGCAGCTCCGCAAAAACGCAGACTCACTCTCGAAGACTTCCGGAGCCATCCAGGCTGCGCTGCCCTTGTTGTTGGTCATCTGCGTTTGGACGTCGCAGGCCGTGCCAAAGTCGCAGATCTTGAGCACGGTGCCTCCGTTGACCAGCAGCAGGCTGTAGGAAGATGGGCGGCATCAAAGTGGCCCCACCGGGGTATACCCACCACACACTGTCTGGCATTGTTCAATTCACACACTGCCTAAATTTTGCCCGTTAGAAATCTAGCGGAAAAAGGACCCCTATAAGCATCTGTAATACTCTTCAACAGTCACCTCAGCGTTGAAATGAACTGGCTTACGATTAATGAGTGAAGCATCCACCATCGCATGCACAATTCCTGTTGCCAAGTGACAACTACATATAACTTGTTCCTTGCACGTTTACGAAGCATGCTGCGAGAGAAATTTAGGTTTTCAGAGATTTGTTTGACTATCGCTACTTTTGGGACAAATTTCTTCAAAACTAATCGATTTCTTGGAGTTGGCTCGAGTCTCGAGGGCCAGCCCGAATAAATCAAGTTTTAGAAAATAGATACCCCCAAAAAGTAGCGGGCTATATTTGAATAAATATGATAGTTATCTGCAGCCTTAAAAGATAGCACTAAATAAACTGCCATGGGAAAATTGCTTTGTCTCGTCTATAGGCATCCAATGGCGTTATCGGTCGTTTCGTACACTCAGATCATGCATTTTCTTAATCGTGGTCCACTCAAGAACCTATGGACGAGGTTCTAAACCAAATACGTGAAAGTAACCTTTTGTGAGTGCATGCCTATTAAGTGGCCTAACGCATTACTTGGTAAGAATTTGCCGTTGCGTGCAAGAGTGGAGTCTCTCTGAAAATGAGGGCCTGAGAAGGGAGTTATTGGAGTAGCATGATCAATAGCTTGGACGAAGTCGGAGCGCAGAACGTTTTCCGCTTCCCCCCCCATCTCGACCAATTGTGCTCCTTGCCACAGTGATGCATACTTTAGGTCCCGCGATTGGTCACACAGAGCTCGTCGGCTGCTCTGTTGAGCTTATCTAGAGGCACCGACTGGGGACAGTCTTTGTCTGCAACTTACTTGGGGGGTTTGAGGTCCCTGTGGACGAGGGCCTTGGGCTTCATGTTGTGCAGGTAGGCGACTCCCTTGGCGCACTGCAGCATCCAGCTGATGGCGTGCGCAGCTGTGTAGTGCACCTCCTTCATCGTGTGCAGCACTGGACGGGCCAAACAGACACAGCCATGAGAAAGGGTCGTACCAGTGCTCTTTTTGGATGCTTGCACAAACTTTGCCTCGAATACGTCCATGCATTTAGACACTGTTGCACACTTTGGGAAACCAGACACATTTAGAGTAGTCTATTCCACCTCAAGTGGCCAAGTAAGACCGGTACTTTCCGAGAAAGAGAACAGTAATGGTGGCGTATATTTTAATTGTGTTTATGAATGCCAGGGAGGTGCAATGTACTGTGCTATCCCGAAAGATCAACCGCCCCCTATTTTTCCCTTGATTTGTTATTTTCTTTTAAACACCGAAAGATAGCGTATTCCTAGTAATCAATGTGTTTGAATCAATATTGACCTTGGCATAAATGCGGCTAGTTAGCTATAGTGAGATATAGGCGAACATTGCTGACTGGGAAGTACAGTCGTCGTTGTTTCATTGACCCTCGCCACAGTAACAAGTTTGGCGGGAAAACGTGATCTAAAATTTCCTTGATTGTACGCCGAAAGTTAGCCCACTCCTTATTTTCACCAGATTTGCTCTCAATTTTAGGGAGGCTATCTCTCGGGAAATTACAACAGTTGGTGCTTATGAGGGTCTAAACCAGGGTGGAAGAAATCAATATTTCTTCGACACAAATTAAGCAAATGAGATTTATTTGATTTAAATAAGATTTATTTGATCTAAATCAGATTAATATGATTTAAATCGCTGAAGCTAGAAACTAGTGATTCTTTACCACTAGATGTATTTCTCAACATGGCAGATCGATTGATCAATTCGTCTGATCACTGATAACCAATGTGGGATACAAAATTACTGTAAACGTAAAGTAAAGTTTTCAACTTTTTGGTGATGTAATTCCTGCTGTATTAGAACAAAAGCTGCTTGATTTTTTGTTAGTTAAGAAGCTTTGATTTTTCTTTCGCATTCTGACGTGATTACGACAGGGCATTCCTTTTCTAGTTCTTGTTTCTTCTGCATTTTGATTTTGTTGTACTAGGATGCTATGTAACTGACAAACAAAGTGGAAGGTAGAAATCAAACCCAATGTTGTGATTTGCCCAGAAGAGCACTTCTTGCTTGATGATTTTTTGATATAAATACAAAACAAATGCACACAGAAAGCATAAAACGATAGAAAAACGGTAAATAAAAACGATTTTAGGGATTATTCGAGGGGAAGGTTCAATTTAAATCATCATGTTAAAACTGGTCCTGTTTTAAAAACAATTTCAATCAAGATATAAGTCATGATTTAAGGGTGATTCACCCACATGTCATTCAATTGGCAACTTTGTCTACACAAACCCGAGTTTCAGGAATGCAGGAGAGTATTGATTCTTTTGGAGGTTCACTATAAGGAAGTAATGAAGGTTGTACAGCTTCTAAATTTTGCTCTGATAGCATTGAAGGATTTTAATAAAATCTAGAAATAAGACAGCTTTAAGGGCATTTTAAAGCAATTTTAAAATTAAAATTAGTTCTAAGATAGCAAAAACATATGGCTGTACATACTAGAGATAAAACATTTCTAATACCCAAGACGGAGGCTACAAAGACGAGACAAACGCAAGACGTCTCAAGCACAGCAAAGTAACTATGTTTGAGACGTCTTGTGTTTGTCCCCTCTTTGTAGCCTTCGTCTTGGGTTTTAGAAATGTTTAACTTTAACCAGCTTATTACGTTATCTTCAAAAATACTAAAGATGTCTCCAATTTTAATTTTAAGAGCTTGAAGGGAGGACCGAATGTTGTGGTATTTGCATATTTGTGTAAACAAACTTTACAGTACAGATTTCGCTAGATTTATTTTAATATGTGCTACGAGATGGCGACACCAGCACAAAATGCCCCAAGCCAGAGCATTTGTTGTTGTTTTCTTGAGCTTCCACGGAAGGCGACTCACAGCATGCGTCGTTTGCCCGACATTGGTGAGATAAATTTTGCCAAGAAACGGTCTATGTGCAATTTGTTTGTTGCACCACAGAAAAAATAAAACTCGTGAGAGGTGACGGATGTACGACGTAGTGGTGCCACGGCATTGTGCAATGTCTAGCTGCCGCACTTTGCGTTTTCACTTTTAAATGTTGAGAGGCCAATGCTACGATCTATGCAGCCAATCCAGCGATAAGAATGTGCCATGTGACGTCGTGCTCTGCGAGTCCCTAGCATTGTTATTATATTGTATGCTAGAGGTTCAGTTGGCGCTAGTGTGCAGTTTAAAATTCAAGCAGATGGCAACAAGTCTAAAATTGACTTTAAAATTGACTAATGCATTTCTGTGCGAAAATGTGGGTGCGTTTTCTTTCTGCGCTGGATAATAAAGCAAATATTATGAAGCATTCTTTTGTAATAGATGGCTTGGCACATTGTTTTGTTGCATAGATAAAAATATTAATGTGTTAGTCTTTTTTTTCAAAATCGTGACTTTAAGCATCATGCAAAAATAGCTCCATATATGCATGATTGTCCGCGCAATTACTTTTCGTACCAAGCCCATAGGTTATCAGTCACCAGTGACCAATGGTTTCCGTGCACCGCCAAAATTCCAATTTGGGTCGCAGGAACACAATGCACCATCTTGTGGATAGCCGTAGAACTACAGCTTCAGTCTCAATTTTGTTTTGCGCTTTCTGCAAGCTATAGTCGGCCATCAGAAATAAATCTATGCACGACGGAGGCCCTTGCAAAACATGGCACCCTGCTGGCATTAAAAAGACAGCCTCAATAGCACAACATGCATGGCACCCTGCTGGCACTAAAAAGACAGCCCTCAATAGCACAACTTAACTTCTTTCACTGCTTGGTTTTTAGACAGCAGCAGTGAGGACTGTGTATTATAATGGATCATTTGATTTGATTTCCTACAGCAGCATTTTATCTACGAGGAGCAGAGTATTGACAGGTGCTTGTTGAAGAGCATCGTTCTAGCTTTCTAAACTGAGGCACACATTTGAAATATGCCGTAAGCCATAACAGTTGCTGTTATGGTTGTTTTTGGCAGTACTATGACAAACCAAGGCCTTGTAATAAAAATGGTGTTCTGGAAGTCATGCACCTGAAATGGCATAACACCAAGGAAGCACCACGAAAACCCAGATTGTGCAACTAGAACCAAACACACCAAGTACATTACCCCTTATCACTTTTGAACACAGACAATTTTAAGAACTCTTTCTTCGTTAAATCCATTCATCACTGGAAGTGCCTGCCAACTAACATTGTAACTAGTGCAAATGTCTCCAGTTTTACAAATTCTTTGTTATTGTAGGTGTGATGCTATGCCATTCTTTGTGATTGTAAGTGCTTCAGGATGCTATTATACTTTACAGTTTATCCTCCTGCTTTGGCTCATGGCTGGCAGTATTTTTTAAATATATAATAATAATAAATAAACACTTATTATTGGACTAAAAAAAGCACAATATCAGCTAGAGCTCTCTAACTTATAGAAGTGATCATGTTGGGTATAGGAAACACTCAGTATACTCAGGATTTTTAGTAATCATTGCATACTCGGATATAGCCCCAAATGTTTAAGCTTTTTGCTGTAATTTTCGCACAAATTCCAAATTCAATAATTAAATCTGACAAACTTTTTTTCAGACATTAGTGCGAGCCTTTCTTTTAAAGAGCGGTTGATTGGCTAAATATTTATGTATCATAATGAGCAATGTGCTGAGCAGTTCTTACAAAAGTGTTCTGTCCATCTTTCAAAAACGACCACTTTTCCCACACGGTTAGAGAGAGTTAAACTAGACACGACGGCCGGAGGTGGGAAAATTGCTAGGTTTCCCCCCACCAGTTGGCCGTAGTTTGACAAACCAACCTCGAGCAGTAATTCTCACCATTATAGAGGGATCCCCCCTCAGCATACTCCATCACCAGGCAGACCTGCAGGGGAGAACGATACGAGAGGTGACAATGCTTTCACCCACTCAAGATTGCTCAACAAAGCTGAACAAACTGAAGGCAAAACTCACAGGGTGACGCACTCTGGCCCCGTAGAGTTTGACAATGTTAGGATGGTCCACCCTGGAAAGCTGTCGCACCTGCACCCAAGAATAGAACAAGACGGGCGTTTAGACGCACGGCTATGAACTGCCTGCACAGTGTGCTGGCAGACGTGTGGGACCAGGGAACGCCTCGTTTGCTCCGGTGATTTCTTTGGCGGCACAGCGTGCAACTTGCAAGACAGAGTGTGATTCAGCGCACTCTGACATGCCCGCGCGGAAAGCGTCGGAAAATAATAATACATGTAATCGGGAATCTAGACTAAGCAAATAATAATAATCTTTATTTAAAGTGCCCAAAAACAACCACAGTGGTCTTAAGATAGGTACACTCGCACAAAAACACTACAAGTAAGGAACAAAAATAAGCACGATAACTTTCTAGACACGCTAATACAAAAATATTACAAAACACAAAATGATAAATAGTTAGTAAAGAGCGAATCACTCAACAGGCACTCGGGGGCCGATGCAGGTGTGTCGAGATCTCGAGTGGCGACACTGTTATAAAGCGACTGGCTTCGAGAAAGGGGCAAAATGTTGTGGGGTAAACAAATAGAAAAAAGTATTAAATGTCTGGTAGAGAGAAAAATGCTCCCTTTGTAGTGGCCTGCCCTGCTCCTACATCACCGTGATAAAAACATGGAGCGGAGCAATGTCTCGTAACCCATAGAAAATACTTTGCACCAGTTCGCAACGGCACTCCTATTTTAAATATTAGCGCCCAGGTAAGCAACCCAAGCAACGGTTAATGAACTTCTGAGTCGAAAGATCTCCATGGATCTATTACTGGTTAAAGCTGGTGTTCTTTGATAACATAGCTATGAAATGTCTGGAGACCTAGAGATTTTTGCCAGCAGAACAGTTTTTGTCTTTCACCACACCACAAGTCACGCTTTGCCCTTGTTCAGTGGCGTAAATCCATGCGAATTCGAGTTGGGGGGGGGGGGGGGTCATGCAGCTTATCATTAAAGCCATTTGAAATTTGTTTTCAAATGAAAAAGAAAGAAGTTATTTGGCCCTGGAGGAAAATAAAATAAATATAAAAATAAGACCAAAAAAAAACAAAAAAAACCTATAGTTTTTTATTTAACAATAATAAACCTTATAGGGGGTTTCACACACTCCAGTCGGAGACGTGGCTATAATTTTATAATTATCATAGCGAGATAAACGGAGAGTTTACAACGTGATTTGACAATTCTTCTTCTTTGTATACATGTAATATAATAAAAAGAGAACCAATACCAGTTTGTCAGTGTCCATGTTTCGAAAATAGCAGATGGGATGTTAATTTAGCACTGTGTACCGAAGGAAATATTTTGTGTAGCACCTAGAGTTATTTAAGGGGTGTCCTGACAAAAGAGGCCCCTGGAGACAAATATGCGCGACGGAACCAGCAGAGCTCCCTTTTTTGGGCAGTGACATTCACATGGATGGTGGGGAGCCGAGAGGGATGCCAGTGTTACCAGACCTCCGAACCGGCGATCTCCAAAAATTTTTTATCACAAAGATATCTCCCATTACAACGGGGACTGTTTGTGCAGCCCAAGCAAAAAACCCCACCTATCCCTCGTGGAAGTTGACGTCAGTGTACCTCCGCACAAGGGTGCGAGGTTGCTGCCTTTGTGATGCGCAGTGCAAGGCGCAAATGGAGAGATTTCTCTTTTGTGTTACATGCATCTTAAAAACGTTCATACATGACGCACACATGCAAAGTAAAGATAAATAAGTTTGAATAACTGAAGATGAATTTGTCTACTTTGTCGGAGTTCTTTCACTACCCATTCGGCTAACTATAGCGGGTATTCGCCGACATACTTTCGTCCACCAGTTCATTGTTATGAACTGGCGTTACAAACAGTCCTTGTTACAAGCATTCCAAGTACTGACACGACACCTTCAAATGCACACAAGTGTGCAGAAGCTTGTCAGTCTCATCAGGCTGGCATTGTCCAACAAAAAGGCAGATGAACGTTGTGTGAATAACCCCCCATTGTAAGTGGCAAGTTAAGAATTCTGTGCCTGTAATAACATCACATCGCCGTGCAACCAGAGCCCAGTGGAAGGGAGAGAGCGTGTGCTGGAGGTTGAGCTTCTGCATTCTGTCACTGATTGGAGGATACTCCCAAGTGGAAGTCTTTCCACCTTAACGGAAGTCTCCGATGTGGGCGAGGTATACGACCATACAAACGCTGAGGCTCCCGAAGCTACGCTACAAACAGCAGGAACCGCTTGGACCGACCAAATATCATCCTTTCTTTATTTGCCTTGTCCCAGCTTGGCTCTTGTAAAGATGCTAGAGCGGTTATGAGAGATCACCGGGACAGGAAGCTCACACTGATGACTGATAATAAATCTACAATGAAAGCTCTCTATGGTAAGTGAAGAGTAGCAGTGGCATAGCCAAGTATTTTTTTCGGGGAAAGCTGAGGTGGCTGGGATGTCCATGACTTGGGGATCAAAATGCATGTGTATATTATAGGTAGGGTAAATACTTTCCGATGATTATTTATGACAAAAATCAGCCGTTGTTTATCGGTGTTTATTTATTTCCCCAATACAAATGCTTTTTGGTGAATTCTGTCGTGCAGACACTAAAACGGCGATTATCGGGGGAAAAAATTGCGAATGTAAACTACCACTGAATACGAAAAAGAGACAGAATGTTATTTATATCCTTTACACAATCTCTTTCACACTTGATTATTGTAGTATATGAATGCATACATTCCTGGGCTCGTATCTGTCACTTATGACCGCTCCCTCCTGTTAACGACGTGCAATTTTGAGAATGCCCGCTCAACATTTGCGCTGGACACGGGAAGCCCCAAAACGTCCAACGAGGCTTGGGACAGTACTGCAGACAGCTGAGACTGGCCTCTCAGGCCACTGATAGTGATCTAGCTCGGTAGCCCAGGAGGCCCAGACTTTGGAGAACAGTGGAACAAAGCTACTGTCCTCCAAGGGTCCAAGACCCTGTACGCTGCAAAAGAAAGAGAGGCAAAGTGCGTGATTCCAGGTAAGATAATGTGTTGGACGCAAGTTTGCATAGAACGATTTTTAAATCCGTCACCGGCAAATGTTTATTGATGTTTTTCGGTTAAAACTGGGAAGTACGTGGGACTCTTTCAGTGAAAAAAACCAGCGCTTGCTCGAAAATATCAACAAAGCGGTGTTTTTCGGTTTTAGCCGATTTTCTATATTCAACACTGGCGGATGTTTATCGGTTAAAACCGAAAAGTATACAGCCTAATTATAGGGTCGACTAGACTTCAGGGATGGCTGAAGCACCCCCTCCTTTCCCTTGCTTGAGGCGATGCCACTGGATAATAGTGCGCAAGTGTAGTGCCCTGTCTTAGTTTTATGAATCCCAAGGGCTACTCAAATAAAATGTATTACATGAAAGAACACCGAAAAACAAAATATACATACAACAAAATTAGCATCACAAGCAAATGCAAACACACAATATGAAAGAGAAAATATCATAAGGGTGCAGGCGAGCTAGTGAATATTAACCATGTTGGATTAACCTGAGACTGGGGTAGAGGAGAAGCATCAAAACGTAGAAGAGACAGAAAATAGACAGGACGACGTCCCAATAATGTTGTCTCCTCTATGTTTTGATGTTTCCTCTCTACCCGAGTCTCAGGTTAATCCAAAATGGTTAACACAATATGAAATTTCCAAATTATTTAGCTGTGATCAAAACGTATTAGGTAGGAAACATACAATTCACAAGAAAACAAACAAACTTCGTCTACTTGTGAACCAATGCTTTGCAAACTATGCATAAACTAAACAAGCTCAAACTTTCCTGCACCAGACTTTGCAGCAATATTCAGACAGGTATGCCTACTGCCTGCAGACAACAAGATTGAAAGAGTTCTACATCTTGGAAGTCTGAGGAATAAAGAAGGCGACAACACACATCTCGAGCCCTGTGTGTGTCTCCTTTGTTCCTTGGTATCGGGCTTCCAAAATGTTAAAGGCTCAGTAGCTTGCCTGCATCTTCCCTGTTATTTATATCACGAAAAAGTTATCTACACAACTGGCTGTGCTCGGCCATTCTTCGGAGAATAGGATAGGCTCGAGTCCCTCTCTGCTTTCCCCGTGTTCGTGTTGCGCTGCTGTCTCAATCCTTCGATATAGACTGGGGAGAGGGGTCAACTGCACATGGAGTCCCCCCCTCACCAAACATAGGAAGGAGGGGGGGGGGGGGGGGGGGGGGGGGGGGACCCCTGACGCCCCTGGGATTTATGCCAATGCCCTTGTTAAAAAAGGCAAACCCTAAATGGGCGTTCTTTTTCCGACTTTCGAGTCAACGACAACCAACATCAGGCTCTAATGGCAATGGCAGCTCGGCATCGAGTGCACCGCTCGCTGAAAAACTACGCTAATGCAAACGCAAGTAGTCAGTGAGTAGAAGATCAGTGTTTCAGCTAGTGATGGAAGCCCGCGGTATTTCACAGTTAAGAACTGGAGCGGGTGTAAATTTAGATACAAGGACTCTGCTGTATGTTGAAGCATCTGCCCATCATTTAACAAACCCCACATTCGACAAGCAATGTAACACTAGGCATCGTATGTCGGAGGAAAAATTCCAGAAGTGGAACGCGTACTGGCAGCCGAAGTTCTGGTAAGTGACCAGCTCAGTATAAGTTGTGCGGCGAAGGAAGCTCGCAGGAGGGTCTGTTTTTGGCCGGCGACACGGCAATGCGCGCGGATGAAAGCGGCGCGACCAGATGCGCGCCAGCCCAGCGGGAGTGCCGTACCTCGACCAGGAAGGCCCTCTTCTCGTGGTCCGACTCGATGGACTTGACTGCCACGTCCTGGCCCCTCCATCGGCCCTTCCGCACCAGGCCGAAAGTCCCCTTGCCGACAACCTGCGACCAGGTCCGTTAAAAGGAACGCCGGGCCAACGGTCGTCCCCTCGCTCGCGGCGACTTGAACAGGTTGTTTCTAGCCGCGGGCAGTACGCACCTCGAACAGCTCGATCTCCCTGTGGTCGATCTCCTCGGTGAACGGCGACTCCAGGGAACCGCTGCTCATGCTCTCGCAGCTGTCGTAGTCTCCCTGCGCCGGGTACGGCTTCGCGTCGCCCATGATAACCTACGATCGGAGCATCCGTATCGCACGTCCTCGTGAACACACGGAACACACACGTCCGACGTAAACAACGCGATCGCTAATCGAAATCATCTGGTTTTCAGGGTTGTCTCACTCACCCCTTGTCAAGGTTGTTCTGACTCCAAGTGCTCTAAATTATTACGAACAATTTCTTTAAAGTATAAACTGTAATTTTAAAAATACCACAAATACTATTTAACGGAGACAAACTTTAAGGAATATTTTTCTTGATGAAGTGGGGAGTAATGAAGTCAGTGAAGCATTACGTGAGCTTAGCGAGATCGCTCAAATGGCTGGCCACTGAAGTTGGCGCGCTTTCTTTATTCCATTGTTTTTATTCCTTTTGAAAGCGAAGAGGCGCGTGTAGAAGCTGACTCTCGCAGTGCTCCAGTGTCTGTCACATTTATTTTTACCACGCGTGTTAGTTGTCAGCGTTCGACAGTTCCAGACCTCGTACGTGCTGGTGACCATGGCGGAGTTGGTGCCAAACGTGGACATAGGAGGTAATTGGTTCAGACGCCGACTGCGCGTGAGCTTGGATGCGGAATGAGGGCTTCGTCGTGGTGGTTCCTTTCGGCATATCTTCTCTTCCAAAGCTTTGGGGAAACGGAGTGTCTAGAATTCCGTCCATCGATCTCTATTGTAGCAGGCTTGATTGAGGCCACAGTGGAAGAAACATTTTGGTGATGACTGTCCGACGTGGCGGCCACGTTATGTTCGGCGCACCGGGTGCGCTTCACTCATAGATGGCGCCCAAGTATGGGATCCCTCCCAAACCGACCGCTCCGGTTGTTGCTGCCAGCGGTGGCCCCGCATTCCCTCGCTCACCGCTTCTTGTTGTACCCCACTGCCGCCACCAAGTCGCCAGAGTCCGTAAATCTGTGTTCTCTTTCTTCGGGTTAAGGCTCACCTTTGTGTATGATGGCAGCACCTGTGAGCGACACAACACCAAAGCAAAACACGAGGCCAGCCACTGGCCACACAGCACCGCCACACTGCGAAAAAGGCGTGCATGCTATGCCGCTGACACCGTGGCCGCTGAGAAGGGACCTCATACCTCAGTGCCCTCAGCAACGGCGCGGAACTAACTACTCCTGGTTCGAGGCTAGCTCCAACACGATCTGCTCGCTCGCTCGCTAGCTTGTGCACAGACATTAAAACTGGCAGCCCTCACAGTTCTTATAGATACGCGTTTTGTGGTTAAGAGCAACTCCACTGGGCGAAAAATGTAGTGAAGTTTAATGAGACAAGAGTTACCGCGGAGTCGGTGGCGGTTTCGGCGAGTTGGGTTCAGCAGACAAGCCTGAAGGCTTTCCTACGCGGAATTTGCACATTTACCGGAAAGCAGCTGTCGCTGTGGAACTTCTTCAAAATTCGTCAGCTTCTGGGCTTCCCCGAGGAAGGTCTTGCTGACGGCATGTTCCTGTGTTTACTCCACTATGAGAGCAAGCTTGTCAGCTTAGCTGCGGGTGCTTTGGCACGTTTGGGTTTTTATTGGGCATTCAATTGCTTGACAAATACTGATTCGATCTCCAAACACCCAATGTAATGATCACAGCACATCATAAAATACTCGCCTTCGAGCACCACATGCTTCAGTATTCCTACTTTTGTGTGTTTCTCCCATAGACTTGCGTGTATTGCCTGGTGTCAAACAATGGCCGCCGGTAGTGTCATCGACGGGCTCCCGATCTGCGATTTAGCCTGCTACAATAGGGATCAGTGGTTCCGTCCAGACGGAGCGTACCAGGCCCAGTAGAGTTACGTCCAGACAAAATGATACCAGACTCAACAGAGTTCCTTCCAGACAACGATAGCAGGCCCAGTAGGGTTCCGTCCAGACGAAACGAGAGCAATCCCTGTAGAGGGGGGAGCTGGGGTAAACACAAGCCAGGTAATCGCATGCTAGCTTTTGGCAGCTTTAAGATTTAATTATTCATTTAGTAAAAAAAATACTGTATATAAAACTTCGTCAAGACGGACTGCCAAAGCTGTGGTGTAGCTCTTTGGTAATGTGGCTGCTTCGCACGCAGTGGACCCAGAATTCGGCCCGGAGGACAGTGGCTTACTGCATTTTATTTTTACTACATATTATTTTTATCCATCACTGTAAAGGACAAATATATTGTATGACGAAATGTCGGAGGAGGATAGACAAAACTCTAGTGGTGACTATCGGTTCATTCTGGACGGAACTCTAGTTGTGACTATCGTTCCCTCTGGAGGGAACCTTAGCCACAGCCTCGGTGAAAACAGCAAAAGGGCTGTGGGTCGCCGTGTGGCAGGAAAGGCTCTCCATATTTCTCTTTGCTTTTCGCTTCTTTTTAACTCCATCGAAAGCAGCAGTTGGGCGTTATAAAAACGTGTTTCATAATGTATCATTTCGTTGAAACACGTTTCGTGGACAACTTTTTATGGACACACGTTTCATGGACACTGCCACTTTGTGGAAACTCATTTCATGAACACATACTGTTATTTCTTCGTTACTACCCCTAGTGTAATCATCAAATCTGGAGCCACCAAAGGCTGGTGGATGATTCACTGAGGTACGTTCTCTTCGACTGAGCCGAGGGCTATAGAAATGCCGAGGGTTATAGAAACAACTCGTATATCCAGTTGGTAAAGTATATATGGCGCGGCCTCGACTACATAAGAAGAGGGATGTTCGCTCCCAGAAGGGAAATAGTTACTTTGCTTTGCCAAATACCTCCAATTTCTGCGTGTGCAATTGAGTTGGGAGTGCACGCAGCAGATATGCGAATGAACTTGGTTCGAAACTCGCTTAATATTTTGCATTTTTAACTTTCGTTGTGTCGCTAGTAAGTTTCATTACATTCTTGTTAGTTTATTGTATGTTCTAAGCTAGAATAAAAGCAGCGAACGCTCGGAGCCGGTCGGATCCTTCTGTCCATACGACCGCAGCGCCGCCGCGTACATTTGGGACCTTTCTGTATCGGCGCCTGATCCCACTACTCCTTTCTAGTATGCGCCGCCTTTTCCACCGCTTTGTGGCGGGTATGTCGACGGGTCATTTCTTGTTTCCGTACTTTATAAACTGCATTTGTTTCTTTTCTGATCTAAAATACCAAACAAAAACTACTTTTATAAATAATCGAAACGGTTTGCGCCACATATATTTTTTATTTCGACTGAAAAAAAGCTTTTACCGGCTCTGACCAGTAGTAAGCCCAGGACCAAAGACGTCACATTTTGCGCACTTTCGATACCGCGAGTCGCCCCCGTCGGTGGAGGAGGTTTCCGCATTGTCCGGTTAAAATATGACGCACTGGTATTTAGTTACTCTCTCCGTGGCTGCTCGCTTGCCCGAACCCCAAGAGACGTGGAAACCGCAAAAAAGGTAGACGCTTAAATATGATTGCAGGGCCCCTTTAAGCTGCAGGAGCCAATACAAAGGCCAGACTGGCAAGTGCACGAATCACCGACTTCGGGAACATCACGCTGAAATTTCCAAGGCCTCACCCGATTCTTACTATCACATAGTCATGAATGCCCATTCGTGCACAGTATGGAGGTCCCATTGGAAGGGACCAATCTGCGTTGGGAGGGGGGTGGCGGGCGGGCATAACAGCAGATATGGTTGTTAGATTATAAAGTCATTTGCCATGAACAGCGCAAACGACTTGTTCCTCCCTGTTTCTGACGATGGCTAAAGTTGAATTTCTCAAATCGGAGATGGCTTCGTCGACCTGACTTTGCATTTTATCCTATGGGAGCGCAAGTTTGTCTGCATCTTGCACAGAGGTTGCGATGATGTTAGAACGCAAAAACTCTTATTAGCTTATTGAAAAAATAAAAAAATAAAAAAAAATAGTGGGTAGATATTGATGCATCTAGCATTGAGGTTTACCAACTAACTATTCTTTCAATCGAAGCCAATTGGAGCTCGGCGTCATTCTGACGTCACCGCAACACCTGCGTAAGAAGCAGACGACTTGCTCTCCGCATTGTCTCTTCCCTCCTTCCTCTCTTCTTGGTTACATTCCCTTCCCTCAATCTTTCCACCCTTAACCGGTTGCTCGCTTTTGGAATACTTATATGTCTGTGTTTAGTTGAGAGGTGTGGTTGTGTGGTCTTTGTCCTACATGTTTATTCTTTCTTCAATCTTAAAGGGGAACCCCGGCGATTTTTGGAGCAACCGCAACTAACTATATTTTCAAAATTGCCATCTTTTACTCTTTCCGGTATGCTATTTAGTATCGCAAAATTCAAAATAGCTATTGTGAAATCGGCAAGGGAAAATGGCGCCAAAACGAAGATTCGAATACTGTAAAACCCTTAATGTTCGCGAGCCCTCAATTTTCGCGAATTTCACGAACTGAAGAATTTCGCTCCTTAAAATTTTCAATGCAGGCGTCTGGAATTCGTGAAATTTAGTGGTCGCGATTATGTCACCTGTGAGCGATTCGCGAAAAATAGGGGCCGCGAAAATAAAGGGTTTTACAGTATACCCGCGCTTTTCATTGCCGTGACGTCACGGGTGGGCCGGCTTGCGGTTCGAGCGGGCTGTTAAAAAATGAACTATGCCGAGCATTTGTATCGCTAAGGGACTTTCCAAAGCATTCATTTCACACCATAAAACTGTTTGTAATCAGTTGGGAACAAAGTCTACAGCCCTAAGAGTGAACCCTGCCCACCCATGACGTCACTTTTTCAATGTTGCCAGTAGAGTTTCTCACTTTGAAAAACACAATGAGGACCAAAATTGTAAATTCTGTAACTTCGTGAAAAAAAAATTATTTTAGCCAAATATTTGGGTTACTAGTTCAACGATGTTTGTTGGTGTTTTTAGCAAGTTTTTAGGCAAATCGGGGACTATGAAGAAAACGGCAGAGTACTTCTTTAAGCACGATCAAGCTGAAGTGGCTCAGAGCTTTTCATTTTTAACGCTGTGTACTATTAGCATTTCTTTCCTCCTGCTGTTATATTATTAATTTGTGAGGCTATTTCCTCAAATATCATTCCATTCCTCTTGCTTGTATTCTCTTTGATTACTATTTTTCAACCCTCGAGCTTAATTGTTTGCTGGATGTGTGCAGAGGTGGAGCGGGATTCCGGGTTCCTGGGCTTCCTCAGGTCCCTTCCAGAGGCAAGATATTTTCGTTTTTCAGAAACTGCATAAGTCTAGAAGCTGCAAAACTGGTTGTTACCCTTAATAACAAGTGGAGGTCTCATCGCTAAACCATTTTGTTGTCTTTTTCATCCATTCGTGCAACCTAATATTATTTGTATTGGATTCGAAAAGCGCTAAAAAACGAGAACAAGAGAAAGAACAGGATGAAGTGATGTACCACTGTCAACTGAATTTTTATCTTGAAAAGACAAACATACATGCACTCCCAAGGGAACCATTCATTCACAATCAAACTTCTCACGAGATAAATTCAAATTCCTTATCCTATGAAAGGATTGACAATGTGCTGATACATTGTTCATTGTCCTTCACCCCGATTTTAAAAGCCTAGAGGATACCTCTTTCGTTGTTTTTTTTACCTTCCTAAGGTTCGAGTTCCATTGAGTACAGGAGAGCATGGCCACCTCTCACAATGAACGGCCAAGTTTTCCAAAGGTGACCACCTTACAAAAGATCATGCTCACTGGCCCTGTGCACATATCCTCGTATGCCCAATATATGCTCTCTTGCACATTGTTGGCATCTCGTAAACCACGGATATTTCGCAATCTACATATTTGTTTACACACCTTTTGTGCATGTTTCCCCCTTGTGTGCTTCCTTATTCACCCTTAGGCATAATTTGTATAATTTTGACGGTGCTGTGAACTTGACAGGCACCCCACAATTTTTCTAGGATTGTGAGACTCACTATGAATGTATTGCAGAACCGCCACTTTCTGTTTTTCTTTTTTGAGATGCTTTCCGATTCCTTTTTTCTTTTTTTCAATTTCGACGCGAGGCTTTCGGCAATTTCCACAAGATTGCCTTCTGGATAACGGCAGACTTCCATGCAGAAGCTTGATCCAGCAACATGTTACCACGATTTTTCTGTCGCGGCCAGCATTAAGAAGGTTGCCACACTTCTCTTTACCAGTTTTGAACGCGCGAAGGAAAGCACACCTTTTCTAGGTCTTGCATATTGCTAGCAAACATAATTCTTTTTCAAACTTGAAATTTATGTCCAGAAAGTTTGGGAAGGTACAAAACAAAAAGAGAAATCTTTGAGGCTTTTAAAATTGAGGTGAAGGGCTATGAAGCATGTATCAGCACATTGTCAAACCTTTTATCAGATAAGAAATTTTAATTCATCTTGCGAGAAGTTTGACTGTGAGTGAGTGGTTCGCTTGGGAGTGTATATATGTTTGTCTTTTCTGAATAAAAATTCAGTTGACAGTAGCACATTGTTTTGTCTTATTTTTTTTTGTTCTTCTTTTTTGGCACTTCGAATCTTGCCCAACTACAAACTACAAATTCTTTTACTATTTGCATGTTTCTTTATCGCTCTAAGCTTAAAAATAAATTAAACACATTCACAATTTAACAGCATTAAGAAAACATAGTGTTGCCACGTTTATCGTTTCAGAAGCCTGCGACAACATTCCGGTTTTTCGACAGGAATGTGAGTATCCTTAAACCTGATAGGAAGTCGTGTTCAAACTGAGGCTAGCTGCACAAATTTTCCTACTAGTACAAATTTTATGGCTCCAGCAAACACTTCTTGATGCATGTATCCTCTTTTCGTAATCTACTGGTAATCGGTTGATCCTTCTAGTACTCGCTTTGAGGCAGTGGAATGGCTGTTACTGCGATAGGTGGTTTCACTGCATTGGGTGTCTCGCTTCCCACTCAATGGCTATGGTAAAGAATGCATGTTTGCAGGACTACTACACTGTTCATTCGAGCGATGCGGAGTATGTGTGCCGCGAAGTGTTCCGGACCATGTCTGTCCTCAAGTACCTTGGCTCCGGTGAGTACCCCAAGGGATTTTCAACCCTGCTGCAGAGACACTGTGGTCTCGCTGTTGGAGACTGTTGGAGTTGTTTGTTCGGCATATAGCAGGGTGGGCCAGGCTGACCTGGCCTAAGAGCTGCAAAACAAAACCACGAAACTTCCAGGAGCCGGGGGGGAGGGCTAACTTTTGTTTAGAGCAATAGACAAAACTCAACCAGCTTTCAATCTATCCGAGTCAAAAGCACTCAAACTGTACCTAAGGTAGCAGTAGCACAAGACTACCAAATGGCAACCTGTCTTGATTTAAAACGTTCCGGACAAAGAAAGAAACTGGAGAAAGCGGCTCTTAATAGAATCTTGGCACATACAAAATACAAGCAACAATCTGAACCGATCCACCGGAACGCTTCCAAGCAGTTATATACACGGGCTAAAGTGCACCACACACAGAAACAAAAGAAGAAAACAAAGCTAGGAGAGAAGAGAAGAAAACGACGACAGGTTGCTACCTTTGGGCCCATATACAGTCACCCATGAACAAGGAGCCGAGCTGGCTTCGAAACGTCGGGCAGATTGAAGAAATTGGTTAGAGTCTACGTAGTACTTTTTCTTATTACTTACCTAACTAGGCGGAGTTCCGCCGAAATGTTTACATTTAAGTTCCGGGGGGGGGGGGTAGGGGTAGGGTAGGAGTTAGGGCTAGGGGAGGAAGCCGCGAGCCGCACTGTAACACGTTGAGAGCCGCATGTGGTTCACGAGCCGCAGCTTGGCCACCCCTAGCATATAGCTTGGAACTAATAGCAGTGGTAAGGCTGGCTTACTCATTTGCATCCGAGTATGACCGGAAGTGCTGTTAACTTAGTGAGAAAGTCACTAATCTTAGCGTGTTTTTAGTCGTCTTAACAACAATTCCATCTCTTTGGAATCTTAACCTTTTAGGGACTTTTCTTTAAATTTTTTTTACAGTAAAGTAAATTGTTACTTAAGCCCTAAAGCTACATAGATGGGTAGTTGCTAAGAAGTCTAAAAAAATGGTAATCCTTGTCTTAAAAAAAAATTAAAAAAAGAAAATAGGTCAGTAGGAATGCTCTCCGGTGGCTTCCAGTGGACAGCTCTGGATGTCACTCATTTTTAATGTTAAAGCATTAACGGTTTATCATTGAGCAGAGTCGGCGGCATTTGTAAACGCGAAAAACGGTACCTAAATTGTCTCGTTATATTGGGTCCTTCGTCACGGAAGCGGGCGGGTGCGCTCAAGGTCAAAGCAGACGTGCTTCAGAAATAAAACACACAGAAAAGCACAGCAACACGATGCTTCGTCACAGAAGCCATGGTGAAGCCGGCAAAGTTCGCTGGGTCTGGGCAGTGGGGGAGTGTGATGTCACCGCCGCAGCGCCATATGCTATATGAAGACGTAGTGTGCTGCTTGTAAGAATGCTTTTGCATTCCTACACGTAAGCAGTCATAAGTGTTGTTCATCCTGTTAAGGGTGAAGGTGAGCGAGGTAGCGTTGGTTAACGTAAGACAAGGGCGTTCTCAAACCCCGAACAACTTTAGAACCACTCGCTTTTTCAGGGTTTAAAGACCCATTTGTGGCCGTCACGAAAGAAAAAAAAGAAAACTGTTTTGAAGCGAGCAGTTTTGCTCGATAACCCCACTTAGGACGAGGCACAAAAAAGGTATGACTTGCAGTCTTCCGCTGCTTTGCTGTTTTGTTCCCGGACCAGGATTTCGCCAATGCCTCGAATGCTTAAATCACCAGAGGTATTTGCGAGCACCTTGGGAATAAGACGGCCGGCTTTGACTGTTCACTTGATTCGTCACCGCAGAACGTAATTAAAAATATTGTTCCAAATAAAAAAATAAAAAAAAATAAGAAAGAATCTTAACGTGTCTTATCCAATCAAAAAAAAAAAAAAAAATTAAAAATTCAGAAAAAAGTTATTATCATCATCATCACTTAGCGAATTTTTGCTAAAACTGGCGAGTCATAGGCTGCATCCTGGCGTCTTCGCCCAAAAGAAGTTAACAGCACTGATGACGAGCCTATTGCAGTTGCAACGCATTCAGTTGCACTTCAACGCAAATGTGTGAAACCAGCCTTTATGACGCACATGCTGGGAACCTGATCTCGGTGTTTATTAAACGTGCTGAAACTGGCAAAGTGAGTCTGCCGCACATTGTGAGGCAATATACTTATGCCATTCTGGTCCCAGGTTTGGTGACATCGTTGCACAGTGGCAAAATCTGTGTCGAGGAACATGTGCAACATTGTTTTATCTTGAATATATTTATTTTTGCACATTTGCTGTGCATTCGCGTTTTATTTTATTACGTATGGACGAAGGCACGCAAGCACCTTGTACAATTGCGAATGCACGGCAGGTGAAGTGTGTGGTTCGCTCTTGTGGCTTAGGAATCGCATAATTCTTTTTAATAATCCTCGTATAACATGAACTTGGCAGTTTATCAGACACCCTGGCTTCTCAATCTGGATTTTTAAGGAGCCAGGGGTTTTTCAAAGCACCCTCAAGTTCTCCTCGAGCAGCGAAATTACCTCAGTGATTCTTATGTAAAGTTGTACATTGTTTCTTGTCCTCATCCACTTCAAGGAGACATTTAGGAAAGCTATGCTAAGCTGAATCACAGTCACATCAAAGGGACGTGTTTTACACTGTTTTATTTCTCCTTTTGTTTGATCATAAGTTGACATTGTATGACTTTTGAGTATCATTTCAGATTTATTTTTCTGTTTTTGTTTCAAAATTGAACTACTGTGACTCTTTTATACCTTCTGCTCTACCTTCCCTGAAATGATCTCGAAGAAAATTAAAATAAAACGTTCAGCCTTTCCACTCTTGTGAAGAAGGAAGACCAGCGGAGCTGTACTCGATACACTGTGTGCTTCTTCTTCGTCGTCGTCGGTTTTTCCCGCTGTTTCCTAGATGAATTCCCACCAATGCACCCAACTATCAATTCTTCCATGATAGCTGGAAAGGTTGCCGTCATTTACGAGCGACGGCGAAAACTAGACTGGTTGTGTGCTTGCCGCTGTCGCTTATAGATTGCGTTAGCTGTTCAGGTAGGTCTGTGTCGACATACACGGACACAATCCTGGGGAACCTAGCCCTTAACAGCTCCGCTGTAAAAAGTTTTCTCAGTTTGAGTCCCATTTGGGCATAGGTGAGGTCTGTGCAGAACTATAAATCAAATATTTTCTAGGGTGTTCAATATTGCTAACCAAGTCTGACACACTTTGCCACAATGCTTTTGCAACACTACTGCATTGCCACAGTGCCAGGTGAGAGGAGGTGTGTTTGGCTGTCACTTGGAACAGACTGGTGCTCTTCAAATTCAGGAAGTTTGAGCACCCATGCACTTGACAGCAAGCCTGGTCACTTAGCCTTTCTGTAGTTTTCTCGCCTCAGAAATAAACTACTCGTTGCCAAAAGCTCAGATTTTTCTGAAATGTTGCGCTAGCAGTTGACATAAGACACCAAGGTTTCTGAATTTGGCGTTAGCCAGTTCAGAACTTAGCAGTGATTTTTAAAAAAGTTTCAATGACAAAATATTTTTTTTTAGCAGCAGCTAGTATGCATTTGTTTTCTTATGGCATACATTCTCAAACCGTGTTCCTACGAAGCCAGGCATTTCTCAGAGTCCCCACATGGGTTTCTTGAACCACCAAATTTCCTCAACTGTGCCTTCCTCTGAGGAAAGTGTTTTTCCAGTTTAAGCACTGTTTTAGCGTATGTGAGCTACTCATTAATGTGTAAACTTGTGCCAAACACTTCCAAGTGTGCCCATTATTGTTTACAAGGTCTGTAGGCTTCTTAGTTGTTTCAATGCATCAATACCGACACTGGGATGGGTTTGGATGGATGGACGGATGGATACTAACAACTGTACCTTTTATAAAGGGCGGTAGCTTGTGCCCAAAAAGGTCAGCTTTTGAACCTTTGGCTTAATATGAATTAAATTTACCGTATATACTGGCAGTTGCAAGGCAGAATGCAGTGCAAAGTTTTGTCTGCGTACATGAATTGTGAAAGAAATGATTGGTGGTTTTTATCAGGAACACACTGACTTTGTTTGGGAAGACTATCGTTAGAAAATTAATGCAGTAACCAACATTTTTCTTCACTTGATAAGCAGCAGAATGCCCAGAGAATGCAACTGTAAAAACAAAGTTTTCAAAAAATATTTATTTTACGCTAACATCGAGCTGAAAAAATCAAATAAATTTCTTGCTTCTATCTTGACGACAAAATCTTAACATCTTTTATAAAAGACATCCACAAAGTAAGAAAACAATGCCACGGCGTTTTCTTTTGTCCCATCACCAAACAATGGTTTTTCTAAAGTGAAATTTATGCTAAAAAGCGGGAGGGAGAAAAACATGTTCAAAGTGCTCCAACCTCTGCTTTCTCTTTAGCATCGGTGGACCAAAATAGTATATAAAAGAAAACTATGTTGAAAAATGGCATTCTCTAAAACCAACTTTTTTTTGCAGAATTTGTTTTTCTGGGTAGCATCCCCCCTTAAGAAGTATAGAGATTGAGTTGTGCTGCTGAAGACCTCTGTCTGTCCGGTGCCCCAGGAGACAAGAAGATAGGGTCGGTGTGCCTGAGCAAGCGCAACTTCGAGGCCCTGCTTGTGGACCTGCTGCTGGTCAAGCGCTACCGGGTCGAGGTCTACCAGAACACTGGTGCCAAGGGGAATGCCTGGAGCCTCGTCACAAGGGTGAGCGTCGTTCCAATCACTGGAGAATGACAGCGAGCTTGACTGCCTAATAGCACAGGGGAATGTAGTTCTCCTTTTCTACCATCAGCTTTCTGAGTCTAAGATCTAGTTTGCAGGTGGCAGGACATTGCGGTAATGTGGAAACCACTTCCCGGCTAGGGTTGGCCCTCGATGGGGGCCGCACGTTTTTAGGGTGGACATTGTTTTAGCTTTGAGGCGCCGTCTGTGCCATGTAAAGCTTTAGCCACATTATAGACTTTTGTGAGCAGCCACGCTTGGAAAGCTACCACCGTGGATGGAAAATGATTGTTTGGGCAGCAGTCTGGAAAGTGTGGGCATGCCTCTGCAAGGCTTGAATGTTGGACTGTCTATACATGCCAGCAGCAAGTAGCGGTGCCCAGATGCTATGTTGCAAACGTCCTTACTTTCTCTAACTTCAACGCTTAACTTTTGAAATTAAGGAAAGTATGTAATTGACCGGGTTCGCTGGCACGGTTAAAGACTGTGAGGACATGCTCTTCCTTGTCCTTCCCCCCTGCCTCGGGGTTTGAAGGATTGGAGCTTACGTGTGAATATAATTTAGTGTTCCTCTGGGCACTACTGATGCCTAGCAGATGGTTAGTGCTGTTGGCAGAGCATTCTGCTACTTATGGAGAGGCCTCGAAATTGAAGCTTGGACTGGGTGGATTTTTTCGGCAACTTGCCAGTCCCCTAGGGCTGTGGGTCTTGGCTGGAAGTATAGATTTTTTCTATCGATGATACAGCTCCTGGATATTTGTTTGTGAACTGGTTTATGAACACCCTGCATTTTCATTATCTCATTACTACTAGAGCACACATCTGCTTTATTTCAAGGCAGATCACGACAAACACTATTGAAGTCTCTAGCATCAGAAATCTGTTGCATGACCTGCATGACTTTACAGTCAGGTTCCGAAATATGGTGCGCTCGCAGCACTGAATCAGCTCTGGTTGCTTCTAATGCTTTGGTCCACATTCGGGTAATTGTACATTCTTGTTCTCTGCAACCAAAATGATCCATTCTCCCACGATGTGCAAATTATATGTAGGGTTTTCTATTTTCGGAGTTTACTTTTGTTAGAATTCGGGGCGCTTTTTTCTAGGTTTATGTTTTCATACAGGTTCGGTGTTTTTCAGTGAAAATTTTTAGAGTTGGACAAAAAATCAGCATTAACTGGGGCCACTGTTGGAAAAAATATGGCATGGGCAAGAGGTCTCGCCATTTCCAGACAACTTGCGCGTAACCCGACCTGGTTCCGGTGAGAGTACAAAAGGAGGTGAGGCCATTATGTTCTTAGACAAGACCAGGGTATTAAACCGAACCCTAATTGTGAACTGAAAACCGGAAAAAAACATTATTTTCGCGCGAACCGGAGATAACCGAAACAAAATAATTTTTTTTGTTCCGGAGCGGAACCATTATATTTTCCATGCGGATTTCGGTTCGTACGCGAGGTCAGGTCACGTGAAAAGTGCGTGGCAAAAAACTTAGTAACCTAAATAATAAACCAAAAAAATGCAACAAAATATTTTCGCACAAACCGGAGTGAAACCGGACCGAAATAATTCTTCTTTCATTCCTGGGCAAAACTGATAAATTATTTTTGCGGTGTGTCGTTCGTGTGGGAAGTCTAAGAACGAGAAAAATAGGTAGCGCAAAGCTCTTTAACGTTCCATTATCAAGTTTTACATCACGGTCGTCTTTATAATTTACAAAGTTTGTTTCGATAACTCAAACGAAATGAGCACAATAACTATAAATTCTCCGATATTTCTGGTCTGACGTATTTCTTTAACAAATGCCCACATTCGTCCCAACCTTTTCTTGGGGACCAGCAATGGTTCACAAAAGAAATATATCATTAGAACATACCCAGATCGTGCGTCAGCAAAAGTGACCAATTAATGAGCCTGTTTGGCGGCAAGAAGGTGACCTGGGCTAGTTGTTTCTCGTCTCAAACTGAACGTCAAAGAACAAAACAAAACAAAAAAAAAAAAAAAGGACAGAGGTATAGACAACAGACCTAGTGTTGTCTATTCCTCTCTTTGTCCTTCTTTTTTTGCGTTCAGTTTGAGGTTTGGTTGGTGTTTTTTTTTGTCTTTAACTTTGTAGTGTTGTGTGCAATTTACTTTAAACGCCTTGATTTCGTTGTAGCACTGATCAGATAATAAAGCAACACAAAGGCTAGGCCGATGGATATTTTAGAACCTGCACTAGTTGCCACACTGTGGCGCATCTAATCTGCTTTTAAAATAACTCAGCGGATTTAATAATCTGGCCGAAATTAAAGTCTAGCACCGGGAAGGGAAGGGGGGGGGATTAACAGTTATAGCTACAGAAAACAGCAAAACAGCTTCGATCTCCGGTAGCAGAAACATCAAGGACCAAAACGTTTTCTAGTCAGGAACACAAACTTCAAGATGCACAGCTCTTCTGAGCATTGCTTCCTTTCCACCCTCGTAGTGCGTTTTTGTGTTTTGTTTCTTTTAACCAACGGCGGGAGGCCGACGCGCCTCGCGAGTCGCCGCTACTCTGTCCAGACTCTTGGGCGCGTTCAGAGACACAACGACTCTCGTTGCTTATGCTCAGCTTCAACCTAAGATGGACAGCGGCCAATCCTACGAGCCATCCTCAAAATTCAGCGCTATGATCGTACAAAGAGACTTCACGTTCCACGCGTTGCTGCTCAACCGAGAATATAGGCTTTTAGCATTGGATATGCTAAGCGAGCTGCGTTCGCTGCAGTCCACCTTAGTGTGAAACTCTGTGCCAGTGTTTTTTCTACTTGCTTTTCTGCAAGGCCCTCGGCTCGGCGGTTCGGCTGGTTCGGGTGGAAGCTAGGGTGGAAGAAAACAGTGCTTGATTGTCCAATGCGGTGGATGTCCACGCAGCATATGCTCACCAGGCTACTTGAACTAAGAGGCTTCGCTGGAAGCTTCCTCGAAAAATATGACAGCTCCAGGTTGGCTGAAGGCATATGGGCGGAAGTCGAAATCTTCGCAGTATCGCTTCGCCCGTCAGAAGTGGCGACGAAAACATTGCAGAAGAAACAGCTCACTGTAGGAGATTTATACGGAGCAGGGCTGAGATGTTCCGTGGACACTTCCAAGATATCGCTGTTGTTAGCAAAGGAATTGGTCCAGTCAATGAAAAAGACGGAGTGACTACTTCCTGACACGGATGTCTTCTGTGCAGCAGTGTACATGGATCCCCGCTACCGCCTTCTTCTCATCCATGAGCAAAAGTACTGGGCCACGTTGCACTTGAAAAAAACGGAGGCGAATCACAGCTCTGCAATGCAAGCAAGATTCTACCCTTTCTTCTGAGCCTGCGGCAGCTCTATATTATTCCGAAAACGCCCTGAAAACGCTCCTCAAGGAAAGAGAGGATGAGGCTGGCGTGCACGTTCAAGGTACCAGTAGCCCACTTGATATAGCATGCCTTCTGAAAATGCTAGACAAGGAGCCGCGGCTTTCAAGGGACGCTAACATGTTGCACTTTTGGTCGGAGAAAAGAGAACGCTATCCAGAGTTCTACGCATTGGCCCAAAGTAGTCGTGGGAGTGCCAACGACCTACGTGAGCGTGGAGCGAGCCCTTCATGCACTGAAGTTCATTTTATTCTCTCAAAGAAGCCGTCTTCCCCCGGATATCCTTGACGACGTCCTGCTTCTTCGGTCAGCTGATTGACATTGAACTGTGCTATCACCCACGTCCCGAGGTGCCCCAGCATTAGCTCGTTCGTTGCGCTCAGTAATGTCAGCGTTTGCTTTTTATATGTAACACTTTTACAAAATATGAACAGTTTAGCTTTTCCTGCCGTCAATTGTTTTTGTAGCAGATGAGTACGAACCGGTTCAAACCTTTATTTTTTTACTCCGGAGTTGAAGCGGAGCTGAACCGTTTTTCCTGAACCGGAACGAAAACTGGAACGAAAAACATTTCAGTTCAACACCCTGGACAAGACAGAGACCAACTGCACGTTTGGTGGCCTTGACATATATCTAAAGGTGTCCTACGGTATTAAGAAAGTTGCCAGTAGGTTTGACGTACCTTTAGTTCTTTCGGCACCATCCAAGTTGTTGCATCTGTGTGCAACAATTATTCGTACTGGACGCCCAGGAGCAAATTGTGAGGTGAACCACCACAATGGGTATGTTGCCTGCACCTGTGGGGTGGTGTATTTGATCCCCGTCTCACTGCAGGGTGTACATTGGTCAGACGGGAAGGTATGTCAGCGTCTCGGCCAAGAGACCATTTACTTTCCGTGCGCTCCTCGCCATCTGGCTATCTCACAATCCATTGTAATAGATGAGGATGTTCTCCAGTATTTGACGATAATAAGACTTTAGAATGGCACAGAAACAAGACTGCCGGAGAAATCGAGGAGGCTTTTTTTTATTGCCATCTATGATGCAGGCATGTGTCTAAGTGCACCGTCGGTAGCCCTGTCGGGCGACGAGGTGGTATTTATTAGGAAGTCTGGAAAGTTTGGGTAGGTGTTTGTCGGCATGATGGGGGAAGGGGGTATGTTATTGGGTTGTTTCTTTGTGATGTGAAAAATCCTTTTTTTAGGTGTTTGGCATTTCCTGAAGCCCAGATAAAAGCGTAGCCATGAGGCTCAACACTGATTGGTTGACTAGTGGGAGAGGAGGAGTGTGTACTTCTACTACCATAAAATTTCATAAGGACGGCCTCCCTTGAGAGATTGCCCATCCTGTTTTCCTAGTTAAATATCCGTAACATAAAAAATTGAGAAACATTGCCAAAGCCCCATCTCCGTCGGACGTCCTGCGATGTCGATGAGAATCGCACAGGTACTGGTACGCCTGACAAGCGAGTTCATAGCAGGTTCCCCCGTGTTTGTCCGCGATCTGCGGTGGCGATTTCGGCCCCCGTACCATTCTCCTGCATCTGCGATCTGCAGTATTCTTTCCCTTGACATGCGAGTTTGTAGCAGATTTTTTTATTTTTGTCTGCGATCTGCGCACACGATATCGATTTCCGTAACACGCGAGTTGTTCCCACATATATATTGTATCGTAAAATTTGATCTGCTACGTCCGCGATCCACGGTATTCACTCTCGTAACGTGCGAGTTTTCAGCGGATTTCCACGTTTCGTTTGCGATCTGCTTGCAATATCAATTCACGTGCCAGGCATCTAATAGCAGGTTCCCGCGTTTATTGCACCATGAAACTTGAATCTGCTGCATCTGCGATCTGTGGTTTCTTTTCTCATAAGATGTGAGTCTCTGCGGGTCCTTCACACCGTGAAAGGCGAATCTGCTGCGTCTGCAACCTGCGGTATCTTTTACCGTGACACAGAAGTTTGTAGCGAATTCCTGCGTGTTTATCGCATCATGAAACACGAATTTGCCGTGTCCGCGTCTGCAGTATCAGTTGTTGCGTCACGTGGTTTGAAGCAGGTGACCCAAGCGGGTGACCTGGTGTTTATCATTAATTTTGGTGAAGTTTTGCTGTCGCATTCTTAAAGATAACCCAACCCATGTTTTTCGCCATTTATCTCTCCATTTTGGATGGCCATTTTTACGGAATTTTATGATACTTGTCTTCCATCTTTTGCACTTTTTTTTCCATTGTATCATACCATCATACGCTAAAGTCGCCTGTTTTAGATATCCATTACCATTGCCAAACCATGCTTTACATAGATGACATTGTTACTTATGCCTTTTTTACAAAATTTACCATCATACCTACCCTACGCCAAGACCTACTAACACCCTTGCTGCGCAATTCACATTGCAAAGTTGGCATTACCCCCGCATACCTAGGGTTCCGTGTCTTCAGATAAATCTGAAAAATTCCGAAAGACACTCACCGGTAAAATTTTTGTCAATTCATATTTATCCGATAAACTCAGAATGTCGAAGTACCATGTAAAGAAAGACTGTATTTTACAATTAAGTTTGGAGAGCGCCTTTCATATTTTACATGTGTTCAAATTTAGTTTGTCTTTACCTCTCGACAATAGGCTTTCCACACAAGGTTCGAAATTTCCCATGATTCAGCAACACTGCTTATATGTAGTAAGTAACTTTGGATCTCCACACACTCCTGTGGCCTTTTGCTGTTGCCTCAACCTCGGGGTGCGTTAAAAAGTTTAAGGAGGGTGGGTCGAAGCTCCAAGGAGACTTGCAAGACACTCGCTGGTGCTGGGACCGACCTGAGAGGGCCATTTGCATGGTTCCAGGCATCTCCAGGGAACCTCGCCCAAGTGGAAGACGTCCTGTTTGGAGGCAATACCCAAATGTCCGAAGCCAAGGGCGTCATGGCCGTCAGCGTCAAATTCGACGGCAAACAACAGGTACGCTCGAGAACTCCGAGTTGCATGTTTGGCTAAAGCATAAGTTTAGGCTTAACTTTTTTTGTTAAAGGGATACTGCAACGAAATTGAAGTGCCTATTTTATTGCGTAAATGTCAACCACGTTCTGGCCACACTACAGAGACACAAATATTTTGCTTGAAAAGACGCCAAAACATTATTGAAAAGGAGTAAACCAAATGTCATCACGTCACTCTGTACTTAAAAGCAGCGTCGCTACGCGGAAGCACAGTGGCAAGCTGCATGCACACGAGCCCTGTCGAACTGGATTTCCCTTCTCTCCCGGCCTATTCAACTCCAGCAAGGAGTGAAGAGGGGTGACTACAACGGCCAGGTCGTAACGCTTTGACGACGCCGAGTGGCGGAGCTCATAAGCACGCCAGCCGCCAAGCAGCTTTGTCCATGCAGACATATCGCGTTCTTCAATTGCTGATCTTTGAGCGTTCGCTGGAATCAGTCCTTCGTAATGAAAAATATAGACCTATTTCACAAGGGCGCTGCCATCTTGAAATGTTGTCACTTCTAGTATGGGCAAAAACATTGTTTTGCCGTCGCCATGCCAATAGAATGCATTTGGGATATAAGCGTAACCGTCACAAATCCTGTTTTGTCCCCCCTTTATTTTTTTACTATTTGCACGTTGAGATTTTTTATATTTTTTTTTGTTGCCCATATTGGATTTCATTCATGACAATATGCCTACCAGGTGCCTGGGGACAAGAGTGAGCAAAAAAAGGTCTATAGCTATCCGTTCAAAATACAAGCATGCGATAGTCATTAGCAGATAGAGTCAATCGTGTTTAACTTATTTCTGAACGTGAGAGGTATATTTTAAGTTTCAAATCAGTATCCCTTTAAGGCCTACGCAAAGAAATACCTGAAAGCGGCAGTTGCAAAAGACTGGTTGGTCTAATTGTGGAAAGTCTTAATTGAGCTTGTTGTTAATAGGTAAGGGTAGCCCAAATGGTGTAGCCTTGGCCGTGACTTGCGTGTCTTTGAAGCTGGCCCGCCTGTTGTTAGTCCCTTGTCGTTATTATCTCACGTCTGACGGTCATTCGCGTCACTGCCTCAATGGCTTTAGTCTTCTCTTTGTAACATTGTTAACATTGCCTTCTCTTCTTAACATTCGTAACTAGGGATGCCGCAAACTTTTTTCGAATCGAAGTTTCAATGATTGAATCAAGCGGTTCGAAAGATTTCGAAATTTCAAAATTACCATATCGGGAAATTCGACGGAAGTCGAATTTTCGAACTTGTTAAACTAAGAAGTTCGACGCTTTTCGAATTTTCGAACTTATTACGCTGCAAACTTCGATGCTTGTCGAACTTTCGAACTTGATAGACTAAGAAATTCGATGATTTTCTAACTTACAAACTTCTTGCACTAAAAAGTTCGAAGCTTTTCGAACTTTCGAACTTCCTACGCTAAGAAATTTGATAATTTTCGACCTTTCGACCTTATTAATCTAAAAAATTCGAAAATTGTTGAACTCTCGATTCCTGAAAAGAAAAAGTTCGACGAACTTCAAACTTTTAGAGTAAAAATTCGAAGTTCGACGAATTTCGAAAGACCGGCAAGTGGTTTCATTTGGATTCAAGCAGTGAGGTACATTCGTAATTTTTTTTTCGCAATTTTACGTGGGGTGCTGCATTCCTTCCGAAAGACAATCCCGTTTATTTCAATCATCTGGCATGCTTGGTTTTAGAAAAATAGATTCCCAAAGGAGCGAGGAAGGACGACGGGTTTTTGACAATTGTCGTTTTTGCCATATTTGAAGCGCACTATAACCGAAGCTATTTATGGTAGAGATGTTAAACTTTTTAAGAATGATCTATATATAGCCTAGGTGAGTGTCGTCTTAAGATATGATTATTGTTTAAGACGAGTTTCGAATAAATATCCAAACATGTACCTACGGACAATTATGCCCTAAACTTGGTAATTTTTTTCGACTACATTGTTTGGGGTATCCCATTTAAATTAACACCAGAGACAGTACATATCCTTACCATCTGCAGAATACAAAATAATGTATTTATTGTTTTTTTCAGGTTGAGGAATAAATTAACTCATGGGGGAAGATTTCTAAAATAACTCCAAGTTCAGCGCGTCATAAATTTTTTTTTCTCAGTTTACGTTCTTGGGACGTGTTTCTTTTGGCCTGTACACATTTTGGTAGGAGAAACTTGTTTCATAGTTCTGGGCCTCTGTATATGCAAGAATACAACACTTCCGGCGGGTTCTTGATAGTTTTTTTTTTCCTCTCTAGCTTTTTATTTTTGCATTTATTGTTATGTTTATTTATTTATTATTTTTTTACCAATGGTATAGTTATTTAGGTCAAAAAGACATAGCTTTGAACTTTCGAGCCACTGAGCATGTGACGAGTAGTGCCCCCTGAACACGAGTTTCTAAAGGCCTCTTCACACATGCAGCGGAGCGCTACAAGCATAGCGCTGACCTCGTGCTAAGCACGTGCCGACGGGAGCGTTCACCAGCTTTGTATCGCACCGTCAAAACTGTTGCTCATGGCATAGGATAAGTACCTGACTGCACGTGAGCAGCGTTACATCAGCGCTTTGCTGCATGTGAGAACTGGCCTTAACAATGATCATCTACGCAATCTTTTATACAGTGAAGAGTGGCAGTAGCTATACATATGCATAAATAATTTCAGATTAAAATAAGATCGACCATGCCCTCTTTCCCCGCATTGTTTCCTTTAACAATCCGAAATATCTGGGAGGGTGGGAGGGGGGGGGAGAGACTGGAGCCCCCCCCCCCCCCCCCCCCCCCCCGTTTTTCCTCTTTCGACGCCACTGGTATGGTAGAACGCTCCTCAACCTCAAGTTGCATCAGCTTCTGTGCTTTTTGCTCGGCGTTTCTTCCGCACCAGAAAATAAACCTCCAAAGCAATTACAAGCAAAAAAAATTGTCAAGGTGCAGGCGAGCTGGTGTATGTTGATCATGATGCAAAATCCCGAGATTGGGAATAAAATTCGCAAGAAATAGTGTAAGAAGAAAGAAAAAAAAGGGACAGGACAACGTCTCAAACTCAGCTGAGTTGAGTTTGAGACGTTGTCCTGTCCCCTTTTTTCTGTCTTCTTACACGTTTTCTTTCAAATTTCATTCCCAGTCTCAGGATTTTGCATCATGTACAAACTAAACTTACTATATGCCAGCGTCACTCGGGCGGCGTTCAATCGGATTACTACCAGCGTGAAAGGGGGTGGGGGGGTTGGGCAGTTCGCCAGATCACTTCAAGGTATTTCTGAACCTCAACCACCTGCCTGCCCCTGGCTGTTTCGAACTGGATGAGTATCGTTAAACAGCGCGTTCGTAGGATCACTACTTCGTAATGCACATTAATGACCACCCCGGGCCGGCGGTCACAATTATTGATTTATTGTTACACGTCACTGCACTGGGAAATATTCCAGCACGTCCGAGGCACTCGTCGTCTCATTTAATTGCCTGACCAACTTCGCGCAGTCTAAATATCGCACCCGAACTTTTCTAAACCTGATTTCATAAAAACCAGTTAGGCGTGAAAATGTTACTTGAAACTGAAACTGTGGCGGAACATGAAAACCGGACTTCGAACTTTGCACACGTGGACTTCAAAAAAATCAAAAACCTTCCAAGTTTTTTTTTTTTTTTTTTTTTTTCGAATTTAGTTTTAAAAGAGAATTGAAACCTTCGAACTTTATGTAGAAAGAAATTCGAAATCTTCGAATTGATCGAACCTCAAGTAAACAAATAGTCAAAATAATCGAACCCAAACTTTTAGAAACCGTTAAAGCTTCGAACTTTTTGAATTCGAAACCCCACGATTTTGGAAAGTTGCGAATTTTTCGAATTCAAACCTTCCTACGGTCGAAAATATCGAAACTTTTTGAAATCGAACATTAGTTCAATTTGAAGATATCGAAACCTTACGAAATCGAATCTAGGGTGGTTCGCGGCATCCATATTCGTAACGGTCAAAACCGTAAGAATATGGCGGCCAACGTGTACATGCCTATGTTTTCGCCGTCCTCATGGTGATGCTTCTTCTACTAAACTGCTTTTTTGTGCTGTCCAGACGGTGGGCATTGCCTACGGGGATGCGGTGCTTCAGGAGCTGACGGTCGTGGAGTTTGACGACGACGAGCACTTCTCCAATCTCTGCGTGAGTGCTTGGGATGCCCAACTTGAGGCACCGCTGCGTGTGTGGGCGCACCCCCATGCCCGACGCCCGCTGCGCCCTTTCTTGTCCCCAGACAGTCCTGGTGCACCTGGGCCCCCAAGAGTGCCTCATCTCGTCGCCAGACGCCAAGAAGTTTGCCGAGGTGAAGGGTATCGTGGAGCGGTCGGGAATTCTGCTGACCGAGTGCAAGCCGGGTGAGACGTGAGGGGCTTGGGAGCCGGGCCGATGGCCGGGCTCGCGGTTTTGCCTCGTTCCTTGTTCGGTATGGCACGCTAATTTTAAGGCCCAATCACACTCTTGCAACCGAGTACGACCGAGAGAGACCAAACCGGTTTTTAATCCTCTTGCGACGTCTTAGACCAGGCGCGCTGCTGCGGAGCTGGTCCTAAGACGTCGTAAGAGGATTAAAAACCGGTCTTGTCTCTCTCGGTCATACTCGGTTGCAAGAGTGTGAACGAGCCTTTACGCTAGTTGTGTATGGCAGATTTGTTTTTGTTATATTTCAGCAATGTTTTATGAATTATTCTTTGTAAATCTCGCTCCCCACTATAATACCTCACGGCAATGCAGGTTCCTTAGAGAATGAAAAAGTGTTTGCACCGCCAGACAACTACTGGTGCAAGTATCGTAGGAGCCTGTTAATGCATTTTTCGGGAGACTGCAGTAAAAATATGTAGGATTCGGAAAAGCTTTTAGGGGAAAAGGAGGCTCGAAAATGATAAAAACTGAAATTATTGGGAAAGTGAGAGCACTTTCAAGCCTACTCTTGGTTCATGGTTGCCTTGCTAGGAGGCGCAGTGCAGTAAACAAAAAACCGTAAAGGGGGGCAGCTATTCAAGAGGAAGGGAGTGGCCGCAGTCGAGTGGGCCGACACATCGAGTAGCAGGTTTTAGACTCAACACTTGGGAAGGCAAACATAATAAGCGGGGAATTGATACGCACATCCCATGGTGAATTCAACGGCCATTATTCCACCCCAATTGATGCATCCATTTAAAGTACCACTTGTTGAATCTGACCTGTTTTCCCAATTTCCTGTGGTCGTTGTTGTCATAGATTTCACAGTTTCATCTCCATGCTGTTTTACAAAGTATAGAGTGGCGTGTTTTTGTGTGGTTGAGGGTATGAGAGTAGGGTTTTGATGGTTGGATTCTTGCAGCCGACTTTGTGTCCAAGGACATTGTGCAAGACCTGGGTCGTCTGCTGGCTCCATCCTCGGTGCCCCAGGGACAGGCGGCCATGCTGCGTAAGTCACCCAAGGTCATCAGAATTGTTGCTCTTCTAAATGCCCGTTCAGCAGAAACAGTAGTGGAGTATGCCGGTATCTGGGCAGCAAAACCAAAATGCGAATGAGTTGTGAAACACTAGGGTTATAAATGCAAATTTTTTGTATTTTAAACATTTCAAAGTTAGCTCTAAAAAAAAATAAAATAAAGAGACTTTGTAATATTTTGAGTTATTGCCCACCCCCTGCCACCTGAGATTCATAAAAAAAAAAGTGTGTGGGCCACATCTTAGAGTGCAAGTTCAAAAGAGTAAAAAAAAAAAAAAAAAAAGATAAACAAAATGCCAACATACAGTCGAATCTCATTATTCAAACTCAAGGGGGGCCAAAAATTTGTCTGAATAAAGCAAAGTTTTAATTACCAGGAGTTTCCTTCCATAGAGACGCATAGGATGGGACCTACGTGTTAGTTTGAATTATCCGCAAGTTTGAATTAAGAGAGTTTGAATTAATGTGAGTCGACTGTATCTAGCGCGGCTGCACAAAAGGTACATTAAACTCAAAACTTGAATTAGTTTCATTGTTTTATGCAAGAAATGCTCATGAAAGAAAGTTTCAATGTATAGCAAGGTCCGTTGCTTCCATACGCGCAATGAACACTGCCGACCTGCATACAGCGCGAACGCTTGTTCCGTGAAAATGTATTTCTTACTATGCTATGTACTTTTTTTTCAAAAAAAAAAAAAAAGTAATTAAGAAAATAGAAAGATCAACCAGGCGGAACGAACGAGCGAGCAGGCGGGCGGGCGAAGGAAGCGATGAAGAGCGATGCTGGGGAAAGCCGGTGATCGCGTTGGCAAATACTTTGGTGGTGGTCCAAGTTGGGTGCCTTGTCAATCACAAAGAGCAGGCAGGCTCTTGTGCAACTTCCTTGTTTCATGCATACATGCGTGCATCCGTGTGCGATGTGCTATCAATGCGGGTATAGGCGGTGTCACTGCGGCGTGGACTGCACCACGAATGTGAATCTTGAAATGGGACGCTCTACAAACGTTTGTGTGCGGCGTTCCAGCAAATCTTTATATACCCGTTGGCTTTATCTCAAACATTGCGCAACCTCACCAACCACGGTTGCAATATTTCGGGAGAACGAGCGGGTTCGCGGTGACCTTACTTTGGTGATGGAGACTTTGATCTTAAACTCGGCCGTTGCTTTCCAGGATACAGGGCGTCTGCTGACCTTGTGATCCCTGAATGGGTTAATGCTTGTGTTACCTTCCCGATTTCGTTTTTTGTCCAAACGAGTTTTTTTAGAGCGCAGCTCTTAGGCGCCCGTTTCCAGCTTGAGCGGCGTTGCCGTCGGCGTAACCGCGCGGTGCATTATGATTAAATTTTTCCGAAGGGACCCGAGGACTCCCAAAGGAACCCGAGGTCGTCCCGAAGGAACCCGAGGTCCTTCGGGACGACCTCGGGTCCCTTCGGGACGACCTCGGGTTTCTTCGGTAGGGCCTCGGGAGGACCTCGGGTTCCTTCGGGAGGACCTCGAGTTCCTTCGGGAGCTGCATGCAACTACACATACAACGAGTTTTATGCAACCTGTTGCATGCGATCCAGGTTGCATGCAACCTGATGACCTCATCGTCATCCGCATCGTCATCGTCATCATCACTGATGACGTCATCAGTGACGTCACTGATGACGTCATTGGCATCCACATCGTCATCGTCATCATCATTGATGACGTCATTTCATCCGCATCGTCATCGTCATCATCACTGATGACGTCATCAGTGACGTCACTGATGACGTCATCAAATCGTCATTGTCAAGGTCACGTGACCCCCGAGGTCACGTGACCACCCGAGGTCACATGACCCCCTAAGGTCACGTGACCCCCCTGGAGTCACGTGAACTTCCTGAGGTCACGTGGCCGCCTGAGGTCACGTGATCCCCCTCCCCTGAGGTCACGTGACCCCCTTGACGTCACCCGACCTCCCATGAGGTCACGTGACCTTAAGGAGTCACCGGTCCCTCAGTACGCTTCCATCCTCCTCCTCAAGAGCTGTGCTCCAACGTGCGTTACAGGGAATTGTAAACGGCTTTCATTTTTTTTATGCAAGGCACTTTCACTTTGTAGACATAACTAAAGCTGAGACACCAGAAGAAGGAAAAAGAAGGACACAAAAAAGAGGACGACACATTTTCCATTCGCACGCATGTACACCGACTTTGGGGAGGAAATGCGTGAACAAATTAAAGTGTCTTTCCCTCCTTCGTTCTACTTCGTCACGGACGTCCTGCAACCGTGAGGTCCGTGACCACGTCACTGGGGTAGGATGAACGTTCATAGATCTCGGAGTCCACGTTGGGGTATTTTTTTTAGAGGGGTGGGCGATCACTCGCCATTTTTTTGGAAATCGATGTTTTGCCCAAAAAGTGGGGTGGGCGATGTCTCAGGATAATACGTTAACCTTTTTGTTCAAAGGTACCTTGCCTTTTCAAGGATTTCTGGTTTCATACTTTGGTTTTGTATCAGTTTCCAGCTACCTGGTTGGTATTATAGAGCATTAGTAGCTGAGTGCGGGATGTCGCAACCGTTGAGTCATGTGGGCTGACCGACCTGTGTTGTTATGTGGTATATCTTTACAGCTGGGGCAAAAGGTGCCACAATCATGGTGCCACAGTATAGTGTTTTCTTGTGTCATTTAATGTTTGTTCAGCTTTCGCTGAACAAGCACGCGAACAAACGCGATTCGATACTCGCAGAGCCAAAAATTGGAGGTGTGTTCATTACGCAAGGGGAGAAAGAAGTCCAAATATTGGTACCCGTTGTGGGGTGTGTGTTCATTATGCGAGCGCGTTCATTATGAGTAAATACGGTATAACAATGTCAATAATTTATGAGTAGATGTTTCGTCTCCCATGTGAAAGACATCACCAGTGCAGTCTAGGAACAACACGTGTGTTCCTAGGCTGTGCTGATGATGTCTCCCACATGGGAGACGAAACGTCTACTTATAAATTGTTGACATTGTTATATAAGTTGGAGGTATCTGCTTGAAGGGGTGTGTGTTTTGATTCTACTATTGTTGTATGTTCATGTTTAACCTTGATCCACGATTCCTGCTGAGTACCTTTTAATTCGAGTGTCATATTTTTCGTACGTTCTTGCAGCGGAAGTGGATCTTAAGGTTGCCATGGAGTCACTGGCCGGGGTCATCAAGTACCTGAATGTAAGCTCTCTCGTCATCATCTCCTACTACAGTTGAACCCACTTCTAAGGAGTATTCACTGGGTGCCATATTTGGGGATGTTGTCTAGAGCGCAGGCTCAGAACGAGCCCACATTAATAGGCTGCCAAGACCGGCACTCTTGATGGTGTGGAATGCACATTACAAAAGAACCGTGGAAGCTCGCCATCAGCATGCGCTCAGCAGTCATGCACACAACTATGGTCACCAGTGAATACTTCCTATACTAGAGCTTGTAGGAAAATAATCCCTGGAGAAGGGGAACAAGAGGGGCAAAGGACAAACACAAATCTCCAAACACAGCTAGGTGACTGGTGCGCGACCGAAAAAATCCGCTTGGTCCGAGTATCAAACCTGGGACCTCTAGGTTTCCAGGGGAGCGCTCTACCAACTGAGTTAACCAGGGGTTAGACGTCAGTAGAGCAAACGGGTTTTATCAGCTGCCGCCAGTCTAACACCAACAAGGGTGAAAGGCTTGCATCTATGGTTATGATTATAATGCAATTAAATGCAAAGGTGCAAGCGAACTGGACAAATATGTTTCAGTTTGGAAAGAAAAAAAAAATATTTGTTGAACTGAACGTTACTGTGCGGAAGGAGATGGTTTTTTGGCGAGACCAGGTGCGTGCTTGGGCGGAAGGTAAACGAAATGAGTTCAAAATAAGGAGTTAACGCAGATAATTGACTTTCTCCTCCGCCTAATATTTTGACGATCGTTACACGATAAGCTCGTTAAATGAGTTAGCATATATTGCCCCGGTGCACGCAGCCGTCTTTGGACTTGTTTGGGCTGGACTGGTTTTGTGGGGCTACGGCGCAGTTCCCGCCGTGCTCTTTCACTCTGTTTGTTCGCTCATTAAGTCCCCTTTTCCTCTTATGTGAAAGAGAAAAAGCCTTCTCGCACACTTCCAGTGACGCTCCGCCATAGTTGCACGCTCCTCTTACGATGCTACTGGGGCTTAGGCACATGGTTTTATTTCCTTAGTACGCACGACGTACGCAACAACGTAAAACCGAAAGGCAGCAACGACGCCATTTGCACGAAACCTCCAACGCCCAGCGCACCAGACTGGCTCCCTGAACATGAGGAACCCGTGCACTAAATGTTAATGCATTTCGTCAAGAATCGGTGTAGTGACAGCAGAAATTTAGTTTCGACACAACTTTTTCAGGAGCCATCCGTTGGCTGATATTTTTTTCCTAGAACATGGGGCGAGAGTATCAACGGGTGTGCACAGTTCCTCGAAACCATCAAAAACCCTCAAGTTCTAAAATGGGGTTGCTGGGCCCTTGAAAGCCCCGGGTTTTTTGTTAGACCTTGAAAATCACCTAATGGCTCTCTATAATAACAAACGCGGGTATATTTTTTACATTTTCGTATGCTTCTCGATTTTTTGTTTTCGTTCTAAGTTATCTCGATTTGTATAAATTTAGCCAATGTTCATTGGATGGTTGGCCACATTGGAGCAGATCCAAAACAATCCAATCCTGCAATTTTTGTGCGCATTGTTTCTGCCATTAGCATCGTGTTTTATCGTCGGTTGTTTTACGACCAGCGCTGCACTTCCCGCATATTAATGCAAGTGAAATGTCTGTATAAGTAAGAAAATGACCAGATAAAGCAAGTTTTAAGGTGCATGGCTCTACAACAATGAGCATAAGGACTGGGTGATGCCAGGCATGACAATAGACCTGTCGCAGAATGTACAACACCACAACGACAGAGAATTTCGGGAACCCTTGATACAGATCACGTGCTTTCTCAAAGCGCCTCCGCGACTGCGCGCTTCGCGGCAGCTACTGCCAGCAGGCGTCGCGACCATCCGCCATCCCGCCCATCAGCCGGAACGTTGTACGTCATTGGTCGTAACTTGCCTTCATGTCTTGCAGTGTCACTGAAGCTACTTATTTTGCACCGCGACCATGGCAGGGTCGGACTAGGTTCGACCAAGTGTTGGCGCAGCAGATGATAGAGGTAGTGCGGGACAAAGGAGAGAGATAAAAAAAGGGGCAGACCCTTTTCCTCGTGCGCTCATCGCTCATCTGACGATCCGACTCGGCTTCGGCTCTGGGGTGCTGGAACATTGTTGCTATGGTAAGCTGAGCCTGCTCGCGTATGCCACGTGGTGGTGGGAGGAAAGACCCCCATTATTCATTGCGCGGTGTGCGCAGGCTTTTGCGATTTTTGCAAAGGGTCTGTTGAGCATTGTGCAAGATGCAGTGATGTGACTGCTGTGCCAATTGTGCCAAAATGCCCCAATGGGCTAGCCCTACTACATACATCCTGCTACATTTTGCCAAAATATGGGTAATCTGTGCCAAGCCTCTGCCAAAGGACCAATTTGGTCGCCTTTCAAAAGCGAAAGTAAACTGAGTACCGTGATTGAGCATGAGTGAGCTAGGTGGCACAAGCGGCCACCCTACACAAAGTACCCTGCATCAATTGTTCATCTGGCTTTGCGTGGTTTTTCCCGCCGTCTCTCGTTTTGCGCTCTCGTCATCTCGTGGGTCTCGTCTCGCGTCTTTTTAAAATTTTTTCATTGATAGACGCTGGTGTGTGCGGACGCTGCGAACCTAGCATGCCGAATACCAGCCATACCGTCATGCTGTGAAACAAAACCACGCTTTTGTGCGTCGGGAGTTACTTTGTGAGCTGAAGCACTTGCTCCTGAAAGCAGCAGCCATAGGAAAATTATATTTAGGCCTTGTCTGCCAGTCATTGTGGTCGTGCGACTCGGGATATTACAGTAGTCTCGGGTGTTCTAAATGTGTAAAGTTCTCCAGCTTTCCCGCATCTTCTCTGTTATTCAAAGCTTCCCTTAGTGCTTTCAAGACGCTCAGTTGGTCTGGTTGTCTGATTAACTGTCCGAGTAATTATCCAGTGCTGCACGGAGATGATGCATTAAATCGCCGCCTTTTTGTGAGAAGCCTTAAAGAACCTCGCTTGCTCATATCGGTTGCACCGTGGGAGGGAGAGTTGGACTTCCTTTTTACGGTGGATCCTACGCAAGCAGGCCCCATCCCATCAACCCCGACAAGTGTGCACCTTCATTGTATTAAACAGAATGTCTGATCCTAGCAACTTTTTTTTGCAGCTGACATCGGACAGCGAGAACTTTGGCCGCTTCCGAATGTCGACGTTTGACTTCAGCCAGTACATGCGCATCAATTCGGCCGCAATTCGTGCCCTTGGGGTGCTTCCGGGCAGTGACGGTGAGTTTGAAATGCTACTTAAGGCCTGCAAGAAGTTCAGCCTGCCACACTTAGGTGAAGTAGAACAAATAAGCGAATATTAGCCCCCTTATTGCGCTGTCGTTGGTAGTACATAATGCATTTATGGTATATTCCTTTGCGGTGATGAAAAGACCTTGGAGCTCATTTTGTACATCAAGAGCACAAGTATTGTGGTGCGGAACGTCTCTGAAAGAAAGCGCTGCCGAAGGTTGGGAAGAGTGGAATGTGAATTTCGCAGATCGGCAGAAAAACTAGTGGAAGGGAAAGGGAGTTGACGTCATCCCCATCGCCAAAATACGTGCCGCAGCAGCCGGCCCAGTCATTTGATGGTTTTACACCAGTCATGCATGGTCATAAGATAAAATACTTCTTGGTGAGAGCATTAGTAATGAGGTAACTTTAGAAAGTGTTTTTATACATAAAGACAGGGGACAGGACAACACACAATCTATATAGTAGTATAAAACCCTTTCTAAAGTTACTTAAAATAAGGATGTTGTCTCTTAAGTTTTACTAGAGAAAATTTATCTTTTTTTTTAAACAGGGTTTTATTTACACCTCTGCTAAATTACGGCGCAATCAGTTACAAACACGATTTATGTGATCCCTTCAAAGGGCCGACCTTTTTGTAAAAGATCTTTTTTGAACACCCTGTGTATTTTTGTCAATATTAAAGGGGGGGGGGGGGGGTGCAACGATTTCCGGTTTCGGTGACAAATTTGTGGAAGTTGCCCTCTGACACTTCTGAAGTAAAGAACAGAAAACCGATTATTTTTGCCTGCGTGTCCTAGTTGTGTAAAAAGAAAATAGAAATCTTGTCATTTCTGGCATCCTTCAACTCCCTCCCAGTCTTCAGGGTCACACCTGGTCTCCCTCCTAAGGACGTGATTCAGGGTGCCGTGTAGCTTCCCGTGTCTTCCTCGGAGGACCCTTTCTCTCCCTCTCTCTGCCTACATTAGCAGGTGTTATGCTGCAGCTTAGAGCCGAGCGAGGTCACGTGATCTTTTTGCCGTAGTTCCCTTGGCTGCCAGTCGCGGCTGCAGGCGGGGGAAAAAGCTTGACTTTTGTTTTGCGATTATGTAGAGGAATCGCTACAGTTTTTAATGAAGGAGGTGTTTTCTTTATCCTCCGGGACACGATAAACAACATAAAAATTACGAGATGCAAATTCTTTTAACCTTAAAATCGTTGCACCCCCCCCTTTAAAAATGGCCACCGGTCATGGTCGGCCAAACTTGTTTGAAAGCACCCGGGCGCTGTTTTGCTCCAAAGATGTTTGCACTCCAGGTACTGCCAGTTAGATTTGGCACTCGTCTCCTGGTTTGCAAAACGCTTTCGCTTTACCGGCTTCAGACTATATTATTTACACTGAATAGCCTTCCTCCTCGGATTCATTTGCTTCAATGTAGGCACATACAATCTTTTGCACATGTTTGTACGTGAGCCCAAAAAGAGACTTCTCTATACAGAGAAAAATGCGAGACAATTTCTTTTTCTTGTTAGTTGGAAAAAGCTTGTCGTTTAGTTCCTAACTGACTTGAGTGAGTTTCCTTGAAAGTATTTGGAGAGCATCCTCCGGTATCCCGATGGCTTTAGCTGCAGCGCAAATAAACTGATGCTGCTGATGCACACTTTCAAGTGCTTTTCTTATGTCATTTTCCCACCAAAAAGCCCTGGCTGTTTTTCTCTTGTATGTCTGGCCATAATAGACAGTAAGAAAAAAGACTCTAGCTTCGGAAGAAACACTAAACCCGCCAAAATACACCTTACGCCAGTTGATGGAGATGTTATGTTTTGCCCCTTGTACGTAGGTACTCTTATTTAAATACCGTATTTGTACGAGTATAACACTTTTTTTTTTCGGAATTACATGCTCCAAAACGCACCTCGCGTTATATTCGGAATTGAGTTCAGCCACGAGGCGCGTGAGTCTGAAAAAGCCATCCCTCCGGTTCAGTGCAGATGATCGGGTGGGAAAAGAAGGGGGGGTGTGGGAGGGAATTTATTAGCTATTGGGCCACATGAAGGGGCAGATAGAAAACCAAAAAAAGCATTTTTATTGCTTTTGTGTTTGTACAACACGCGCACGCTGCAGAAACGCAGTGCGCGGCAGCGCGCCATGGGGGAATATGGACACTGGCGAATTGAAGCCAAGCCAAGTCAACACAAGCCAAGCCAAGACCACCGACCGTGTTTACGCAATCGTGCAACACAAGGTGTTTGTTTATGCGGATAAACTAGAACATAGGGTTCGTACAGCTCCTTCAAATCCTTGAATACCCAGGATTTCGCTAAAAGCCTTTTAAGGGCCCTTAAAAATCCTTGAAAGTTGAATTGATCATTGTATTTCTTGAAAATCCTCCAACAAATGTGCAAATGGGGCCGCATAGTCTGGCAAGATGGCATGTTGTTTGTTCTAAATGATAAAGCCAATCCAATCCAAGGCGTCCCGTGTCATCGCCAGTTTTGCTTTGTGTTGAGGATTGTGTTGATGAGCGCGAGACTCTTTCAGTCGAGATTGAAAGCCGAAATGCCGGGTGGAAAGTGTAAGCTCCAACTTTCTTGGGTGGAACACAAAGACTATCTATTGCCGATGGGTGAGACCAGATACGAATGACTCCTTTCGAGCGTAGTGCGCGCTTTGTCGAAACACTGTCAAAAACCACGGTGGCCTGCTCAATATTCCACTGTCGAAGGAGTTAAAATCCTCTGTAGACCTAGCAAGGCAGAAATATGCTGCATGCTTAGAAGAGTGCAAGAAAAATGCACCCAGTGAGCAGGAAAGTTTGAAGGAAAAGCAGTTGAAATGGAGCTGGAGGGAATGCACGAGAGGAAGTTGAAACTCCAGAAAACTTTGAAGTGCCTGTTTGAGTCGGCGGATTGCTTCTCAGAAGATGGTGAGGCGAAGAATGACTTAACACCTTTGGCCAAAGCCAACAGTTTTTGTGAAAGATGCGCAGCATCATGTAATTCTCGCAGTCAGATAGCAATTCAACTGCAATGTTGTCGCCATGGGCACCGACAAACAGTCTGATAATTTATAAAGCATCTATTACCTGGGATGTGAGAGGTGGATTTTAGGATCATGCGCAGCATTTTCTCCATAATTTGAGGAATTGCGATTGCAAATGCTTGTAATTATTTGTCGTTCATCCCGTCACGATTGATCACATCTTTGTGGGTGTCAATGCCTACACAGACATGCCGAAATTGCCCACAATATCTACCTCTTTTTTTCACTTGCCACCTCGGTGATCATACGTCTCTTCTCTTCAAGAGAAGTAAAATTTGTCATGTCACATTTGCCAGCATTTGCTGATCAGAACAATTTGTTTCTGTTTCTGACAGCTCGCTGCACGTGCCATCAATATGCGACCTTGTACACATTTGACTTGGCTTGGCTTTAGCCGAATTCTGACACAAATCAGCCTTTGGGGGTTTGGAGGCTTCGGAGCTCTCTTGGAGTGTTCTGTCACCCATTTGTAGCCTCCACCATGGTATAGGAAGATTAGCGACATGAAGCAGTTTGGTGGAATGGGAAACTAGGTCTGGGTGTGATGGGCAGTGACTGTTTTAACGTCCGCATCAATATACTAACTCCAAAATAATTTTGATGACTGTGACGTCTATTCTGTAAAATGCAAATATAGTAATGAAATTATTTTGACGTTCCCATCAAAATGACGGCCTTGGTATTATGATGTCTTCCATCAAGATAGTAGGTTTATTATTTTGACGTCCCTTGTCAACGTAGCCGCCGCAATGGTCATTGTTTCATTGTATTTGATTTTAGTTGATTTAGCCCACCGCTGGGGGAAGGAAGTGCGTTTTCTTGCACAGCACCAAAGGCTTGTGATTAGAGCATGTAGGCGCAACATTGGAATGCCCCGGAGTGGTGGCATTTTATAATGGCTTCTATACTTAGTAGAAAAAACATTTATTGTTCTGCTAAGTTGTTACATGAACAGTTAGGCTTTCTCTTGTGATGCTTTTGGTCAGTGCAAGGTAGGGCAACTGAACTAAAATGAAGATGCCTTTCCTGTAACAAGAAAGTCATTTTGAAACAATATATATACTTCTCTTTTATTTTGAGCGAGTATATTGGTGGAAACAAGAAATGCAAAGTGAATAATTGAGCATTTTTAATATGTCAACCCTAACTTTCTCCTCCGTGTTTTTTTTTTTTTCTTTTCTGTTTAGGTTTTTTTTGGGCGTCTGGCAGGCCCAAACTGATATCCTGCATGCACCACTGCTTTTACAGTCCTTGATCATATCCCCCAATTTTCGGTCCCCCGTTTTTACAACGGTTCCAGCACTTAGTACAATTTGACCATAGCTACTGCTGCACCATGAAACCCCGATCAATCATTCAGATACTTGACTATAGCCCAAAATTTGGGAGGTTCCAGTAGGCCGACTCTCGGAAGATTCCATACGAAAGGACATAGAGTATGTTCTTCACATTTGTTTTGTGTCTTTCTCTTTTTTTATAGTTTTACTCTTTTCGAACGTCCCTCTTTGTTCTCTTTGTGCAGACCAGAAGGCTGACCTGAGTCTGCTGAAAGTGCTGAACCGCTGCCGCACACCCGGCGGTCAGCGGCTCTTGGCGCAGTGGCTGAAGCAGCCGCTCACGGATGTCCGCAAGATCGGTGCGTCACCTTTGCCCGGAAAGTCTCAGGTGTTTGGGAGGAAGGAGAAGCGTGTCTTCTTCTTGCAGTCGGTGCCAAGTTCTTTTGAGACTTAACCATTTTCTCTATTAAAATTTGAAAGCAGTTTATGAGCATTTCCAGTGAGAAAACGGTGGGCAGCAAATGCCGCAAATGCACAGAGAGGAATGGTGTCTGCTACCGAAATCCGGCTTCATTTTCTCGCTGGAAATTTTTTCAACTACATTATAACTTTTGAATTGGATAATGGTAAGCTCCGAAACTTTTTTAATCTGGTCCAATAAGCCGTTGCTACCTTTGGGCAGAAACTGCTCTTGGAGCCGCATAATTCATTCCTGTTCGCACATACTCCACAGCACTACCTCAGCACTGGGGGGGATCGGTGGCTGAGTGGTCTAGCGCACACCAGCTCAGAGCGCGTGGAGCAAACACAGGGATCAGAACACAGGGATCCTGCAGAACCCAGGGATCCTGGGCTCAATCCCCACCCCTGCCCGTTTCGATCTGGATGAGCATCGTACCGGCGTGCGGTCGTGTATCACTACTGCGTGGTGCATGTTAAAAACCCCAGGCTAGTGGTTGTACTGCACTGGCTAAATCGCTCATCTACAGCGAGTGACTTGTCGCAACTTTAAATGGCTGACCAACTACACGCTGTATAAATATGTCCACAACCCCAATTTTGTTTACCTCGGCACTATTAGTGGGTGCTGGAACTAGCAGTGACCTCTCTCATGCAGTGCCAACCCCCCGTTGGCACTGCACAAGAAAAAACATAAACTTAAATTTCAAATTTAAAAATAGAATTGCATTTTTCAAATTTGAGGTTTTTTGTTTTAGAAACTAATTATACACCCTTTCACTGAATTTCATAACCATACGCCAAATAGTTGCATTGATATGAAATATTTTCAACACATTGTGAGGCACTAACAAGAAAGTAAAGGAGCTAAATGTTTGAATGCATTTTTCTCATTTCCACTTGTTGCTGCAAATTTCATACGAAGGAATCTTTAGTTTGAATGTAAAAGTATTTTGATAACATAATCAAAATGTTTCTGAACTGAAATTTACTGGGGAATCTGGCTATCTACTTAATTTTGTTTTAAGTTGGAAGTCCTCATTGAGAAAAAGCTATGTTTTCAACAATTGACATAGGACAGATATGCCTCTCATATTTTGAGGTAATCACTCTTGCTGAAATATTTACATTTGAGTTGTAAAAACTAGATAGCCCGAAGTGCCACATCCCCCCCCTTTATATTCGAGCAGTTAAAATGGTGCTGAATATTGTTAGGGTGATGCTGTCGGCAGCAGAAGGGACAGGACAGTACACAATGATAGAACACACATACGATTTATGGAGGCCGAGCCGGGCCGTGGGGCCTGGCGCAAGATAGTCGTGCGCGCCACTGCCCGTACTCCCTTCGACGAAAACGGCCGACCCGGCCGGTGAATAAATGAACACATGAAGCACACTTAGAAAGCCACATACACACAGAAGAAGAAAGGACGGCTGCCGACGGCGAGGGTGAGGATGAAGATGGAGACGTTGAATTTCGGCCTCTTCCGCAGCGTCACAGACCTCTGCATCAGCCACACGACGGCACGGTCCGGGCTGGGGGACTCACGTCACAGAGAAACGTCAGGGGCGGGGGATCGTCTGTCGGCTTCGTCTGGTGCGGCTTCGTCTAATTTGGCTTGTCATGGCGTCTGGGCGGGGGCTGGGCGATGGGGCCATGGGCTGGTGTTTGGTCTGCTGCTGCGGATGACTGCCTCAACGAGGCGGGTTCACAGGATCATAGCAGCGCCGATGTTCAATGAAGGAGATGAGTATGGCTCCGCACCTCCACCATACTGTTAGGGTGATGCTGTCGGCAGCAGAAGGGACAGGACAGTACACGATGATAGAACACACATACGATTTATGGAGGCCGAGCCGGGCCGTGGGGCCTGGCGCGAGATAGTCTTGCGCGCCACTGCCCCGTCGTCGTCTTCACCTTCCTAACAATATCTTCATTTGCTTATCATAGATTTCTCAACAAAGAGTGACACATCTTATGCAGGTATGTAAAACTTTCCTAGACAGCTGAAAGTTTGCCCAATAGACATACATCTGATGTTAAATCTCCTCTGCAAATTTCATTCCGATCACTCGAGTAGTTCACAAGTTAAATCTCTAGCCAGTGTCACCCCTTAACGCTATATAGTGACTCAGTGCAGCACCGGCGCATGACATGCAAGCCAGAGCTACATGAGCACTGTACCTAGCGTTCATTTAGTGCTGCTCCGTACAAGGTGTTTCCCCAAAGAATTTTGCATTTATCTAACTGCAAAAATAAACCACACATTTGCTAATGCTCAGTTTCCACCCAAAATGTAGAGCTAATGGTCTAAACCTGATGCCAAGGTTTCAGAACGAATCGTTGTCTTATTCAAAAGTTATAAGCAATTTTCTGATATTTACGTCGGTAAAATGGTGGCCGACAACGCCGACGAATATGCAGGGCCGAACAACGCTAACAGCTGAAAACAGGCCCCATTTTTCCGTCGAAAGTTTCGGACAATCCTGAACTTTTGAATAAGGTAACGGTTAGTTCCAAAACCCTGGCACCTGGTTTAGACCCCTAGCGCCACAATTGGGCAAAGAATGAGCATTTCGCGATGCATACTTTACTTTTGCGGTAGAAAACAAGAAGTATGCCGAATTGCTGGGCAATTGTGTGTGATACGTGAAACGTTCTAGCATCAGAAACGTTAGCGGCTTCTCCGAGTTTCCAGGTGCCAGACGCCTACGTTCACGGCGCTCTTCGTCAGATAGTTCAATGTGTACCATGCGTACACTTGATAGCTGTCCGTAGAATGAAGCGATACTGCCGCTAATCGTGCAGATAAACCTGGCAATCTTCGAGAGCCTCTCATACTCTCGAGGTCCTCCCCCTCAATGCACGCAGGTCGTCAAGCTCCTCCTCGCCTACCTTGCCCCTCGCTTACCCCTCCAGTCACACAGCCTCCCCGTTAACCAATCAGCATCGAGCACCTCACTCCTCCTTACCCACCAGTCAACCAATTGGGGTCGATCTTCGCGGCCACTTTTTTATCCGGGCTTCTCAAAATGCTGTACTATGTGCGAAGCAGCCTCGAGAGGCAGCGCAGTGAAGGATGACAAAGTTCTGTCCGTCCCGTGCAGAGGAGCGCCTGGAGATGGTGGAGCTGTTTGTGCAGAAGGGGGAGCTGCGCCACTGCCTGCACGAGGACTACCTGCGCCACTTCCCCGACCTCCTGAGGGTGGCCAAGCGGCTGCAGAGGCACAAGAGCACCCTGCAGGTCCCCCACCCATTCCAGTGATGTGATTGCTGCGCCAATTGCGCCAAACTGCGCCAAGGGGCTAACCCTGCTACTTCCTGCTACATTTTGCCAAAATAAGAGTAACATGCGCCAAGCCTGCGCCAAAAAAAAAAAAATTTAGTCTTTTTTTAAAACCGATACTAAACATGCCTGTGTTATGTGGCGCAAGCGGCCGCCCGACTCGCGTTTCGGCTCTCGTCGTCTCTTGGGTCTCGTCTCGTACCTTTTTTTTTTAAATATTTTCAACGACAGACTCGGGTGTGCGGACGCTCCGACGCTAGCGTGCTGGGTACCAGCCATGCCATCATGCTCTGAAACGAAACCACGTTTTTGCGCGGCGTGAGTTACCTTGCGAGCTGAAGCACCCGCTCCTGAAAGCTATTGCCGTGGGAAAGGCATATTTGGTCTCTGCCTGCCAGTCACCGTGGTCGCATGACGTCGGGTGTTGCCGTCCCCAAGTCGCTGCAGATATGGCGCTTTTTAAAATTAAACTAAGTACCGCCGCATGTTCATAAAAATCCCTGTTCTTGTTTACATCATACCTCACTACAAAAATCCCTATTAAACTCAAAGACTGTTGTGTCGAATTATTGACTACCTAGGTTTCTCTCGGTGGGCTTTCTTTCCAAATCTGCCGCGAAATAAATTTGGTGAAGAAAAGTGAGCTAAACAAAAGAAGGCGATGTCTGCACGCTGAACCCGCACAGCGCACTTGCTTATCTCGTGCTCAGTCGTTGCACAAAGCGCTCCAAGAGCTTTTTGGCCTTGGCTCGTAAGGTCTTGCATCGATGTGCTAAGGTTCTTTTTTTATTTTGCGTTTAGTTGGTACCTCACCAGCCGGCCTGGCAAGCACGTGCTGCTGGACTGTTTTTTTTTGTATGCTGGACAGCTCCATTTTGTGTACAATCTTGGAAACCAGTTGGCTACAGAGCGGAGTGGTTTCGATCGAACAGCCATCTCCGCTCGCGCGAGAATGTCGCATTGCACTGCAGTGGTCACGTGCTTGATTAGTTGGAGACAGCTTCCATTTATTATATAACTAGTCAACCTAATGCTGTAATGTTTACTACTAAACTGGTCATTTTCAGATAAATTTTAATATATGCAGTTTGGTTCTCATTTAGATATAGAGGGTATCAATAAAACGGTGGCAAGCGGTTTTTCGGAATTGCTCGGCAATGCCTACAGCACTGGGCAGTTGTGGGATGCCTCAGCAGTAAAAACACAAGCCGTCACAACACGTCACACCAGAACAAAACACAACACAAAGTGCCCTTCGTTTGTACAGCACTTAAAACGAATATTTTTATTTTTATAAAAACATCTGCTCCAAAAGCCATTTTTGCTGCTCCAAAACACTGTTTTGGCTGCTCCAAAGGCCACATTTGCTGCTCGTAAACAATGTTTAGGCTGCTCCAAAGGCCACATTTGCTGCTCCAAAACACTGTTTTGGCTGCTCCGAAAGGTGCTCCAAAATGGCTTGGGCCAATCACATCACTGCATTCTCTGTTTTGCCGCGCTGCGAGCATGTGACGATTGCCCATTTCTTTTTAGTCTGCCCATTTGCTTGTAGTACCATGGTCTCTTCTTCGTTAATTGTCTTACATTACCCGGAGTCGCCATCTCCCCTTAGTTCTGTCCTCTCAGGTGGGTGCTTACAATGTGTTTCATGCACAAAAAAAAAAAAATTGTCTTGATGAGTTGAGGGAAGAATTGAGTGTTATGGGTTGATGCTGAGCAAGTTGGTTCATGATGATTGGAATTACCAGCTGAACAAAAGAGAAAATATAAGCACACAAAAAATTAAACATCCACACTGCTGAAGCAGCAACAATTTAATGCCACTTCTTTGTCCTTCTCGTTTGGCTACCAGAGTAAGGTGCCTTTTTTCTATTTTCTTCATCGTCCTTGTCAAAATCGCGTTCTTGCAGACCCTCGCAAGAAGATAATTTCTTTGGGATGCAGTATGATGGAGGGGGCCAAGCACACTTGCCCCATACCTTCCAACTCTTCCAAATTTTTCGTGAAAAGTATGAATTGGGACTAATTTTATGATTTTACAAATCTTGCTTCAAATTTTACGAAAAAAAAATTATATATTTTTTTTTAAACTTTTTTTTGTAAAACCGTTGCTGGCGGTACGTTGCACTGCCACAAGAGGGTGATAGGTACCGTCCACGGCAGCGTTTTGGTTTCTACTATCCGTCTATGCGATGGCCACGGATTCAAAACCAATCCAGAGCCCAAAGCCTTTGTGTGTTCGGCAACACACGTTGGTTCGACGTGTTCAGACGTGGTTAAGCATCTCTGTTTCGGCCAGTTTCGAGGCGAGCAGTGCGGCGGCATCTGTGTGTGATTGTTGCATGTGTAATCGTAGCATTCCCCTGGTCGTGGTGGCTTCACGGCGCAATGGCGAACTCCAAACCTCAAAAGAAGTGCTTTCAGGTGTTTTTGAAGTCTTACACGTCGGAATTCCCGTGCTTCATGCCGTTCAAAAAGGAAGAGAAGTTTGGATTCTGTAGCATGTGCACGTGTTATGTAAGCATTTGGCATGGTGGCAAGGCTGACATTAAGCTGCACATCGCTTCGCGTAAACACCCCCCCCCCCCCACGCAGCCGCGGGAGTTTTACGAATATGAAAGTTCACAGGGTGGCAGGTATGTTGTCCCCTTTTTCCTCAATGGCAAGGGCTTCCAACAGTTCACGGCCAAGCTGATGTCGATGCACCCCCCGATGAGGTCTGAGAGTCTTGCTTCGCATTGGCATTTGTGGCGGTGAGCTGCGAGGTGGCCTCTTGGGGTCAAAATCTTTAGAGAAGGCTGCGTGTTCGCTCGTTCGGTCATTTATACACCGGGAAAGTCTGGCCGATGTAGCATTTGCCGCAAGTCAAGGGAATGCTATAGATAACCTCCTTCTGACATTCAATGTACTTTGTCAGGGTCCAGCGAGCTTTCACGATATCACGCTTACGGTTTCGGAACAAAGGCACTCGCACAAACGGAACTCCTTTATATACGAGCACTCGCGCTGCATGTGCGCTCCCACTCGGTCCTCCGTCCGTCTCCCCTCTCCCCCAGTTCGCCGATGTCCCCCCCACAGTCGTGCATCCCGTGCGCCATCTCTCGAGTCTCGCGATAGGCGTCCTCGCGATGCCGCCGTGGCACCATCTTGTGGCGAGGCATGCAACTGCATGCCTCTCTTAACAACTTTGTTCTTCGTGCCGTGTGACATTGCTCTCTGTTGACACCTAGAGCTGTGTTGACTTTGCCACACACTGCATCCCAAGGAAATCACCTTCTTGCGAGGGTCTGCAAGTACGTGAATTTGACAAGGACAATGAAGAAGAAAATAGAAAACAAAGGCCCCCCTTCCCCCCCCCCTGGATATGTGCTTGACTGTGGTGCATATTTTTCTTAATTGCCCCGCATAACACTGATACCACCAATTCCACTTCACCCAGTTTTACTCAGCACACGTCTCTACACCTTGTTTTTCTGATTGGAGATGAATCTTTTCTTTCTAATTTCTAAAAAGCACTGGTGTTTTACGCCAACTTTGAACTACCTTTGAACTAACTTTTACATTTTTCATCTACATTATTTATATACAGATTCATGTCCATCCTTTCATTCTATCGGTGGCCGCTAGAGCCCTCTTCTCTAAGAACCGTTTCTTGAAATACCTAGCCACAGATTTCGGCGCTCTATAGCCTTAAACGCTTTTGTGCCAAAAAGATTGATGTACGCGTAAGCATTCCTAATGAGTCGTGAATGCGAAAGCATGCAAGCCGTTCGTCTGCTCCCTTTTTCGTCTGCCGCATACTTTTCGTCGCCGGTCGGCGCATCTGCTCCCCTGGTAACCTTGGATGCTTTGCGCTGATGGACACGCAGCACCATAGGGTGAGCGGTCGTAGAAACTGACGAGCTCAGTGGCCAATGGGAGCCCCGTCGACGCGTGCCAGCCAATGGAACCGAAGGAAACTATCTGCCATTTTCGCGCTTCAGACTGATGACGTCAGCTCGCTCCACGAGGCAGTTAAATGATTTCGTATTAATAAAACTTTAAAATCGATCAATCATGCACAGCTCATCTTCCAAGCTCGGAAAAGCTCGTAAATAAATAAATCGGAACTCATTTATATAAGGGTGCATCTCGAGTGGGAAGCTTGAGACAAAAATATGCACGCGGGAAAGATGATGGAGGCTCGGCCACGAAAGAATGATGCCAGGCAGTTGTCTAGTAATCCGTATAGAAAGGTTGTTGCCGACCTTATTTATCGGACGACTGTCTTACGACGAAATACCCGGCACAGCTCAAATGGATCCATACATTTTGTATCTCTTGACCTCATCTGTAGGGTTAAGATTCATTCAGATCCTTTTTACCCTGTTGATTCGTAAGGCTGTGGGGGTAGTCTGACGAGCGAAAGTCCACGTGTGGGGTCTTCTCCTCAAGTGGCCCTTGCCAACCTCCCAGGAGCTGTACAAGACGTACCAGACGCTGAAGGTCCTGCCCAAGGTGCGGGAGGTCCTGTCCAAGGCTGCGGACGAGGACAAGCGCGCCGTGCTGCAGGGACTCTTTGTAAAGCCTCTCGCGGTGAGTGGCCCCAGACTCTTGGCGTCCCGTCTCAGGTACGCTTGAAGGCCAGTGTCAAGTTTAAGTGGGATCGACTGTGTTGCTGCCACTTGAAACTGCCTACGACGAGGAAGCACACTGGCGTTGCCCGTCCGTTTACCCTGGAACACTGGCCTTCGATTTGCATATACCCTATTTACACGGTTGTAAGTCGACCCCCCCACAATGCACATGAACAAAAAAAAAAAAAAAATTTTTTTTTTATTGTAGATGCATATTTTATTGCGATTACGTGAGAATGGCAAAGTATCTGTTTCGAAAGCCCGGCCTCTAACACGCGATCAATGCCTTCTGGTGTGCTTTGGCTGCACATGCACCTGTGAGGTGCATGAGGTGCCCAGGCGTTGTCGAAACTAGCAAGTTCACACTGGAGGCGGAACAACTGAAGCTGCTCCCTGTTGTTCTCACTCCGTCCGCGACTACACAATGATTCGTTTGCACTGGTGATGTCAGTCTTGTCGTCATCGCTGCTACGTTCTCAGAGCATGTCGTCGGCGTCGTCCAACGAAATCTCCCACTTTGCAAATGACCGCATCTTCCGCGCTGGCTTGGCAATCGCGTTGCACGTCACGGGTAGGGACTGATTGTGCACTTCTGCGGCGTACGTTGCAAGTTTTGCAACGTACGCCGCAGGTGTGTGTTGCAAGTGAAGAAGTGCAGGTGTGAAGAAGTTTCATGTAGAAGTGAAACTTCTTCACACCAAACACCAAACATCAGGGCCAGGGCTTCTTTCTCAATTTGGCTGTGCTTTTCTTCAGCCTGAGTAAGGGTACGAGAAGCGTATGCAATTGGCCTCACCGTGCCGTCGGACATCACATGTGACAGAACTGCGCCAAGGCCGTAAGCCGACGCGTCGCATGCCAGCTGGAGCGGTGCGTTAGGGTCGTAGTGGACTAAGGCTGATGAAGTCGACAGGGCCGACTTGATCTTGTCAAAAGCTTCCCGGCACGCAGAGTCCCACGACCAGTTGACGTTCTGTCGGAGCAGCCTGTAGAAAGGATGCGCCAGCGTTGCAAGATGCGGCATAAACTTGCCATAGTAGTTAATCAGTCCCAGCAAGGAACGTAGCTGTGAGACGTTAGTCGGAGCTGGAGCTTTGAGCAAGGCTTCAATCTTCTCAGTTGTCGGCTACACACCGTCGGCGCTGATGATGTGTCCGAGGTACTGGAGGCGGTCGCAAAGAAACACACATTTGCTGCGCTTGACGCATACACCGCGTTCTGACAGCCTTCGGAGAGTCGCTTCTAGGTTGGTGAAGTGTTCTGCGTGCGTTGTTTCAGTAGTCAAAATGTCATCGAGGTAGCACGTAACACCTGGCAAGTCTTTAAGCATGTTATCCATAACACGCTGAAAGATGGCGGGCGCTGACGCCACGCCGTATGGCAGGCGGTTCATGCTGAAAAATCCTTTGTGAGTGTTTAATGTTAGGAACTTCTTGGAGTCGTCCACCATTTTGACTTGATGATAGGCCCTATCAAGGTCGATCTTCGAGAAGTAGCGACCACCAGTGAGAGCCGCAAGAATCTCGTCCAGCCGAGGCAGCGGGTATTGATCCGTATCCAGAACGGGGTTCAGCATTGTCTTGTAATCGCTGCAGAAGCGTATAGAACCGTCCTTCTTAACAACTGGGACTACTGGAGTGACGAACTCGCTTGTAGCGACAGGCGTAATGATTCCGAGCTTTTGAAACTTTTCGAGCTCTTCTTCAACCGCGGAACGAAGTGCAAAAGGGACGTTTTGAGCCTTTAGAAATTTTGGGTGGTCATCTTTCAACACGAGGAAAGCCTTCTCCCCTTGGATCTTCCCCAGTTCATTGTTGAAGATGTGCTTGTATTTTTCAAGAAGACGTTCCGAATTCCCCGATGCAGTAAGCTTAGCAGCACTAGAGCCATGGTCCTTGAGCTGGTGCACGCCGCAAATGGCTGTCCAGTTCAGGCTGAGGTGCTCGAGCCACTCACGTCCTAGCAGAGGAGGCCCACGCTGATCCAGAACATACAGAGGCAGGAGCTGTCGCTGGTTGTTGTGCGTCACGTGCACGTGAATGACGCCTCACGGCTTGACGACTTCGCCAGTGTAAGTCCGCAGTCGAAGTTCCGTGGGCCGCATTGACGACGAAGTAAACAACTGCTGGTACTGTTTGCGTGTAACCACGGAGACAGTCGCACCCGTGTCGAGTTCCATACGTAGCGGCACCCCATCCACAGAGACGTCGACCAGTATTGGCGGCCGAGCCGCCGAATTTATGCTGCGCAAACCGCCGCATGCGTCTTGCGTCAGCGCGTGCATCTCCGTTTTCCTCCCGTGACCTTGCTTTTTCTTTTTCTTACTGCGACAGACTCGTTGCAGGTGGCCTCTTTTCCCGCAGCTAACACACATAGCGGCGACGTGCAGGCATGAGTTGGCGAAATGCTTTGGCGAATTGCAGCGATAACATGCGGTTGTAGATTGCACTTGCGGCGAGGCGTCTGCTCGCACTTTATGAACGTCACCGCTCGAACGGTTGCTCACTTGATTCGCATCCGGCGCACTCGCGTCCTTGATGTTCCGAGTAGCCGCTTCTAGGGCTAGCGCTCGCTCGACCGCTTTTTAAAAGGTAAGCGTGTTGTCTTCTGCGAACAAGTACCGTTGAATGTCGGTGCGGGACAGACCATATACAAAACGGTCGCGCAGGGACTCGTCCAGGAAATTGCCGAACTTGCAGGACTGTGATAGTCTTTGAAGCTCCGCCACAAAATCCGAAATAGATTCATTTTCGTGCTGCGAACGGCGGTGAAATTTGGCACGTTCCCCAATGATTGACACGTGTGGGGTGAGATGCTCCCTCAAAGCAGCTGTTAGTTCCTCAAAAGTCTTTGTTGACGGAACTTGCGGGGCCATTAGTGCCTTTAGCAATCCATATGTTTTCGGTCCAATGACACTAAGAAACGCATGCACTCTGTCAGCTTCTGCTATCTTGTTCACGGCAAAATACGAAAAAAGCCGTTCTTCGTATGATGGCCAATCACTTAAAGATTCATCAAAAGCTTCCACTTGCCCGATACGAGCCATGGTGATTCCATTGGCGAGGCTTCCTTGCAGGAGCAGAAGAAAAGTGCCCAGTCACTCGTCGCCAGTTGTTGTGTGCATGCGGGTGCCCCGGAAGAAGACAGGTTCTCGTCCGACGGGAGCGATCTTTATTTTGCGACTGACGAATGCTTCTTCGCTCACGGCAGCTCGCTGCGCCTCTTATCAGGAGCGCTGATAGCAGAGACCGGAAGCGGAAACACGACACTTCTGCGGCGTACGTTGCAAGCCTTTGGCCCGCAGAAGCCTCTTCATTTGCCGTCACACTTCATCCCGTGCCATTGCAGACTCCACTGGAGCATCACCCGCTCCGACGGGTCTAACCTGCGTCCAACAGCGCAGTTGTTGGTTGTTTCTGAGTGAAGAATGGCCATAAGCAAGCACCGAAAACCTAAACTGCATGCCCGTATCACGGGTGTCAATACAAAAAAAACAAAAAAACAACATAGTTAGCACTTCAGCATAATCTCGACACTCGATCGAACGACGTGCGACTGTGAATCGTGCGAAGAACTGCGAAAAGACGTTGCGGGGAGTGGGCCGTGAGGCTGTCCCAGCAGCATCCGGAGTGGCTCTTACAATAACTGCCGCCACTCCCTGAAGTCGGGTGCTCGGTGCACTGTTCACCGCAGTACATTCGGGTTAATTTGCGAATCGCTATCAATAATACTCGTTCACACAAAAAAAAGAAAAGGAATTCGTAAATTGAGCGCGCAGAATAGCGCAATGCTGCAGGCACAACTGGCTAAACTCGTAACAAGCGGAGGTGTTCTTGATATTGTGATTGTTTTGTTTTTGTCGGAGGTGGAATGCTTTGGTTCAGTCATAAGTCAAATCCCCCACTTCAGATTTTCAAAAATTGAAAACTGGGTTGACCTACGTTCGTGTAAATACGGTACAGTTGAATCTCGTTAATTCAAACTAACATGCAGGTCCCATCCTATGCATCTCTATGGGAAAAAACTCCCGGTAATTCAAACTTTGCTTTATTCGAACAAATTTGCAGTCCCTGTCGAGTTTGAATTAATGAGATTCGACTGTATCTTCTTATCTCTCTGTGCATCGTTTCTTCAGCGTGGGCTTCAAAAATAATCCCGACAGTGTTACGGGTGTCTATTTTTATTGATAGCCACATAGATTTTTCTCAAATACTGCAAAACCTTCAGTCAAGTTACACCCAGAGCTCGCAAATCGCAATTGTTTCCGGAGCTGTCTGGTAGGTGGCACCAGCGTACCAGTGGTTTTCTCCTCGTAAGCTCTTACAAGCCATCGTGGTGCAGCCAATCACACTCAAGCACGTGCGTGTGAAGCAGCCTCAAGATGTACTAGTACAAAGCCTAGAAGCTTGAGCTGGTAGATTTGACATTTGCTCTGTCTGCAAAGGCGTGTGTGTACCTGAGGTGCATCTTTGAGCAAGTAGCTCGTGCTTGCAGCTTCCTTTGTGGTACATCTTAACGTGAAGTCAAGTTTACTCGCGAAATAGGTTTTAATGGGGTGGGCCTGCATCTTCACGTATTAATGGTGTAGACACCTTTCGTTTTTGCTGCGATGGTAGAGTGGAGTGAAGTTTGCCGAATTGCGTTTGCTGAAATCATGCGGTGTATTCGCGCGTTTGGACTTTGGACTGTGTCATGGAAAGGTGCAAGGTGGCTGTGATGCTTTGGCTCTGTACAGGAGCTGGAAAACGACTTCTCCAAGTACCTTGAGATGGTGGAGACAACTCTGGACCTGGAGGCTGCGGAGAGCGGGGACTTCCTCGTCAAGCCCGACTTCGACGACGACCTCCAAGGTGGGTGGGGTGCTGTCACTCAAAATGGGGCACACCATGCTTACTTAATTCTAGCTCGACCACGTTTGTAACGCGGGAGGTAACTTGGTACATTGTCCTGTGCAAAGAAATAAAGCCAGGAGTACAACTCGAGGCTAGCTGAGGAATAACCGGGTATCCTTTACGGAACTTTATTTGGTTCAGTTAGAATGCCTGACACAAGCGAGATCTGTGAAAGTTCCAAACCAAGACCACGCGCTAGAAGCCAGACCTTTAAAACTTGGAAGCCATTGAGCCAGTTTAGTTACCCTCAGGTTAACTATGAAGGTTAATGCCAAGAGAATTGCACAAACAACCAGTTTTGATAGATTTAGATCTTGATTCCATGATTGTCATTTTACTTATCTGGATCAGTGGCTGTCAACCCCCGATCTTAAGGGGACCCCTTCTGGATTGGCACACATGGATTGGTCTATTTAGCCTTCTGGGGCAGCCAATATCAATAAGGAAAAAAAAAAACTTTCAGCCTTTCCACTTTGGTGAAGAAGGAAGACCAAGAAAGCTGCACGCTTGTCCCGTGTGTTTCTTCTTCGTCCTCGTCTGTTTTGCGCGCTTTTTTCTAGGACGAATTCCCACCAACTCGCCCAAGTATCCATGGATTCTTCCATGATAACTGGAAAGCTTGCCGCCATCTGTGAGCGACGGCGGCAACCAGACTGGTCGTGTGGTTGCCGCCGTCACTCACAGATGACGGTAGCTGTCGAGAGTTTTGTGTAGTTTTTGTGTCGACATTGTTTGGTATTAGAAATAAATGAACTGCGCAAAGGACGAGGACAGAGGTAGAAACGAGTACGACACACAGAGCGCAGACTTCCAACTGTTTATTTGGCGCAGACACAACAGTATATATGACAGCAGCAATCAGTTTGCGGTTAAATAAGGTTTAAACATGACCGTCCAAAAAAGAGAATTCCTTGTCTGATAGTGAAACAGATTGCATGCTTATGCAGTCGTGACCTTTCTTTTTAATGAAGTAGGCTTCTACGAGTTTTCTTTCCGTTGCCTCATTTGCTCTTGCGAGAACACGTGTCCTTTGCAAATCAGGATGACAACCGCATTTCAAACAATGTACAGACAGATGTCCGCCTGTGTTGTTTTTTATCGACAGATAGTGTTCTCGTGCCCTCAGGTTGAAACAACGTCCAGTCTCGCCAATGTATACTCGCCCGCAAGAAAGCGGAATTTCATAGATAACACCGGATGCGCATTTCGTGTATCGCGTGCTGTGCTCCTTTTTGCATTTGTTGATGTTCACTCTTGGCTTCATCATAGGGCACACTTTACTGAGTTTGCAGGGCGCTGAAAAGACGACCGAGAGACCATACCTGGCCGCTACCTTTTTCAGGTTATGGGACAGGCCGTGGTGGTACGGGATGACATGCACGCGCATTTTTTCTTTTCGCCTCTGCTCATTACTACCAGTTTTCTGCTTCTGTAGCAAGCGCACACATACAGCAGAGACCAAGTGTTGGGGGTACCCTGCGGCAGTAAGGCGGTCACACTGATCGCGGAAACTGGACGCCATTTCATGAACACAAGATTTTTCTAATGCTGAAGTACAGCTAGACATAACGATGGCTCTTTTTACAAGCTTTGAGTGTGCACTGTCATAGGGCAAAAGGCCCTTCTTGGTCCTAGGGTGGTATGACCAGCAGATGTGGTTGTCACTAAACATTATTTTTAGATCTAAAAACTGGATGGAACCGTTAGTGGTGAATTCATGAGTAAAATTAAGGCCATTGGATGCTGATACGAAGATGGATAGAATGCTAGAAACAGCCTTGTGAATACAATGAGAACCTTCAATATCTAAAAGCACAAGGTAGTCATCGACGTATCTAAAAACGCGCACTACATGCTGATCACAAAGGTGTTGCTGCAAGCGCCTGTCAAAAAAGGACAAATACATATCACATAGCACGGGGGCAACCGCGGACCCGATACAAATGCCGGTCTTTTGAACATAAAACCTCTCCTCGTGCGCAATTACTGTAGAGCTCAAGTAGATGAGCTCAAGTAGAGCTCAAGTAATGAGCAGAGGCGAAAAGAAAAAATGCGCGTGCATGTCATCCCGTACCACCACGGCCTGTCCCATAACCTGAAAAAGGTAGCGGCCAGGTATGGTCTCTCGGTCGTCTTTTCAGCGCCCTGCAAACTCAGTAAAGTGTGCCCTATGATGAAGCCAAGAGTGAACATCAACAAATGCAAAAAGGAGCACAGCACGCGATACACGGAATGCGCATCCGGTGTTATCTATGAAATTCCGCTTTCTTGCGGGCGAGTATACATTGGCGAGACTGGACGTTGTTTCAACCTGAGGGCACGAGAACACTATCTGTCGATAAAAAACAACACAGGCGGACATCTGTCTGTACATTGTTTGAAATGCGGTTGTCATCCTGATTTGCAAAGGACACGTGTTCTCGCAAGAGCAAATGAGGCAACGGAAAGAAAACTCGTAGAAGCCTACTTCATTAAAAAGAAAGGTCACGACTGCATAAGCATGCAATCTGTTTCACTATCAGACAAGGAATTCTCTTTTTTGGACGGTCATGTTTAAACCTTATTTAACCGCAAACTGATTGCTGCTGTCATATATACTGTTGTGTCTGCGCCAAATAAACAGTTGGAAGTCTGCGCTCTGTGTGTCGTACTCGTTTCTACCTCTGTCCTCGTCCTTTGCGCAGTTCATTTATTTCTAAAATCATGAACCAACTAGCCCGCCAAAAGGTGTTACTTGAAGCTATTGTTTGGTACCGGACACGAAACTGGGGAAACTAGCCCTTAACAGCTCTGCTGTAAAACTTTTGATTGTTTGGCTTAACTTGCAGTTGATGGCTTTGGGACCCCAAGAAGACCTTGGGGGACCCAGAAAGGTCTGCGGACCCCCATTTGAGAACCACTGATCTAGATGTATATGTTGCCAGCATAAGACTAAACAATTGCAGGAACCCAGAAGGTTGCAGTTATTTAAAAACGGCGGCATTGCTGGAGTGAATTTCACTGCTAGTTGATTATAATGCGAGAGTCAACTTCAGAGCGCAAATTTTCTAAAAACACTCTCAGTGCATTCAAGCAAATACAGTATATTCTGAGAAAAAAATTTTTGACAAAATTGCTGCGGGGATTGTCGTTTGAATGCGATAGCATTTTGCACCATCTTGTACTGTGTAAAAGTTTCTTGGCTAAACTGCCTGGGAACTGCTGTGAAAGCTCTTGGAGTATTTTTTGTCGATATGCATGGGGCCTTTTATCACATTTAGAACCAGTTAACATACCGTATTTACTCACGTAATTACCACACTTTTTTTCCCGAAAAATTGACACATATTTGGGGGGGGAGGGGGGGGGGGGGGGGGATTCATTACGCGGGGTAAAACTTTTGCATTTACACACTTCGTGCAAATGTCATATTAGGTGCCAATGTGTCACGGCAAGGTACTGTGGCACGTCTGCACTGATGGAGGCGCACCCACGGCTGTTACAGGGGCTACCAGACACTCTCAACCTTCGACGCAGCGTGCACCTCGCTGCGCCATTCTGTTACAGATTAAATAAACGCATTTATCCGGAGTATGTGAAATTAGGCCTAACCACTTTCACGATTTCACTGTCTGAAAGCGGACCACAGATGACGGAGTGTTTGTTGACATCAATGCCTCCGATAGGCGAAGAATGTCCGGGGCCGGGCAATTCCTCGACCCAAGCTTCGTCAAATGTGCCCGACACTTGGTTTGACGGTTGATCACTTCTGCAACTACCGTTACTACAAACGCACTTGCAGCCATTACAAGAGCGGCTTGGCTTGGTTAGGCTTGGCCTGACCGCTTGGCGGCAAAAGAAAATTGGCTTGGGGGCTAGCTAGATTGGATGCAATTCTAGACTCGCGGAGCCGAAAATTGGAGGTGCGTTCATTACGCGAGGGGAAAAACAAAGTCCAAATATTGGTACCCGTTATGGGGGGTGCGTTCATTACGCAAGTGCGTTCATTATGGAGAGTTGTGGGTCGAAAAACTGTGATTTTTTCGAAAAAAGTGATTTCGCGTTTTGTAGTGTTCTTTGAATCTTCCTCGTTTGCATATAAAAAAATCAAGACCGAATATCATCGCGAAATTAGTCAGTATGAGTTTGAAGCCCTTCTCGCGATGGGAAACAGCGCAAATCGGAGCCATTTTCAAGCGCGTGATTCCTTGGACCGCGGCGTCGCCTGCCATCGCGTTTATTTCGGCACATGGGCCAAGCCGTTTTCACTCCGAAACTGTCATCGATAGTTTCGTATTCTGGTTGCAAATAATAATAAATAAATGTTTTTCCCTCTGCAAACGCGTGTCGCCACTGGACTTTTAAATCACGTGATGTGATTGTGGCCCCGCCATTGGCCGAGAGCAACATGTTGCGCGGCGAAATTGCTTGCGGTTTTAGCGTCGCATTGCTCTGGATACCAGAACCAACGACTTGTTCGATCATTCTGCTTTCTTCGTGATGAGCGTCGACCGGACACACGACTTTCGAGCTTGGAAGTTTCGGACGACGGACAAGTTCAAAGGGAGTCGCTAAAAGGGCAAGCGGAAAGCTTCACAGAAAAAAGTTGATCCGCGGCAGCTAACCCTAACCTCGGTCGGGGCGACGCTTCAGAGTTCGATCGCTCGAGTTTCATCGGCAGTGCTGACGAGTTCGTCAGTGCATCGGAGAAAAAGGTGTTTGAAAACGGAGAGAGAGAGCTGCAGATGGGCGATCGGCGAGATCGGCTCGATGGAAGCTCTCGTCAGTGGCGCGGCATGCTCGACTTGCGGAAAGTGCAAACTCGCCGTCCAGGAATCGGCCGCTATGCGAAAGGGACTAGCATCTTTTCTGGAGCTGTGCTATGTAGCAGGGGAATTCTAGTTTGGTGGTCCAGGCTCTGACACTTCGAACTATATTGCCACCAAGTTTCGTGTGGTTTGAGTGAGAATTGAGGTATGTCACATAAAACTGGACTTTCATTTGCGTTTTTATCAAATTGGTATTTTTGCCTGTTTTCGGAGTTTGTGCACACAATTTTCACTATTTGTGGTTGCTGTGTCGCATCCAAATTTTGCACAGCTGTTCCTAATGATGAATATATAGTGTGCAAATCTTGCTAGTTCTGTGATTGGCACCACTGAATTTTTATAAGAGTTATAGAACTTAAAGTTAAGCATAAAAAGTGATGACTCAATAGTTCGCAATTTTTATTTTCTCTCCAGGCATAAATATTTTTTTTTTTCAGGTGGATTTGCGCACTCTACTGTTCACAAGGAAGTAACCAGGCTATTTTAGGATGCTCTTTTATAAGTAAATTTGAGAAAAAAAGGGTGCACAAAAAAGGCATTTTATATGCCTTCATACGTGTACAGATATTTCACCAAGGCAGGTATCAGAAAACTGACTACATATATGACAAGAGGAGCATATGTCCCCCCCCCCCCCCCCCCCCCCCCCCCCCCCCCGTTATGCGAGTAAATACGGTAATATTCTCATTTAACTGTCTACATCCTGCAAACGAGCCTTCTGCGACATACCAAAACTTTTTTGTTGAAGCATTACCGCAGTTCAACTGTTTCTTTCTTACTACATGTACATGTAAACATGAAAGTTGGAGCTGCCCGCTTGCAATATTTGCACGTTCTGCGACGACGGTTGGCAAAATAAATGTTATCACTTTTAATAACCACCGCTTCGTAAGTCACTTCTTGGCGCAGTGGCTGAGCATCAAGCTCACTTGGACATTCAATTCCCCTTGTTGGACGTTCGGAATTTTGACCCTCTCAGTTTATCCCCTTATCACTCTCCTGCACATCTGTTTTGTTGGTTAATTACAAAGGACAGACATGAAAGTGCAAAGGGTTCACTCGTAAATGTGCATTTGAAAATGATAGGAGGGGAGAGGTGCCTAAGTGGAGAGATGGTTTCAACGAGCCGTCTCACAGTGCCCTTTTGATTGCTCAAGTGTGGGGACACCCGGGACAGTTCGTTGTTCCTCTTGACTGCGTGGGTGTGATGGGTCACTAATTCGAGGTCTTCTATTGCAGCCCTGCGAGAAGAATTGGATTCTCTGGAAGCAAAGTGCCAGGGCTACCTTGACAAGGTGATGTGCAATTTTATCTCAGACCTCATGCTATGTCAAGGCGTCAGACATGAACAGCCACGTCATGCCGTTTGTAGCATAATTTTTTCGAAGGCAGAGGATATTTCCCTATGCAGACGGTATCTACAGCTAAAATTGATGTCTATGACAGTACGCACCTGTTCCTTTTCGGGCCAGAAAATTAAAAACACTGTCGGGTATTTGAAGTTTGTTAGAGCAACGCTATACCGTAAAGTCCTCAAAGAACGCCTATCCAAGATGAAGAGATAAACCTTGAAATGCATATATGGGGTGGACAATCTTTGTGGATGTGACAGCAAAATATTAAAACTTAGTCAGTGATGTAAGCGCTGCGCCATTTGCGCCAAGTCGCGCCATGAACGAAAGTCTGCTACGTCTTGTGCCAAAATGTAATTTTTGCTAATGATTGCACCAAGCCTGTGCCAAAATGAGCTTAAGGGGGGACACTGGCTAGAGCAGGGGTGGCCGAACCGCGGCTCGCGAGCCGCATGCGGCTCTTTGCTGGTCGAAGTGCGGCTCGCAGACCCCTCGTAAGGACACACCCCCTCCCCTTCGCCCGTTTCCGCGTCCCCCCCCCTCAAAAAAAAAGAAAGAAAAAAGAGAAGATTTCATAATAAAGCACACTGCAGCTTGCAGTTTGACAGCCTTGTAGTCCTTACGTGCAGTCGTACAACCTTGTGCCCCCATGCGTACAGTCAGAATCTCAACAAAAGCTAAGTTTGCCCCCCCCCCCCCCCCCCGCGGCTTTTAGAAGTTCCGTGGTTTTGTTTTCGGCTCTTAGGTCTGGCCAGCCTGGCCACCCCTGGGCTAGAGGTTGAACTTTTGAACTACTCAAGTGATCGGAATGAAATTAGCAGGGGAGATTTAACTTCAGATGTAGGTGTACTGTGCAAACTTTCAGCACTCCTGGACAACTTTACATACCTGCATAAGAAAATGTGTCACTCTTCATTAAGAAATCTTATGATATGCAAAGGAAGCTATTAGACACCATTTTAAGTGCTTTAGTGTAAAGTGGGGGACGTGGTACTTTGGGTTATCTAGTTTTTATAACTGAAATGTAAATATTTCAGGAAGAGTGATTACCTCAAAATATGAGATGCATATCTGTCCTATGTCAATTTTTGAAAACAGTTTTTTCTCAATGAGGACCTTGATATAAAACAAAATAAAGTAGATAGCCCGATTCCCCAGTAAATTTCAGTTCAGAAATATCTTGATTGTGGTATCAGGATACTTTTACATTCAAACTAAAGATTCCTTCGTATGAAATTTGCAGCAAGAAGTGGAACTCAGAAAATTGCATTCAAACATTGAACTCCTTTACTTTGTTACTGCTCACAACGTGTTGAAAATATTTTATATCAACATAACTATTTGGCGCATGGTTATGAAATCTAGTGTAAGGGTGTATAATTAGTTTCTAAAACTGAAAACCTCAAAATTAAAAAATGAATTTTAAAAAAAAATTTTTAAGCTGAGGTTCATGTCCCTCCTTAAGCGAAGCAAAAAATTAAAATATTTTATTATTGATCGATTCTAATATTGAGAGAAGTATGAGGAAAAGAGAATGGCACAAATATGTATTTCGCAGCATCTCTACTGACCTACTCACTGTCTAGTTTGTTTCATCTTAGGTCAGAGCGCAGCCCAAGGCTCTAACACATACAGCCACAAACACATACTACAGTAGGCTCACAAAAATTCAAACAAATTACAAAATTTTGGTTGTCCCACTATGCAGTGATGGAAGTGCTGCGCCAATTGCGCCAAATTGCGCCAAGGACGCAATCCTGCTACATGTAGTGTCAAATTGTCATTTTACCGAAGAATTGCGCCATGCCTGCGCCGAGATGAGATGTAGCAATAAAAAATAAGAATTGAAGTCTTATCAGAGCGCGTGACGGTACCGCGGTATTTTCCGTGCCCCAACTGTTACGCAAACCGAAACTGCGAGGGCGCAATATCATCATCATCATTGAGAGGAACAACGTTAGCAACATCTCAGACCAAAGCCGCAGAGGCTAGGTGAAAAACCATCCCACTGAGCAGCCTATTTAAAAAAAAAAAAAAAGGCTGAGCTTGTGGACGTTTTCAATGTTGGCTCGCCCTGTTCCCGTGCGCTAGCTACCAGCGAAGTCAAAGCTAGCGCGAGCCCAATGCTCTGTCAATTCCTGACTCGCGCGTGGGCTTGTGCAGTGTGGGCACGGTTACGGGCTCCATGCGCGCGCTTGTAGCTTCGGCTGCGCTTGCACCGAAGCTGGAACGAAGTATAGTTGAGTGTCACCAAACTCTGGATGTACAGGATGTCACAAAAGAAAATGTACACGGTCTTTTTTACCGCAAAAATAAACTAGGGGTCACGTGACCTTGGGGTGACCTTGGTTACGCCGACGGCGACGCCGCTCAAGCCGGAAACGGGCGCCTAAGAGCTGCGCACTAATAATAAGTGTCAGTTACGCTCGTGAAATTAGTCAAATAAGGCATTTGGAGACGTCCCAATGACCCAAAACGGCATAAATTTGGGCCATTTGTTTTTGTGCGTGGTTCTTCAAAATTGTGACGTCGGTCGCCACCATATTTACATTTACGGGTAGACCTAGCCATTTCATCTCCATCGCAGTCTTCTGTTGCTTTAATATTTCGCGGTAAATGATTAACAACATACTTTTTTCTCCATTGCAAAAGGTTATTGCTACACATCTAAGGTAACATTCCATTGCGTTTTTCTCTATGTAATTTTGACACAAAAATGTTTGTGTGTAAGTATTTTTATATTAAATAGTTTCCTATCACAACCAGATTTGTCATGCATATACGTTAGAATATGTAGAATGTAACTGGTAGCTACTTTTGATTAGGATGTATATTTTCCTTATTTATGAAAAATTTAAGAAACATTTCTTGGCATCTTAAAAACATGGTTTTTGCAATTTTAGACTGTTTTAAAATAAAAAAAATAAAATAAAAAACAAGCTATGTCAAATCTAACAGCAGATTTTGAAAGAGAAATTCAAGCACTATAAACCACAAATTTAGTTTAGTTATTCTAAATAATAAAAGGAATGTTTTCCCCTGGTTTATGTCTCCTTAATCGCTTCTTTCATCCGGCTCACCTTTCATTTGCTAGGAGGCATAAGTTGGTGCCACTGATTCAGTGACATAAGCATACGTGGCAATTTTTCGCTTCCTGTATTGGCTGATCCATTCGTTTTGCAAATGGATCAGCATTTCTCATTGCTGTTGTTGTAAGCCTCGTTGAACCCCGAGAATTCAAAGCGGATCGCAGAGTAGTTCAATATATTGATAATTTGTTATGCGAAATTTCGTTAGCTTAAGCTCCAATTGAAAGCTCCACATGTCTTCGCTAAATGCCGAAGATTCTGTTGGACGCGTCCCAGAGCCGCCCATTAAAATAAAACCTCGTTAAAGTGAAGCTGGCAGGAACTGCGGGCACCGCTGCTCGCGCGTGGCTGCAGGCTCAGCAGCAGCAGCAGCACAAGCAAGTGCAACAGAATGGAAAAAAAATAAGAAAAAACTAATTATCATAATAAGGTTGAAAGCTGGGCTAGTTGGTGGTGGTAACATAAAAAAAGCTAAAACTTTAGAAAGAGCGAGATGCATAAAAAAATGCAACTCTCTCTTCATTCGTAATTCAAAACGACGAAACAAAAACGCCAAAAAGAAACTGCGAGGCTTTCAAGGCACTAGCTATTGCACAACCGTCATCGCTCGACCAGCTAGACTTTCTCGTTTATTATTTGGGCGTCAAGAAGACAGAGTATTTTTATATCTTTGCGTCCCAGGGAATTTCACTGGAAGCGCCATGTTCGTTAAAAACCGGGCGTGGCATGGCATGTGGTTTGATGTATGAAATGTCTGGGGTTGTAGGGAGTTTGATGCGGATGGATGCAGGAGGCTCATATAGTACAGGGTGTTTTAGAAAATGCAGGCCAAATCACTCTAATGTAAACTATCCATCGTGCATAAGACATCTCCACGTGGTGAATTATGTTGATTGGGGCGAAGCTCTGGTGGTGCTGATGATACTGATTTTGTTCATAGGTAGTGCTGATGCAAAGTTTAACGCTATTATATACGCATTTGACCGCAGCGCCCTCTCCTGTATAACCGTTGAGCGGCTACATGCAACGTTTCATCCATGACATCCCCAGCTGTTGAGTTACTACCTCATCTCAGAGTCCCCTACTCGTCCCGCAGTCGTGGCCGAGTGGTTAAGGCGATGGACTAGAAATCCATTGGGGTCTCCCCGCACAGGTTCGAATCCTGTCGACTGCGCAAACATTTTTTCTTTTTTTAAGAAGACAGATGGGATGGCAATTAATGTGAGCAAGGATGCTGGACAAGGCTAGAGCCTAAGGAGCTTCGCCCCTAGTAAGGTTGATGTCATAGTGATCTGTGCCAAAGGGCCCATTAAGGAAAATCAACGGCGTTCGGTATGATTGAGTATTGAAATTATAAACTTTTTTTAAATATTTTTTTTTATTTATTAGTTTTAAAGGTACAGGTTAATTTAGAAACTTGATTTAGAAAAAATGCCTGCGTACGGTGTGCATCATACATGTGGTGCATGCAGGCATTCGTGATGCACACTTGTATCCCCCCTAAAAAATGTAGTGTTTTTTTCGCCCGAAAATAATGCACGCATCACAAACACTCATTCTCCGCCCAAAGGTAGCGCTAGTGGTCCGAACCAAATACCAAAGTTTCAGAACGAACCATTATCTATGTCCAAAGTTATAAGTAGGGTTTTGCGAATATTGAAAACTCCTGAATGTCGAAGCAAATAATTACGTATTCGATTAGAAGTTCGAGTCGAACAGGGCTATTCAGCAACTTTAAATATTTTTGAAGTATTTCGAAGTTTCAAATACTGCAAAGACATACCTTAACTCACACTACAGAAGGAAAAAAAAAAATAGCATGCAGTACATACCATACTTGAAATGAATTCACCAATCAAGGCTGGAATGCAGTTAGCAATAAAAATAGGAGCAACGAGTCTACTGTCTTGAATCTATAGCAGATTGTGTTTTTAATAGCTAATGCCAAAGTGTGTGCAAATAAGTCTCAGAGTACTTTCCCTAAATAAACTGTTTTTGTAGCCCCGCTTGTTGTTCATTATTTGTGATCTTGACCTTGATTCACTATCATGGACGTTTCACATTATGGACGTTTTTTCTGGGCAACGGAAGTGTCCATATTGATGAGACAACTGTACGGAAATAAGAGTAATTGTGTAGGCAAACGGGTGAACTACCCTTTAGACCTTGTTGTGTTTCATTTTTTTTTTTGTTCCATACTCTCAAAGGGTTTTTTGCCATGACTGTATTGATGGCCCCAAACTATTCGCTTCGCTTTGAAAATATTCGATTCAATTCAAAATTATTTGTAAAAGGAACTTTTCGCTTCGTATTCACTTCAAACGGAAAAATCACTATTGGCACATTCCTAGTTATAAGTGACTTTCTAAAACTATCAATGCAAAAATCAGGCCCGTTTCAGCTGCATCAGCTCCATGTATTCGAGTTACTTCGACCGCCATTTTCCCATTCAAAATTTCGGAAAATTACTTATAATTTTTTAATAAGATAATGGTTAGTGCTGAAACTTTGGCATTTGGTGTGAACCCCTAGTGCTACTTTTACATGGAGAATGAGTTAATTTTTGCGATGGAAAAAATCCCTGTAGATTTTTTGGGGGGCACCCTCTATATGTGGATGGATTCAATGAGTTACTCCTTGTGTCAGTAACATTCAGTTTTCTGACCGTTGTCTTTGGTGACTGCAGGCTGCGAGGGACCTTGGCCTCGAGGCCAGCAAGACCATCAAGCTGGAATCGAACAAAGAACTTGGCTTCCACTTCCGCATCACCAGGAAGGTAGGTGCCTTGGCGGAAATTACCTGCACCTTTCTAAGCAGACGTTGCCCGGCGTAATGATCACAAGTCGACGTAGAGTTTTCCAGAGGGGGATTTCTCGCATAAAGTACAACTGGGAGCAGAACCTTGCGCATCAATATACAGAACCAAACAGTACAGTCCATTCATCTTAAAGGGTTGTCCGGTCAAATGTCGAACCAAAGTGAATGGCTGATATAGATTTATGAAGACTAAATACGAGCACTGCCAAAATATTAACGAATGGGCAACTGCAATCCACTTTAAAACCAATATTAAAAATGCTACCTCCGGCTTCTCAACGAACATTCAGCGGGTTGGCTGTTTGTCGCGCAACCTTAAGGGGGGACACTACCCAAGAGGGTGAACCTTTGAGCCTATGGCTTCATATGAATGAAATTTACAGTATACACTGGAGGTTGCAAGGCAGAATGCAATGCAAAGTTTCATCTGTGTACATGTGTTGTAAAATGAATGTTTAGGAAAACTATCGTTAGGAAACTAATGTAATAACCAACATTTTTCTACTGTAGATCTGCAGCAGAATGCCTGGAGAGTACAACTGTGAAAACAAAATTTTCAGAAAGTAATTTATTTTATGCTAACATCACAGTGAAAAATTCAAATAATTTTCTTGCCTTTTGTATCGTCCACAAAATCTTAACATCTTTTATAAAAGACACCGACAAATTCAAAAAACAATTCCACACTTACATTGCCCGTAAAATTCCAGTTAGGAAAAATAATGAGTGAGTCTTTCCTCTTGTCCGATTTACAAACAATAGTTTTCATGAAGTGAAATTTATGCCAAAAAGTGGAACGGAGAAAAATGCGTTCAAAGGGTTCCAACCTGTACCTTTTTTTAGCATCGGTGGACAGAGAACAATTTATAAAAAATTAACTATGGGGTGTCAACTAATGGAACTTTCTGGGAATACTCTCTAGATATTGGTCGATGTAAATATGGCATTTTTCAAAATCAACTTTTTTTGCTGAAATTTGTTTTTCGGGGTAGTGTCCCCCCTTAAGCCTTGATGTGATCTTTGTTTTCAAGGAGATTTCTTGTTTGTACTGCCACTTCTTTCGGCGTGTTTTCCTGCCGCGTTTTCAGCTGCCCCAGTGGACAACTTCTCCTTGTTATGTTATGTTTTAGCAGCCATAGCTCGTAAGTGCTCTTGGACGATCGCACTCAAAGATTATCGACTCCCCGCTCGCTTAAGTGCGTCGTGGTGCCGGAGGTGGCATTCATTAGCAATCACACACTTGGGGACGACTTTTCTTGGCAATGAAGCCGAAGCTATGGGTACTGTAATGGTTAATCCATTACGAAATCAAAGAAGAAAAAGCGCGGAAGAGACGCGCGAGGTATGGGACAGTTTTTCGGAAGAGAAGGGCGCGAGCAGGGCTGGGACTTGGAAGGCCAAGCTAGGAATGGCTGGGTGGACCTCCGTCGACGTGACCAGGCATGAGAGGCCCGACTCTGTCCTTGCTGCCTCCCGTGGTCAAGGCACCGACCTGCCCGAGAACGAGACATTCTCCCAACAACTATCTCCGAGCCCATAACGAGGAGCCCTCCTCCACTCTCCTTCGGCGGTCCAGTCAAACGCCATACGAGATGGACGCCGCTGCCCCTCAGTGTGACCAGAACAAAACAGTGACATTCTTTAAAATGGCCGTGGCGTAAATATATATATATTTTTTAAAATTTATGTTGCAATAGTGAAATATTCCCTAACGCATCCTCACTCAGATTGAGTGCCATTCACAGCTGTGCTCGCACGGTCTTCACTTCTTCGGAAATGCCAGAAAAAGTCCTCCCCGAGTATAATTTAGTCCGTTTCTGCTCAGCGTGAGCTCACGACTAGCATAGCTTTTACAACGCTTGTGCAACGTGCATTGCACACCAACAGGGTTGTAGTTCTTCTCGGGAGATAAGTGATGTCTCGTTCCGAGCTTGCTTTCATTGTGGCCAACTCGCTCTTCAGCCGCCAACTCTATGAATGTGTATTATTATTTGCTACGGATGTTTCGATGTCTACGAATCAAAGCAGTAAAATGGCCGTAGCCTCTTACCTGTCCCATCGGAACTACTCTTGCGACTGCAGGCCAGTCGTACGTTTTGTGATACCGCAATACAAACTTTGCATCGCACAATGGCCGTGCAGCTGATCAGAACGATTGCCCTCATGCTCGAGCCGGTAGTTTTAGTCTTGTCGTAGACCCGCGAAACAAAAATTCGAGATAAGGTATCTGCAAAACTACACAAAGCATAAAGGAAAAAAAAAAATTGACATCTTGTAGTTCAGGGACACTTTCCTCATTAAAAACCATTGTAACCCTAAAATTGAGTAAATGTACCGGAGTTCCCCTTTAACTGATCTGTGACACGAGGAATAATTTCCTAGGGCTTTGTTTGAGATTAAAATGTTTGTGCCACGTCCCTGCCACAAAATGAGACGTTTTGAGCTGCTGCAGCATTGCTTTGGCTGCATTGCCGACACTCCCAGGAGGAACGGGCGCTGCGTTCCCGCAAGGGCTACGTGGTCATCGACACGAAGCAGAACGGAGTGCGCTTCCGAAGCCCCGACCTGCTCTCGTCCAACGCGAGCTATCTGGACACGAGAAGGGCCTACGAGGAGGCCCAGCAGAGCATCGCCAAGATGATCGTCGACATTGCAGGTGACTGCGTCGTGTCCTGCTGCGCCTTGCCATCGAATCTCGTTGATTCCAGCTCTCTGAATTCAAACTTGTGGATAATTCAAACCAGGGGTGGGCAAAATACATGCAAATATGTATCTAAATACAAATACAAAATACTTCGTCAAAAATATATTTAATTACAAATCTAATTACATTTCCAAAAAAGCATTTAAATACAAGATACAAATACAACCAAATGTATTTGGTCTCCTCCAAATACTTTTCCAAATACATTCCTCAAAAGTTGCGTCAGCGACTTCAGGGCACTTGCAGCGGGTTTCTGGGTATCTCATTTTAATTTTGCATCGCACACTCGGGAGTTAGTGTGCAAAGCTCTAGTAACGTAATAGAAATATAATCACCAAAAAATCTATTCAGCTTGGACGTAATAGGTGGAAAAAGTACACAGCTTCAAGCAGCATTTTTTTTTTTTTTCGATTACATTTTGGTATAGATCAACAAAGAATGAAGACGCGCAGAATTTTGTATTGTTGCAACTCGCACCAGTTACGAAAAACTGGACGACCCGCGCATTTAGAATGTTCCAGGTAAAAATATGGATGAAAGTCAGGCTGGAAAGCATCACAAGTTGTCACAGGCACTTATTTAGCCAGGCTGCCTGTGAACGTCGATTTCGTCACTATTCTTGCCCTGGACTAGCACCGTAATCACAATGTCACTAAACACTTGTGCTTGATTGAGAGACACTGCATTCGGTGCTGAACGTAGTTTTCTTCCTGTTCTGGACAGTGACAATAAATTTGAGGGATGTATTTTCGCCCACAAAATTGTATTTAATTACAATTGTATTTGAAATACCCACGTTTTAGTATTTAAATACACACGTCAAATACATTACCCAATTTGTAATTAAATACAAATGCAAAATACCTACACAAAGTATTTGAAATACGTATTTCAAATACTTGTATTTGAAATACTGCCCATCCCTGATTCAAACCAACATGCAGGTCCCATCCTATGCATCTCTATGGGAGGAAACATCCTGGAATTCAAACTTTGTTTTATTCATACAAATTTTCTGCCCATTACGAGTTAACGAGATTCAACTGTAGATATACTATACAAGGTGGGGGTTTCCAACAGAATTATGAGGAACAAACCGCGAAAAGTACACTACTGTGGTTTGTGCAGGTGAGTTATACAGCCAGGGGGACATATTTATAGGGCTAATCCTCACAATGAGTTGAACAATTAACTGAGATTTTTTAATTCATTGGCTTTCCATTTAGTGATTCTAAACTCATTGTTCCAATTAGAAACAATTGCTGAGCATCATTTAAAACCGCTAAATCAGTCCATATTTGGAGGACAGGAGGCACATGAGAAGCACAGGTGTGCACTAAAGTCGCCACTCGTGCAACAGGCGCAAGGCTGGCGGTGCAAAAGGGCAGATGTTAGGAAACAGAAAAACCGCACGAGTGCATCCAATTACCATGCATTTTTGGTACAAAAAAAAATATTGAGCAGTTTTGGGTTTATTTACAGTACAGTCACAGCAATAGCTGCGACACGTCATGGCGAAGCCGTTGCGCATCAGCATTCAGAACAAAAATAGATATCTGACCATTTTGTTCCTAATGCTTTTGTTTCTTTTTTGCTCCAGAGTGCCGGAAAGCGTGTCTTTTGGCACGAGTTCTCGGCATTGACAGTGCTACGACGGCATTTTGTTATCGGCTATTTTTTTCTTTCCAGAGAGCGCGTGCAGTGGGCATTCTGTACTACCAAAGCCCGCGAGTCTTAAGCGAGTTCTTAACGCTGTGCTGTGGTCCAGTGGTAACGCCTTCGCTTTGCGAGCACCTGACCCAGATTTGATTATCGTGGGCGGTGGGCAATCTTTTTTAAGAATTTGGCAATGTCGATGACGGTTGCCCTACATCGCCAACTACAACATCAACACACACATAATTTGCAGTAGTAGGAAGGGCCCATAACAGAGCTGTAAAGTGAAGCATACGCCCCAAATCTCTAAAATTGACTGATTTAGTGGTTTTCAATGACGCTCAGCATGTTTCTAATCAAAACCATATGCTTATTGCCAATAATTGAAAAGCTAATTTACCTATATTAGTTCAATATTCGATTCATTCTCAGGATTAGCCCCCTATATCATGTCCCCCTGGCCGTATACTTCACCTGCACTGTGTACCTTTTGCAGCTTTTTTAAAATAAATCTGTTAGAATTAATAGCATACAACCTGTACGAGCTGCATGCAAACTGTGAGTTCTTGCAAGTCCGGAAATAGGCCAGGCACTGGCAGCGGACCTCGTTCATTTTTGGCGATGCCGGTCTCTACTCTGGGGTCAGCTTGGGCTGCGAAACAGAAAAATGGCCGCATGTATGGCATTTTCGCATTCTCATAAGATGTTGAATTGATGATGTGGACCAAAGAAAGCAAACAAGGAGGATCTCTAATGTGTAGCCGGGTTATTTTGTGTAATCTCTGGATTCTGCCTGCTGTGAAAATTGTGGCGGGACAGAGACTCACCACCGTCTTGAGGATGGTGTCCTGATTTTCGATAGATGGCACCTAGAAATGAATAATATTGCTACTGGCAGACGGGAAGAAAGAGACGTGTTCCAGCAGAGCTCGGACTGCCTGAACACAGTGCAAGTGGTTGGAAAAGATGGGACGGTTTAGGCATTAAAAAGGGTAGAATAAATTTTCTATCATTTACAGTCGACTCTCATTAATTCAGACTCTCTTAATTCAAACTTGCAGATAATTCAAACTAACATGCAGGTCCCACCCTATGCATCTCTACGGGAGGAAACTCCCGTTAATTCAAACAAATTTTCGGTCCTTCTCGAGTTTGAATTAACGAGATTAGACTAATATTTGCAAAAATCTTATCAAAATTTTTATTTTCAATGGCTGGAAAAAAGTTTTCATTCTGGTATTGCTAGAAACTAATTTCTTTTACCTCATTTCACTCGCTAGTGTTACACAAGTGCGGTGTCAGCACTACACGTTGCATAGTTTTGCTTATGTAGTACAAGGATGCGACTAGTTTTTATTCAAGACACCCTTACTTCAGACTTTGTCAGACATTGCAAAGTCGACGTGAGCTACGCTGTGGTCCTTGTCACGTCATTGTCATTGCCAACAAGGTCCTCATTAATGATAATAAAATGCAATAAAAATTAGGCTTTAGTTTTGCACAAAACTATTGCTATGTTCATAGTTATTAAGCATACCACACAACAAGATCTGGTTTAGACTCAACCAGAGCTCCTTCATCACTGTCCGATTCACCTTGCCCAGCAGACTCCTCAGTAGTGCCGACAACACTAGACTGCCGAAAGGTTGTCATTGTCCCGCTTCACTGCCCTTTGCTTTTTTTGTGATTGGGCCCATCACCGTGCATGCTGAAGCCACTGGTGCCTGTTATTTCACCCGAGTCCCTGTATGTTCGTTGAAGGGTCCAAAATGGATGCCCTGTGCAACCGGGTCGATTCAGGGTGGGGCAGGGCTGGCAGAGTTTGCTCCCCAGTGGACAGGCTTTGCTTACCGCTTCCTTTGTGGACTAGATTACATGCTAACTGATCTATAAAGTCCTAGCATCCAGCATGCCTGTCTCCTTCTGACCGACTAATTTGCTAACTATTTGGAGCTTTAGTCTAAATGTTTTACCTACTTCTTTTTCCTTCTGGCATCAAGCTGGCTGACACGAGTCAATCGGAAAATTTCATGGGCCCCATTTTCCAGTTCCAGCCAATGCGATGAAATGCGGTACTTTGGAGTCCTACTGTGACTCTAGCTACACTCTTAGTGCAGAAGCTCGACACATTGCTTTCAAGCACATGTCGGTCACCGCCAGTGTGTGATCGAAGGTATATGAAGTGCGACTTGCAGTTTTAATGGAGCTCTATCAAGTGTCTGCTACATACGCCTCATTGGTACGTTCTCGGTTAATACGTTTTTCCAGAGGTTGCGTTCACAAACGGTAATTCCATTGAGGTCTTTTAGGGGTCTGTATGTTTTTTGTTTCGTGTACCCTCCGTGGACATAACTTTGAACTGTGCTTGAAATGGATCAAGCTTTTTGTAATAGCCCTTTCACCTCTATCTCTTTCTTAGTCATGCACTGTTGCATTCATTACCTAAGTCTGATAGTGTCTTTTCGCATGAAATTCTGAGTACACCCACTATTAACATTTTTCTAAACTTGGAAATTCTGCCAATTATACATGAAGCACCCACCCCCTCCGAAGCGTCGGCATCAGCCGAAAATCTTAACTTCGTTGCGGCGGCCACGAGACCGCCAGCGTCTACGATGGGGATATCGTGTGAAATAAACATGCTTTCTCCGATCCCATTACCCTGCCTTCAAAGCTCTTTATTGGCCGCCATCTTGGTTTGTTTTAATTTGACTGGACAAGCTGCCATGTCTAACCCAGTTTTCAGTAAAAGTGGGGTAGGTGCTTCTCCGGTGTGTTGCGGTACTTCTAATAGAAGTGAGTCTGGCTTGGGCCGCTTTCCCGCCTTTTCTTTTAATTCAATCTTCGGATAATTCAAACCTATTTTGCATATCCCATCGGGGTCGAATTAGTGAGAGTCGTCTGTGCGACACGCCAGTGTCTAACTGCAAGGCCTGTTTCCAGGGGGCTATGCGGAGCCCATGCACCAGTTGTCGGACGTCATCTCGCACCTGGACGTCCTGGTGGGTTTGGCAGTGGCGGCCGCCAGTGCAAGCAAGCCTTACGTCCGTCCCAAGATTCTCGAAAAAGGTCTCGCTCTCCTAAACTTCGCGAAACCGTAGAATCACATTTTCTGGTTTGGACTGTTTATCGCTGTCTTTTAAGCTCCTGTGATATGGAGTGCAATATACAGTCTAAGCTCATTACAACAGATTTGGTTACAACAGACATTTGGATATAACATACCTATTCGTGAAGTTTGGTTGGTTTTCTTCTATGCACCATTGACTCCACTTCATATCTTCATACAACATACTCCTTTTACAACATAACAGACCAAAATCTTGGTCAAAATCAAGGTCTGTTATAACGAGCTTAGACCGTAAATGGGGTCGTCGTGGCAGTGTACGTGCAGTTGTGCCCGTTTGTAACGAACACGGAAACAGAATATTTCAAACGAAAATGCACTTAAAATGTACTTCTATGATGAACAACCTATTGGCTATATCGAACTCTGAAACAGAAAATGGCCCTCTAAAGCTTGCAAACACCTGTCCTATTTTCAAAAAAAGAAGAAAACAAAAAAAATTCCCACAAAACTCAAGTTGAAAACCAAAAAAAGAATGACCGGGCAGTTTGAAGGGAAGGTTGAGGCACGCAGCGCGCCCTTGGGAGCATTTCTCCTCGGCGTCCCCTGCAGCCCGTGCACGCTTCCGTTGTGCACTTGGCCGCTCATAACACGTGACAGAATCCGAAATCGTGCGACCACCAAAGTGCACGCGTCCAAAGTGCAGTGCAGTTCCTCCTTGCGAAATGCCGCCAGCAAACCTCCTCCGCGGAACAGTGCGGGTGCACGCGTCATCTACTTCTTTGTTATTTCGTTGTCGCTTGGCGTGGGCTTTGTTCTTTTCTCTTTGGTTCTGCTTTCCAAATCTCGTTCTCGTAAGAAAAGGCGAGCAAGCAACGACAGTATTAATCATTCTCGGACCAACTTGAAATAAAAAATCGTGAAGAGCATGGTGAAAAGAAGTCTGACATCGCCGCGGTCTCGAGAATTGTTGGGAGCAGGCTGGGGAGCATTTGCAATTTAACGGTAGACGCCTCTTGCGGAGAATGGTCTCAAGTGTGCACACAGTGTGCTGTCACGTGGCAAGGAGGAAAACAAGTGGAAAGATGGAGACATTTGCAAACAACCCGCGCTTTTTCCACTTGCTCGCAGCTCGCATTGGAAACGCGGCCCATAAACCCCGTGATCCTGATCGAGCAGTTGTAAACTTTCTGTAATTTATGCTCTCTAGCGCGGCCAGCTGCGTTGATGTGCGATGCTTTTGAAGTCGATAAAATGACTTCTCTGCCGGTGCCCGAGGCCCCGACTTGAGATTGCGATGCGCAGACGGCTGACCCTACCTCTGTACAAACAGCAGTTTCAACCAACTTCAGCATGAACCTTAGTTCTTGTCGGGGTGCACTGTGCACGCGAGTGCACGGATGCGCAACGAGTGAGCGTTTTTGTTTCCACTCGCTTGAAGCGCAGGGCCCGCTTCTCTAGGGTTCTGCTGGTGTTTCGTTTAGATTTTGGCATCCAGGGAGAAAAATATTTTTCGAAAACATTGCCTGCTGTACTGCCAGCCCTAAATCTAAAACACAGACGCTTTTGACTTGTTCAACATTGTTGCACCTCACGCAGCGTTTCAGAGAAAGGGGGTGAGCGATTTCTATCCACTTCGTGTGAGTCTAGATGCTACAATCCAGCGAACATACCGGCGGAAGAAGTAGTTGAGCTAGAATTTCTTCTGGGTTTATTTATTAGCCCATTTAGCGCATTATCAGTTAAAATTTTTTTTGAATTAAACATTATTTTTGCGGTCCACTGAAGAACCTCTCCACAAGTGTCTTCTGCGCATTTAATGTCAATAAGTCGTGTTTCGAACTCATGGCACTCAAGTTAGCTATATGCAAGTTCTGGTATAAAATACTATTTCATATATCAAACATAATGCGCGTCAGAGTTTGTCATAAATAAGTCCGGCTGTATTACAACATTTGTAAAGGTGATAGAAGGAATGTAACGTGGAAACCAGAATTGCATTTAGAGTCATAGACTTGTAATAACATGTGCTGCCATGCAACAATATTCGGCACTGGCGCTGCAACAACTAAAGAAAACTGTGCCGAAATAACGCAAGAACTAAGGCAAGATAGACAAGGCAGCCACTTCTTGTCCCTCTTGCCTCAGTCCTTGTATTATTTTGGCACTGTTTTCCTTAGCTGTATGAACCAACCTTGCCAAATCGCCACCTTACTGCAACAACATTTTTTGGCGACCTACAGGAATCTACCTGCGCAGATAGCATTTTCGGGGAACATTGGTTTCTCAACGTCGTCATTTGCTGAGTGTCCTATGTAGGATGTGATGACTGGCTGTATGTGTGATCCACAGAGAAGTAGGCGTGTTGATAAACAGTTCACTTGTTACTCAAGTAAATGCAAATGCAGTAGGCATTTTGCCCTTTTGGGTGTCTGGGTCACAGTGATGTGATTGCTGCACCATTTGCACCAAACTGCTTCAAAGCGTTTACCTTGCTACATTCTGCAACATTTTGCCACGGGGGGGATTTTTCGTCAACATTGCACCAAAACTTATTTTCACATTATTTATACTAAAAATATAATAAATCGGACCCTGTTACACGATCAAATTGTTATGGTAGGCCTTGTGCGAATTTCCAAAACTTTCGATTATCGCCTGAAATACTGTGAGATTCAATTTGCTCTCTTTATCAAACATTGACAGTACATGGAAGTTTTGCAATATTTCTCATGCTTGTTGTGTGTTCTGGCTGGATAGCTAGCATCGTTGAGTACACTTGTCACTGCACTATGGTGTACTGCGGTGAAGCAACAACTGCATAGTATGTGTCACGATTTTGCATATCTTGCTTCGCCGCATCGCAGCAGAATGATAATTGAATCATATTGATGATCATAATCAAATCACTAAAGCTCTGTTTTCAATTTAAATTAAGAATTGCATTTTTATTTTAACCTTTAGAACTTGAAGAAGGCATCTATTTGGGTGCTTGGAATTGTTATATTCTAGCATTATTTCAGTGGAACTTGTTATTTGGTTCACATTTGATTTCATACCTAAAACAACCGTGCACAGCAGTTTGTACTGCCCTTCATCAATCAGCATCTTGTCATTATGCCTTGTGTATGGTGAAAAGGTGCGGATTGATGAAGGGCAGTATGAATGCAAATGAAATGTATGCTTATATATGCTCCCAAAGTACTGTTGGCGCTCTAAAATGAACTTTTGGCTGCTCCAAGAGGTGCTCCAAAATGACTCCGACCGATCACATCACGGGGCTCAACATTCAGGCAAAAATAGCCTGAAGAAGTTGGTATGTCTTACTTATCTAGTCCTTTGCATTTCTGCAACCCAGGTTCTGGCATCTTGAAGATGACTGGCCTGCGTCATGCATGTGTGGAGTCTCAAGACAACATCATGTTCATTCCCAATGACATAGAGATGAAGAAAGGCAAGCAGACATTGTTTTTCACCCACAAATTATTATGCTATGATGTTCATCTTTGTCTGCAGCTGCATTGCATATCTAACAGGTGTATTTTGACTTTCGCTGCCCAGACACGTTGCAATCCATATACGCTTCAACCTTAATATCTTACTGATCGGTCCGAGGCTTTGTTGTGTCACCAACTCCATTCAGCCAGGGTTTCTGTCAGGAGCACACTTACCTACTAGGGTGCCCAAATTTTTTCTGTTGCATCACATCTTATCAATAAACCAAGTCAAGCCCATCAACAAAAAACTAATTTGCCACGCATGCAAGTCAGCAGTGAAAGCCAGCCTGCTCTTTGCCCAAGTGCCCTTTTGTCCAGTATTTTATTTTTTAAAGGGCAAACAAGGAAGGTCACCTCTATAGGAGAGAACTGATGGTAGGGAAATGTTTGGAATAAGGACAAAGTTTTTATATGCATTCCATGTGTTCAGTTCATATGCAGTGCATACTGCTTGATCCTGTACTTTGCGAATATTCTGCCGCGGTCAAATATTGGATGACGTAATGAATATTTGGACGCAGAGGGAATAACCACCGCCACGTGTCCCACAAACATTGAGAGATTTGCCAGTTTCACCCGCTTTGCATCATCGAGCAGAAAAGCTGCAAACGACGCAAGTGGCGTGGATGGCACGAGCCGTAGAGGCCGTTGCCGTGAGCGGACTGTGTCGCTTGTGCGACATCCGTGCAAGCATTCTGCTCGTCTTCAGGTTCCAGCTCCTGCTACATCATCACGGGCCCCAACATGGGAGGCAAGTCGACCTACATCCGTTCCGTGAGTTTGAGCGCTCTCTATTCATTTTAGCCTCTCTCTGAATCTCTCGTAAATATATCAGATTGAACGTAAAGGGGCCCTGCAAGCACTTTTTACTGTTTTTTAATTTGCACCGAACCTGAGCGCGCTGACCGCAGTAACTTAGTGCAATTTTTCTTTCCTCGAATTTCGCTTTATTTTAAAAGTTATAGGCAAATTAAAATTACAAAAACAAGCAAAAAATAACCTCCCTCGTGACGTCCTTGGTTGCTTCCGTGGCCGTGAACTAGAGGAGGGATAGTGAGCTCAGCAAGTGCAAACGGCTGCCGCACTCCGTGTCGACGGCGCGAGAGGGCGCCACTAAAGCGTGTTCTGGATAGGCTGTATACAGCGGGCAGCCAGAGCGGCTCTCATTGCATTTGCTGCGGTATTAAACACTAATTCGGCATGACACTTCATTGGCCACAAACAACAGCAAACACGGTGTAAAGATCAGTTCAGAATGGGAGCCACTTCGCGCTGCCCTACCGCGAAACGGCCAAAACGCAAGACAAAGCTGCTCACTGAAGGCCTTTGGAACGCTCGGAGCCGGTCGGATCCTCCAGTCCGTAAACGACCGCAGCGCTGCCGCGTACTTCTGGGACCTTTCCGTGTCGGCGCGTGATCCCACTATTCCTTTCTAGTATGCGCCGCCTTTTCCACCGCTTGGTGGCGGGTATGTCGACGGGTCATTTCTTGTTTCCGTACTTTAGAAACCGCATTTGTTTCTTTTCTGATCTAAGATACTGAACAAAAACTACTTTTATAAATAATTGAAATGGTTCGCGCCACTTATATTTTGTATTTTGACTAAAAAGAAGCTTTTAGCGGCTTTGACCAGTAGTAAGCCCAGGACCAAAGACGTCACATTTTGCGTGCTTTCAGTACCGCAGGTCGCCTTCGTCGGTGGAGGAGGTTTCCGCATCGTCCGGTTAAAATATGATGCACTGATTTTTAGTTACTCTCTCCGTGCCCGCTGGCTTGCCTGAACCCCAAGAGACGTGGAAACCGCAAAAAAGGCAGACACTGAAATATGATTGCAGGGCCCCTTAAAGAATTAAACTTGAACGTAAAGAAACAAACGACAGGAGAGGACAAACAGCTGACTACCAATGGTGTTTTAGTGTAAACTTCTTCCTTGCGCGTTTTCTCCTTCATTTAGAGTCCAAACTAGAGCACGATAAACCTATTACAATGCTTGCGAGAAGAGCGTGTTGGTTCAGGTCATGGATGAAGAAAGAATAAAACAATTAAAACGGACAACACTACCACATCTTTCAACTAGCAACAGACAAGTAAACTTTCCACAGCAAGCAGCCGACTATACCCAGGAGGGAAAGGGGGGAGAAGGGGAGAGAAGCGGAGATAAAGAACGCAAAGTGCAAATCGGAGAGAAGGGTTTATCTCGGATTTTAGAAATTCAACCTCAGTTTTCGTCCACAGGAGGGAAGGATTTGACACATTGTTTTTTGCTGTGGTCATGGCGAATGACTCTATGATCTCCCTGCCGAATCTGCTGTTATGCCCCCCCCCAGGGTTTTTGTTTCATCAAAGAGGGGATGACAAAGCAAACACAAATGGGCATGTATGACTATGGGATGATGGGAATCTGGAGAGGCCTTAGAAACTTTGTTGTGATGTTCCTGGAGTCTGTGATTGGTGCATCTGCCGGTCTAACCTATGTATTGATGTACCGTTTTCTGTGTACCGTTTTCTAGCGCCCAATCAAAGTCGGTAAAACACGGTATCATCAAATCGTTGTTTTTTTCATCCTTCACGAAGTCTTGCTGTCATCTTTCAAAAGATAGCTTCAAATTCCAGCACATGAGGCTCGTCAGGGCAGGGTTTCCCGTCGACCTTTTCCGATCAGTAATGGAAAGGCTGATACGCGGGCCTGATCGCCAGTCACCAGCCACAAAAAGGAAAGCCCGATTCTCCGTCATTTCTTACGTACACAATTCAGCCCACCGGATAAAATCCATTCCCTCAAAGTTCGACACAAATGTTGTCTTCTCGTGCCGCATGTGTCTTAAGCAACTCTTGCAACAAGTGAGCAACGATCGGATTCCGATTGGCCGCACTGTTAAACACGAAACGAAATTCATTCCATGCAAAGAGAAGAAAGTTTACTCCATTCCCTTGAGCTGCGGCCATCAATACATAGGTCAGACCGGCAGATGCACCAATCACAGACTCCAGGAACATCACAACGAAGTTTCTAAGGCCTCTCCAGATTCCCATCATCCCATAGTCATACATGCCCGTTTGTGTTTGCTTTGTCATCCCCTCTTTGATGAAACAAAAACCCTGGGGGGGGGCATAACAGCAGATTCGGCAGGGAGATCATAGAGTCATTCGCCATGACCACAGCAAAAAACAATGTGTCAAATCCTTCCCTCCTGTGGACGAAAACTGAGGTTGAATTTCTAAAATCCGAGATAAACCCTCCTTTCCGATTTGCACTTTGCGTTTTTTATCTCCGCTTCTCTCTCCTTCTCTCCCCCTTCTCCTCCTGGGTATAGTCGGCTGCTTGCTGTGGAAAGTTTGCTCGTCTGTTGCTAGTTGAAAGATGTGGTTGGTGTTGTCCCTGTTTTAATTGTTTAATTCTTTCTTCATCCATGACTATATTACAACGAAGGAGCAAATGCGCAAGGAAGACGTTTACACTAAAGCACCGTTGGTAGTCAGCTGTTTGTCCTCTCCTGTCATTTGTTTCTTTGTGTTCAAGTTTAATTCTAAAGTTCAAGCTGATATACACATTTCTTTCTTTCTTTCTTTATTGTTACTTTTCCCGATCGGGTCGGGAGGTGGGCAGAGACTAAAGGCGTGATGCCTGACGAGGTCTCTGCCCCCCTTAAAGCTCTAGCACAGCATTGTAAAATAGTATAAAAAGTTCACGCAAAAAATGCCGTCAAGACATATTGATGTAAGCACAGGTACATAGGAAAAAGTAAAAGAAGCAACCACACAACGGTTTTGTCAGAAAAGGTTAAAAGTCTGAGCGAAATACATAAATACCAAATATCAAATATGAATATGAGTTATGAAATTGCATAGGTTTCCTAACACAGTGTTATTGCCCACCAAGATTTCTTTTAGATTTTTTAAAAATTGTAGTAGATTACATTTAAAATCAGTTAGTCCCTCCATACGAATTAAAATTTTGGCGACTTGAAAACGTTTTGTCTGTCTCTCGTAATTGGTGCGTATTTTAGGAGGTCGTCTATGGGTGTGTCGAAGTGTGTAATGTTTACTGTCATCTGGCAAAATCGTGAAAAGTTTTTCGTTGTGTATTTTTTGTAATAGCTTAAAATAATAGCCTTGATTGACTTTGAGTAGGCCATGTTTATTGAATAATGAACTGGTGGGGAGGTCTTGGGCATTACCTTTATGGTTTTCAAAAAGTCGTAGAACTTTTTTCTGTAGAACAGCCAGTCTATTATAATTTGTGGTCGATGTCGTTCCCGAAACTAAAATACAGTAGTAAAGTTTTGAGAAAAATAGTGAGTAATACAAATTTATTTTTAGCCAAAGGGGTATAAGATTTTGTATCTTGTACAGTCAAACCTCGATGTAACGAACTTCTATGTAACGAAACCCCCGATGTAACGAAGTATGTAACTTTTTATAACCGAAAGTGTATGCATGCCATATACTTTTGACCTTTATGTAACGAAGTCCCGTTTGCCGAAATTTTGATATAACGAAATTTTATAGGCAATTTGTCACAAACTTTTGAGTCCCAAAGGAGATTTTGAGAAGCACATGCGCTGAAATGGGCCCCCGATAAAGCGCAAAAGGTGAAACGGGCCGAATCTGGCGAGTGTGGTCTACAGAACGGCTACTAAAGGACACTAAAGCCGCCGCCGTTTTGTCCGTCGGCTTCGTTCGCGCTGAGTACACCGTAGTTCGTTTCGAGGCCTAACTAAAAGCGTGCGTTTCTCGTTGTCCTGGGCGATGGAGCCTTGAAGGCGATGGAGCCGCCCCTGACAACGTCGATTACGACGACTTTCTATACGCCGACTCTTCTGTCATTGTGACGGAGGAGGTGACCAACGAGGCGATAGCTAGCGATGTTCGTGGGAACTCACAAGACCGGGGCGACATCGAGCCTGCATGAGCAAGACACCTGCGATTTGCCCAGTAACCATGAAGTGGTGGACGCGATGAATGTCTTGAGGCGGTTCGCGATCCCACAGCAAGACGAAGACGCAATGCAGGCCTTCTGGCTATGCGAACGTCATGTGATGCCAATAATAATGCCAAGAGTGGCTCAGAAAAACGTGATGAACTACTTTCAACCAAAATAGAGGTGTCCTCAGTGAGTTTTGTTCACCCGAGAAACATTTGTGGAAACTTTCTTTAACGTTAGCCTCGAATTTCTATGTAGCGAAATTTCAATGTAACGAAGTAAATTCCCAATTTTACCGACTTCGTTACATGGAGGTTTGACTGTATATACATCCAACGACTCTAGATAACTCTGTGCTTAGCCTATTTATGTGAGTGTATTCCAATTTAATTCGCAATTGAACCACACGCCGAGAAAAGTTTGTTCGCTTACCTCCTTTATAATCTCATTTTTAAAACACATAGTCACCTTAATGTTGTCGAGTTTATTTACAGGACAGAAAATATATATTTTGTTTTCTTTGCATTTAGTTGTAATTTGTTGTTCTGCAGCCATACTGAGAGATGCTTCAAATAGCTGTTTGCCATTGATTCCAGGGATGCTTTAGAAACTGAAGTAAGAAATGCATTAGTATCATCCGCGTGCATGACAAGCTCCAGGGAGTTTAGTACATTTGTGATATCGTTAACGTAAAGAAGGAATTATAAGGGTCTTATATAGACCCCTGTAGAACCCCGTGCTTAATTTTGAGTATAGTTGAAGAAATGTTATTGGTGTGTACGAACTGCAAGCGATTTTCAAGAAATTTTTTTTATTAAGGTCAGGAGAACCCCACGTATGCCATATTGTT